ACAGAGATTTAAAATCAGATGTTTCTTCATTCTCCTAGTAAAACAATCTACAACGCTATTTAAAACTGTTTGTCTGTGTCCAGGTACTTATTTTCCACAAAATAAATACATAGAACATAACATCTTGCCAGAAATGCATCTTCAGTAACATTTTTTCAAATCTTCCTTCAGACCTGTTTGAAGCCCTTTCAGAACTTATCATTTTGACAGCAAGTCACTGCTTACACGGGAAAGAAATAAGAGGCTTGCTGAATGAGAAGGTGGCTCAGCTGTATGCCGACCTGGATGGGGGTTTTACTCATGCTGCCTGGCTTCTGCCAGGTTGGCTTCCTCTGCCAAGCTTCAGGTACCAGAAAGGACACATGAAGCAACTTAATCATTTTATCTAAACCTCTTTGTTGTTTTGATTCCTCTGTTCACTTTCCTGTTCCCCTTCCATCCCCCCACCCCACCCCCAGTTTCTTGTTTATAAGCTATTCTAGGACATCCCAATAACTCCTTATAGGCATTTTGAGCAACCTGGTCTAGTGGAATGCATCCCTGCTCCTGGCAGGGGGGCTGGAACTAGATGATCTTTAAGGTCCCTTCCAACCCAAACCATTCCATGATTTTGTGTGTTATTTTGTATGAAGTTGCTAATAGAAGTGGTTTGAATTGCAGGCGTCGAGACCGAGCACACAGAGAAATAAAAAATATTTTCTACAAGGTTATCCAGAAACGTCGAAAGTCTGAGGAAAAGGAGGATGACATGCTCCAAACTCTACTAGATGCTTCGTACAAGTAAGCCAAGGGTTTGAAGACTTGTCATTTATAGATGTTTTACTTTAGCTTTGATCTTTTCAGTTAAAATGATCTTCCAAAGAGTAAGAAATATTCCCTCATGTTCCGAGCTGCTTTAGTTGCCAGCAATTGGTCCTAGCTGTATTCTCAGAAACAACTTAAACACCGTAGTAAATGGGTATTCAGAGTTCTGAGATTTTCATCAGTGTTCACAAGGTGGCTTCCTTTCTCTTTGCTGGCTGTTGGGTCATGATCTTCTTCCACGCTCCTAGAGAGTCTCTCTCCCTCTGTTCACCTTTCTTCCTATCCCTGGATCTTTCACTGCTCCATTTAGGGTAGACAACGAAAGAGAAGGAGGAGAAAAGCAGTAGAATAAATTGTAAGTGGTTCTGTAACTGGAAACCTGATAGATGAAGCTCTAATGTAACACCCCTCAACCCAGGGATGGGCGTCCTCTGACAGATGATGAAATTGCTGGGATGCTCATCGGGCTGCTCCTGGCGGGGCAGCACACATCCTCCACCACCAGCGCCTGGCTTGGCTTCTTCATAGCCAGAGACAAATCCATACAAGAGCAGTGCTATGCAGAACAAAAAGCAGTCTGTGGGGATGATCTGCCACCATTAACTTATGACCAGGTTTGTGTGTTAACATTATTCCTACTGGGTATTTTTATGCTTTTAGATGATTATTTAAAAAAAAAACAAACCAAACCCAAATATAGTCACATGTTTTGTGTTAGAATCATGATGTGGTGCAGTCATTCTGTGATAACACTATCTATCTATGTGGCAATTTATCTCCTCTGTCTCCTCCCAAAGCAAATTTTAGGTTGCCACTATTTTTTTTTTAACCACTGTTGACTAAGGAAATTACGGTTTCTATGATGTCTATTTAAGAAATGACTGTTCTGTAGAGGAGGATCTTCATATTCCCAGTGAGGAAAGGGATGCAGTGTGGCCTTGTTCTTTAATTAGGCATCAGAAAACACTCCTGAGACAAATTAGTAAGAAACTAGTCATATTCCATGGCACTGGTCAGAGATTTTTCCCTTCTTAATTGAATCAAATGGGGAAAAAAGAAATGATAAGGGTAGCTAATGAAGTGCAAATATGAGCTGCTTACTCTTTTGTTTTTAAATGGTATAAAATACCATTTTGTTTGCATTGCATAAACTTGTCTGTCCTGATACATGATTTTCTCTGTATTTTCAGCTCAAGGATCTCAGTTTGCTGGATCGCTGTCTAAAAGAAACGTTAAGGCTTAGACCTCCTATAATGACCATGATGAGGATGGCCAGGACTCCCCAGGTAGGTACAGGCATTGGGGCGAGCTTCACTTCCCTGCAGTAGGGTGGGCAAAGGCCAGGTGAGGGGTGTCCCCTCTGACAGGAGGAGAACACAAAGGAGCAGTGTTTACTGGCAGGGACAAAAGTTAGTGGCAGCCTGGGCTGCATCAGTGGGCCTGTAGCTGGAGCTGGCTGAAGAAAGCAACTTAAGTGTAGCTGTTGGTCTCACTCAGGCTTAGATTGGTTCTACCACTTAAAGACATCTTGTGTTTGCCATGTATTTTTAATAGTTATCTTAAAAAAATTTGGCTTGCACTTAATACAAGCTAGGTAAATCCGAAAGAAATCTTGCTGTTTGTACAAGATAGATAGAATGTCAAGTAATTTTTTAAATGAATGGCCCCCTCATGGCAAATGCTTTCAATACATGGTAAGCTTATTCATTTTTTTAGAAAACCCTTTCTGTAGCATTGTGACCTTGTTAAAGCAGCTGAAAGCTTCCTGTAGCTACTTGAGCACTGTGCCCTGTACAAGTAAAACAGGAAAGTTTTAGGCCACATTAATTTTAAATGAGCTTAGCCAAAACCTCTCCTGAAATTGAAGCCTCATGATGCAGCACTTCAGGCAGCACTTTAAAAAGAAAAATGGAGAAATTTTGTGACGTGTTGAATCTTGTTTCTTCTCTTGTAGACTGTTGCTGGATATAATATTCCCCCTGGCCATCAGGTCTGTGTATCTCCCACTGTTAACCACAGACTCAGGGACTCCTGGAGAGATGCCCTAGACTTCAAGCCTGACCGGTATCTCCAAGATAACCCAGCCGCTGGAGAGAAGTTTGCATACGTTCCATTTGGCGCTGGTGAGTAAGAACAGGCGCTGCCTTCCTGAGGGCTGGCCCTGGAAGTGGCTCACACTGGTCATCTCGTACGGCACCACCCCATGCTGCAGCCTTTGAGAATAGATACTTGTTCTTTCACTGCCTGCCTGAAAGCTTTCTTGCTGTGGAAGTGCTGTTAAAGGCATGAAGCCGATGATAGTTTTGCATTAGTAATAGCTGTGTATGTCACTCAGAGTAGCAGTCAAAACAAATCTTCAGGTTAGCATGTGTGAAATTTGACTCGAGTCTTTTCAAGTCAAGGTAAAAGCCTGGTACTATAAAGTCAGTTTAAGGCAGGGAAAAGTCTGCATTTAATTACAGCTGCCAAAACAGTTTGCAGACATCACCACAGTAGGGTTATAGCTGGTATCTTTTCTCAGTGTTGCAAAAGCTCCTTTGGCGATACAGAAATTTAACGCTTCAGGTGAGGACAGAACAGCATAGTCTCATTCACATTGCTAATTAACTCAAGTCTCGTTTTTGCAGTGACAGCTTATAAAACCAACAACACTTTAATGGAGCTCCATAATGGTGTACATGCAGCATCATGTTTGGAAAGCAGCAATTACTGTCTGCATAAAACCTTTAAAGCCAGCTTGTTGTCAGGTGACGTAATAACCAAGTATTCTAACTGCTTTTCATGGCTTCCCTTGCAGGCCGTCACCGCTGCATCGGAGAAAACTTTGCTTATGTTCAGATTAAGACTATTTGGTCTACTTTGCTTCGCTTGTATGAATTTGATCTCGTCAATGGCTATTTTCCAACTATAAATTACACAACAATGATACATACTCCTAATAACCCCATTATCAGGTATAAAAGGAGGTCACCGTAAATTCTGCAGCTAAAGCCCTACTTATTTAAATTGTGTAAACTAACAGACTTGACTAAAATTGTGACAGAATGAGAGGCAAATGGAAACTGCTCTTAGGGAAACAACCATAATCTACCATGTGCAAAGTCTTTGCGTTTCTTGTTTGCCCACACCATTGAATGCTGCTGTATAACTGCGTGTTCTACAAATTTCTTGTTGTGTTTTTAAAGGAAAAGTGTCTTTTCTATTGGTGTAACACTTTTAAGGTGCATGCCAGCTCTCTGAGGTGAAGAAATACATGAACTCTTTTTTCTGGAGACAGCTGAAGATAATGATTACTTTCCCCACATAACAGGGGGTGAGCCTGCATACCCTACCTCTGCATCCAACTACAGGAAATCTGTCAGAAAACAAGCACCACAGTGGGATGGATGCTGATCATTTAAAAGGATATTACTGTCCAGCTGAGCAGTAGGGAGACTGCAGACTGTTCAGAGAAAAGTCTTTTCTGAGAATAAACAATTTAAATGGCTTAACTGGAAGCAGTTGTAAAATGCAACAAAAGATTTTCTAAGAAGTACTTCTGACAGTAGTGATTCTTGGAAGCTTGATGTAAGTGTGTGTGAAAGTAACAGTGTGACGATACAAACAACATTAATTTTGTAAATAACACGGCTGTGTATAAAATGGACACAAATGAAGTGAAATAGCTGAATCTTGTCCCCCTTTGCGCTGACTCACACAGGATTGTTATATGGCGTTTGGGTCAAGAGTGGCCAAGATGAATGGTCGTGAGCTCTGGCTCACAGTAACTTTGAATGAAATCTAAAACCAAACCTCTCGTGGAAGTTTTCTGTGCTCAGTTCTGTCAATTCTGAAAAACTTCTGTAACTAAATTTGTAATAAACTAACTTTCTGTCTCATGAGGTCATTCATGCAGAGAGCCTCCCCCCGTATCAGTTCTCACAGCAGCAACAGCTTTGCCCATCTTTCCTCTTCTAAGCTCAAGTGTAACTGTTGTAAAACCTTGTGTTTGTACCCATCACAGCAACTGAGGGAGTGCAGGATATTCCCTTTCTGTTCTGTCAGGTGTGACCAGGTCTTCAGAAACAAGGGCTTGTAGCTGTCCCCTCCTCTCATGAGCAGCAGTAGTTTGGAAGCTGTGAAAAGTAAAGCTGGAGGAGGAGCGCAGGTAGGAGCAAGCTTTGCGGGGGGAGCAAGGGAGTGGTTTTTGAACACGGTTAGAAGCATGAGGTTGTCTTTATTTCAGTACTTTGACAAAATACCCATAAAATTCAAAACTTCTACCATTACAAAAATAGGTCTCTACAAGTGATATTCTGTCTGCGCTGCCGGTAGCAAATAGTACGAGAATCAGGTAACTTCAGTAGCCTTGCCAGAAAAAGTGCAAGTAAACTTTGCTGAATGTAGCTCCATTTCATTAATACATGTTTTGTCTTTGCACCCTTTTGATAAATACGCACTTCATAAGTTAATCACTTAAATTAGCATTCCACAAATATACATGTAATTTAAGGGGGGAGAGGGGGCTGGGTTGTTCCGGGGTGGTTTTTTGTTTGGTTTTGGGGTGTTTTTTGCATGAACACAAAGTGCCTATATACATAAATCCCAGTCTGTGGGGTGTGCCAGGATGGACCTGTAATATAATTGTACAGCTGTATTCATCTTGGTCCCAAAATATACACATGATAAAAAGCAGGGAAAGAGCATGGATTTATGGAAGGCAATCCATGAACATCATCACTGCCAGTGCCGGAGCTGGTGGAACTGAGGTATTATCTTCTCATACCCACATGCAGCTGAGTGTAGGAAGTCGAACCTGTAAGATGGAGACAGATTTTCATCAAGGTTGCCTGGAATAAGTACACAAGGACTCACCAATGATACGTTGCTCAGCTGAACAAGCATGAAAGATAAAACTCCCTCAAATGATGGATTTTATGCTGAAGAAAGACTTTACGACAGTAACCACAAAAATCAAGTTTGATAAGTAATGCCCTATTGATCTGACAATTTTCCTGCTACATTCCTTTTGCAGCACAGGAATTACCATCATCTGTGGGACAAAACCAGCTGCAGCTTCTGTAATGAAAGCGATAGGAGAAATTCCCCCTGTACGCCCACATCCCAGTCTTTTGGGTGCAGTTAGGCACAGGTTGCCCAGAGAAGTGGCTGCCCCATCCCCGGCAGTGTTCAAGACCAGGCTGGATTGTACTTTGAGCAACCCAGTCTAGCAGAAGGTGTCCCTGCCCGTGAGCTTTAAGGTCCCTTCCAATCCAAGCCATTCTGTGATTTTTCTCCATCTAGCTTAAAGTCTTAGCAAGATACCAACTGAATGCTTGCTGCACATTTATTAGAGGTCAGCGAAAGAGGAAACGTTACTGATAAAACACACTTCTATGTCTGTCTCCCTTCAAAGAATCTTACCATTTTCTTTTGAATGAGTTTTTTACCTCGGAACTTTAATTGTTCAAAATATTCTCTTTGTTTAAGGCTGAAAATGCCTAAACACAATAGAATTCCTTCCGTATCTTGGAGAACCACTGCATCTTTTCCAACTAGAACCACGCCTGCACTACTCAGGAGTCATGGGGAGGACTGCCTGAGCCCTCACCTGACTGCACGCTGCCCAGTCGTCTTTGCAGGGCCTCCAGCCGGTGGATGTAATCTGTTAAAGCTCTCTCAGGATCATAGTTCTGCAGCTGAGAACAGGCAAAAGAGGCTGGGTTGAAGTCCGCCTGCATACTGGGAAACCTGGGGGCAGAACAACACCCATGTGTCCAAAAAGCACAGCTTCAAGTAAGACGTTAAGTATCAGCAGACGCAGCAAACTGTGGTATGCAGGGACACCGCACCAACCCTTCACTCACCCACATGGTGGCCAGCATGTCAGACCCATGTAATCTCCCTGCTGCTTACTGCCCACGCCACCGTACTGCCTCCCCCAGAGAAACCACGCTTCCCAGTGGCCTCTCCCTTCTATTGCACCTGATTTCTTGCTGCATTTCTCTGGGACAAAGACTGACCAGCAAATTCCTAGCGAGACTGCAGCAGAAGCCGTGGCAGATTCAAGTTAGCTTTTCTATTTAAAAAGCTTGCATGAACAAGGACACAGCCACCTTTACAGGATTCTGCCTCTTTGTTACCTTCTGTAAGTCAAAAGTGGCCATAACAGATTAAACCTTTTTGCCCTAATGAACTGTTATGGTTGTCACAAGCTGAAGAATGCTGAGGTGGTTTATTTAGAAATGAAACCCCACAATGGCTAAAATCTACCACCAGCTCCAAGAAGATGCTGTGAATCAGGCACAGAAGTAATTGCAAGCTCTGGCCTTGATAAGCATGATAAGTAAATGCAAAGGAAAGGACTGAGATGTTTTGCAAGAATACATAACAAATTACAAGTAAAAAAATATCTTACAGCACCAAAGATTACAAACCTTCTCAGTAAGCACTGATGCAATGATTTAGTGTTCTGATAGCTAATAATCATCTAAAATAAAACGTACTTATGTAGAAAGTTTACAGGAGATTTAGGAGACTCCATGTCTGACCTGGATCTATAGGAATGCCTTTGCTCTCCATAAAGATCCATGCCACCAGAGAATGAGTCAGGCCGCAGTTCATTACCTAGTAGAAAAAACAATGCCTTGAAAACTAAACAAAGTGACACCTTTTGCACTTCACAGAGAATCTCAAACATGAGTTTTCTGTTTGCACATCACAAAAATGGTGTTTAACAAAAGAAGACCGCTTTCAGACTGTGTCAGAGAAAACCAGAGGTGAAATCCCAGCCTCACTGATGTTACTGAAAAAATTCCCCCAGGCTGAGCAGGACAGGGTTTTAGTGCAGACCCAGATAGCCAGGAATTAATAAAAAAGCTTTTGATTCCTGTTAGGATCCTACCAAAAAGCCAACAGAAAACCAGGTTTCCCAAACTTTAAGCTATAACAGAAGAACGACAGACTTCTGCTCTTGAGGGAAAGGCCAGGGAAGGCTGGTCAATAGGCTCTATTGCCACTTGTCCATCCCTGTCCTTGGCATCTCCTTTTAGATCTGGAGATGCAGATCGCTTCTGAGAAACCAAATGACGTGGCTAAAACTGCTCTTCCAAACACGCTCCATAGGCAAAAGTGCCATAGTTTTTAAACTCCACCCACAATGGAGCAAAACAAGACTGAAGAGAAAGGAAATAGATTTGTGTCTGTGCTGAGCATGGAAACTCTCAGAAACCTGAGAAATAGGTTAATCCAAGCAATTCTAACAAACGGAAGGGGGAACAGCACCCCATTCATTTCCACATGAGGAAAACACAGGTTAAAACCCATCCCCATTAAGCAGTGGTGTGACTTGTGGTACCATTTATCAGCCATTACTGGACTATGATTTACCTGTGTTCTGGCTAAAGACATCCCTATTGACACTCAGTACACCAGAACCTGTAACTCTGTGCCATCTATGAACCAGGAACTTCATTCTGCATTTCAAATAAAGAAAATAAATTATTTCAGGCTAAATGAAATACTCTGCTGCTTGTATTCTAGAAGACAAAAGAATTTCTTGAACACCAAGCAAAATTAACAGATGCACATCTAAAACCTGAAGATGAAGTAGAAAACATTCTTATATGCATCCCTAAGAAAAACATCTTTTGTCCAAATCTGCTTTCAGCTTCACCTCTGCATTTCCAGCAATTCCAGAGGTGCTGCGTAAATCCCACTGGATAGCAAATGGCTGGAGCACCTAAGCAACAGGGCATCAGCATTTCAAAATCTTACTAAATACACTTTTTGCCCTGTTGCATCCCCAAAATTGTAACTGCTGAAAGCTATGAGTAAAAAAGATAGGATCTTGAATTTATACTACACATAAAGCTCTGATCAGTAGCAAGCACAAGTGCTTGGGGATTCAAACTTGTGCAGAGGGATTGCTAGCAACATGGCAGTACCACGCGTTAGTAACATTCACTTGATCTTCATCTATTTCTACTCATCATCAGCCTGAGACGTAGAGTCTTGTGATTTTGAGGAACCACCCAGATGGATAAAATCAGTTCATAAACCTGTATCATACTTCTGTGTAAGAATTTAACCTTTAAAGGAAATTATGTTGCAGAAAATACCTTTGTAAGTAAATGCATATCCTAGAATTAGAATTTTTTTCTAATATGGCTTTATCCAATTTTAATCCATTTTTGAGTATCAAATACCGAGCCCTTTTTAACTACAGTCAGGTTGCTTATTCCTATTACAGATTTTAGCTATGCTCTGCACAACTTCTACCCCACACAGCATCTACTATATTCATGACTACCAAAAGTGTATAATTTACACAGATGGAACATGGCAAGTTCTAGATTTAACTGGAGAGCCAGAACAGGATGTGTTAAACTGCACAGTGATACCTGTCTGAAATCTTAACTTCCTCCAGCTCACCTTGAAATTGCAATGGACACTCTGACTGCAGAGCGAAATCTTGTAAACCCCTTCGAATGGTGTGTGATGATTTCGAGGTCTGTGTAGGAAGGCTGCCCGCCCATCCGTGCGATGAGGGCCAGTGTGGCTTCCTCACACTCCTGGAATCCGCCTAGTAACAGCAGCAGGTACTTTTTCTGATAGATGAGAGCTTTCCGGAAGCTCTCTGCTCGCAGGTATTTGCCATAAATTCTCTACAACAAGAAAAAAAGGCCCCATCAGCTGAAAGAACAATTACAGTTCTAAGAGTTTTGACACTGCAACTGCTAAGGCATTTCCATGATTATTCATTTCTCTCTTGTCACGGAGAAGACCCTTGTTGAGTGTAGCTTCATAATTTGAGGATCACCTGAGCAGCAAGAAATAGAACACACGCTAAAAGACAACATCGGTGCTTGCAGATCATTCTTGGGGAGAGAAACTAAGAGCCAGGTATCTGAGGATGAAAATTTCAACCCTGAATTAGTATCTGTTTACTTAGAACAAGCAGAGTGAACACAATGAAGAACAGGCCCGAATCAAAATGAAAAAAACGCAGCTGTAGTTACTATGTGGGCAGCAAAGTCTTCCTACCCTTAAAACAGCGTTCTCGGAATCTGATCCCAGTTCTCTGAAGAAAGCTTCACTCCTGAGCTCTGCTCTCAGCCTGGAGAGCTCCGCATCAGCTTGTTTCAAAGACTTCTGCAGTGACAGCTTCTCTCTGTTCCAGGTTTCCTTCTCGGAGGCAACAAGAGTATCGATATTAACCCCAACATCCGATGAGTGTCTGGAAGACTGAAGACAAAATAAAGTGAATTTGAACCTTGCAGTTTGGAAAAACTCAAAACAGCGTCATTTTAGTCACTGCTTTGACGGACAGCTTATAAAAATGTACTGAGCACAGGACAAGAACAACTCATGCCCATTTACTCTGCAGAAGAAGCCAAGCCAGACAGACAGCTTTATCACTTCCACTTGGGTGACTAGGACAATGAATAATGCTTTTATGCCTGTCTATATGTTACCATATGAGCACCACTACAGACATACATAGTCTCCAGAAAGTTGTCTGTGCTGGTATCTTCTCAGTTCTTCCTCCAGTTTCATAACAGCATTCCTCAGATTGTTCTTTTCCTCGCTCAGCCTGCTGACAAAGCCTGTCAGCTCAGCATTCTGTCTCAGTAGCCTCTCAGTCAGCGAGCTGGATGGTGTCCCTGGGGGCAGCACTAGCTTCAGCTAGAAGGAAGAAAAATAAAATCAAACTTGTATTAGATTGAAGCTGCAACTTGAAAATAACTGGCTTACAGTGAAAAACTTCTGTAGATAATGACCATAACTTCTTAATGACTTTTATATAGAAAATAGGTGCACATGTAACCTATAGATTAATGTGACCTTCTCATCTATTCTTACCCCGTATATCACAGCACAGTGTTTTAACACAAGCTCAACCGTACCAACTGTACCAACTTGCAAAGCTTTTCTACTGTGTTTAAGATTTATCTAACTCAGAAGAAAAGCCTCAAAGCTTTTTTCAAGTCATGTTGAAAACACTTGCTTAATGTGAAGGTAAGGACCTAGCCAAGCAGTCAAAAAATCACATACTGCTTAATTCTTTGTCACAGATCACCTCATTTCATTTTTTACATAGGTGCACACTACTCAATCTGCAACTGCCTTTCCCTTAGTAAATAAAAGGCAGTCAAGTAAATGTGTTGCATCACCAAATACAGTAAATACTAAATGCTGGTTCTAATATTGAGAAGCATTGAGCAAAGTCTCCTCAGTTACAGAAATACTGCTGAAAGGAAGACATTTTTTTATTAAAGAAAAGCCATGATATTTGAAAGTTATAATTCAACTGGAAAAGTTTCAATTTGAAAGTTGAAAATTCACTTTTGAGGTAATTAAAATGGAAAAAAAAACCACAAATGGAAAGAGGTTTTTACACTTCAAATCACAACACCCACTGGAGCAGTGTACCATAAAGTACAGACTTAACAACTCCTTGCTGGTTTCCCCTCACATCACCCACTCTGCCACCAGTTACAACATTGCACTCTCACCTCTTCCAGATAGGACAACCCAGGCAGTTTTTGCAGCTCTGAAATAACTTCTTCGATAGCGTTCTGTATTGCGATGAAGTCTTGATCATCTGCTGCTTCAAACTGCAACCTGAACAAAAAGCAAGAGTTTCAGGAGCAGGTACAGTCTGAGACCCTGAGCCAGCCTGATGGGACTTCACACACTGTGACTTTATCAAGTCACTTCAGCATTGTGGCTGGGGACGCGGCAACGTTTCCAAGACTTCTCGGTGACCCTAAGTGCAACTGGCTCCATTTTTATAAAGACTTTGCACAGAACGGTTCCCACTAATTTGGAGAAAAGTATGTTTTCTACATGAAGCACATTTCAAAACGTGGCCCTGCTTCCCACCTCTTTGCTGAATCTGTGTGAGCAAAACCTTAGATATTTTCAAGATGTAACACATTCCCCTTTGCCCAACTGTTTCAGAATGAATAAATAATAGTAAATCACCATCACAGCAAAATAAAAACAGATTTAAACCTCCCATGGACCTGGTACCATGCTATTTTTTTTTTTGCCTTAATGAGATAGCAACCTCAGACAATAAGAATCAAAATCAACTTCACTTGACCATGAAATTCTTTCTCTGACAGAAGCAAGGGTGATGATCCATAGCAGTAATCCCTACATTTGTCCTGATACACTGAATTATTTCAGTTTTTTACTAAATTGTTTTAAAATGATCTACCTACATAACACTCAAATAAACCTTACCACTTTTCAGAGGAAAAAAAAAAAAAAAGACAATTTTGCTGTAACTCAAAAAGGACCATATTAAACATCTAATATTTAGAGCAGCATCTAATACTTAGAGCAGCATTAACAAAACCAAGTAGCTGAAGACTGGTCTGACCTGCTAGCAGCTTTCCGAGCCAACTGCTTCAGCTTTGGAAATGCATTCTGCAGCTTTTGCCTGACGTTCTGCAGAACTTCACTAGCAGCAGAGAGCTCTCCTCCTCCCGTCACTGTGGGATAGGTCGATTCATTGGTCTCGGCTCCTTCCATTTTCTGCTGGAGAACCCATTTTCTTGTTCTATCATTAGGTGTATCCCAGGTAGTCTGGAGATAAATATGTATTTATATACATATAGAATGCATGTGGTCCAGTGCTTTAAAACGGAAACATCTGATTCTGAAACACACCCAGGAACTGAAGAACAAACAGTTCTGACACAAGAAGGAGTTCAGTGTGAAACGCTATGCTACAGTTGTAGCATACCACTAAACTATTATTTGTGAATGGTATAGTGTGATGCTTCTCTTGGCTAAGATCTAGCCATCATACAGCTACAGTGTGAATCCATTCAATGGATTTGGCCAGCAGGAAGCCACCAAGATTTTTTGTTTCTTCCACCAGCAGTATCGGTACCAGTTGTGCATGGCATTTGGGCCACTGTGCCCATGTATTTTGGTGACCAATTCATAGCCAGAGGATCAGGCCTGGAAAAGCCCACTATGGTCATGGAAATCAGTCCACAGTCACAGGCAACCATACAACTGATGCTTCCACAAGTGAAGCGAAGAACTGAACATGTTCTCCTCATCTTAACTAACACTGGCCATGGAACTGTTAGCCCTTCCAAGGAAACCTGAGCGTACTGCTGTGCCTTTGGGTATCAGACCATGGTGTGGTACCAATGGAAAAAAGCAGGGTGTTGCAGATGTCCCAGGAAGTGGCAGGAGATTCATTAGCTGAAACTCTGGGCAGATCCTGGAAAGCAGATCATACTGCCTGCTGCCGAGGAGAAAAACCCAACAGCCACTGCCAACCTGATCCAAGAGAAGACTGCTCACTGACCGTGGTGTTGGCAGCTACCTCCATTCAGAAGAGCAAGGAGCACACACTGAGCATGACAGGAAGGCTGATGTTATCACAGTTATCAATACACTCAACAGCCTGCCTCTAGCTGGGGGTACTTTCTAATGCTTCAGAAGATTTAAGCCAGTAGCCAAATTAGATGAAGAGAAGAATTTCCTTCCTGGCTCCACAGACCAAAAAGCAAGGAACGATGGCAAACACATGGGCAGCAAAAAGGCAAGTCTCCTGTCAACCTTCTCCAGGACTATTAACATACCAAATACCCAGAAACACCTACATCTTATAGGGAAGTTTCTGAAGAGTTTTAAAATGAATTCAAAATTAACTGAAAACTTTCTATGAGAGAAAAAAATTTACAGGCAACAGCAGTTTCAACTTTCATTCATATAAAAATTAGTCTAAATTCCTACTTTTTTACCTTAATTTCTTCTATTTTGTTTGCTAACACATACATATTCATGCACACACTTGCTTTTTGATTACTTACTTTTCTAATTATTAAAGTTGTTGGGAGACCATTTTTAAATGTTTCAAAAATCACTTGTGGTTTATGAACTAAAGATTAAGAGAACTGACCTGGAGCACTCTTGAGCAGAAACAGCTCATTCCTGCAACTGCGTGCAGGGAATATTTTTCTCCTGTACTGAGGCACAAAGTGTGTGTGTACACTGAGGTGCACTTCTCCTGCTCACTCTCCTCCTTACATATCTCTGCAGCTTCATTCTCAGAGGATGTGTGTGAACAGTTTTAGGTAGAAAAACTGGAATGCTTTCCTTCTCCCTGGTGCCCATATTTTGTAATCTGCAGCCTATTTTACAGATTGATTAAAGGCACAGTGACACACAATGTTAATTGATCAAAAGAGTTAAAAGCTAAATTGCACAGTTCAGTATTACACATTGCTCTCACTCCTACTGTACCTCATTTGTATTGTGGCTTGGTGTCCTTTCAGCTTCCTTCCTTCCATTCTCCTGCTCTTGTTTCTGCAGTTCTTGGATTATTTCCTGCAACTTCTTTGTTTCATTCCCTAATTTAAGAACTTCTTGCTTCTTTTCTCCAAGCTGCCACTGAAGGTCTTCTACTTTGGACTCCAGTTCATGGAGTTTCTTCTGTGCTATTATGTTAGCATCTTGTTCCACCTGTAATGCTTTCCTCTGGATCTGCCTTTCCTTTTCCATTTGCTGTCTCACTTGCACAGATTCCAGTTTATATTTCTCCATCTCACTTACTAACTCCACTACACGGACATGCTTTTCATCCATTTGTTTCTGCAGCTCTTTAAGTAATTCCTCAGACGGATTAGGTGCTCCAGCTTGCCCCTTATCTTCAGCACTTTGAAGCTGAGCACACAGTTCCTTTTCCCTTTCTAGGGCACTGCTTATTTCGAGAGCTCGAACCTTCTCTGACTCAAGAAGCACCTGCAACTCAGAATTACGGCCCCGCTCGTGTGACAGCTGGGCAGCACTGAGCACTTCTTGGGATTCAATTTTCTGCTGCAGATCAGTTGACAGCTGCTTCTCTTGCTCCAAGAGTTTAGTTAGCTCTAAGTTCTTCTGCTTTTGATCTTCAAGTGAAAATTTCAAATCCTTCCATGAGAAAACAGAAGAAAAGGATTGATTAGAGCTATTTGTGTACACTTTCTGTGTTACTGCCTGCAAATTGCAAGTATGCTACCTCTACACATATTGCTTTTAACAGTTTTGCTAGCCACAATTATGTGACAATACTCAATGCTGCAGTTACATCTAATATTAAAATCTATTACAGGTGTCTGTTCTAGGACCGGATCATCTCATAAAAGGATATTTGTGATATATACTTTTTAATGAGATACAAAAAGCTGCAGTTCTGATGTTGAAGGCAACTGCTTTACTTTCTAAAACTATAGAAGTGAATTTTGGAAGTTAAGATTTCAAGATGCAAATAAATCTGTGTTAATGATTGCTTTTTTGTCTTAATACTTGCATGAGGATATATCCTCTCTTCTCCCTCACTCAAGGAAGCTACTGGTACATTTTGTCTTAAACTCCTTAGTCTGATTTTCACGAGGAGAAACATCTAACTTTTAAAGTGAAAACAAACAATGTATCTCCTTAAATAATAAATACTCTGTTCTGAGTTAAGTTGCAGTGGGGGCTAGGTGTAGCCATGTTAGCAGTGCCCTGTCCCCTTGAATATCTGATTCTATTATACAAAGTAGAATCTTTTCATCTTGGCCCTAAACTGGTAGTTGTAAAACTCCTACTGATTTAAATGAAATTTACATCGGGCCTTTTTCTTTCTTTGCCACACAGCTTCTATACATCTTTCTCCTGCTCTAGAAGATACAGTACTGCTGTTGAAGACAGGACACACGTTGGACAAAAATGTAAGCCGAGATGAAGTGTTAACCGAAAGAATAACTGTGTGCTCCCTGATCCGGACCACTTGGGATTATGGAATACCTCAAGCTCTTCTCTTCCTCTTTCTTTACTGCGTTCCATTTTAGCTTTTTCCTTTTCCAAAGCCCACTGTAGCTCTCTTGATTTTTTCTGTTCGCTGGCCATTGTATCCTTGAGAACATCTAGCTCAGCTGCCTTTTCTTTAACTTCAGTCCTAAAAGAGAAACGGACAACTCCCGGATTAGACAGTAGCTCTAATCCCCATCACGGTGACATTAGTTACTTGATATTTATTCCATCTTGTGCACTGGAAACACTGCTTGTCTAGTAGAGTAATTGCAAAAAGCTAATTTAGAAAAACAAGCCTAACTCAAAAAATAAAAATGGAGTTGAATAACTCAAAAAAATGAAAGCATGTGTGTCCATACTATCAGTACTCCATACTGATAATTCTGAGCTGCCATTTAATATTAATTGGTGGCTTAGAGGCAGCTAGTTTTAACTTAAGCCAGCCACTGGCCAAAATATGCAGGGGAAATACGTCTTGCTGCTATGTCTCACAAAGAAAATTATACTCTGAATTTTCTTCCCCCCTCCCCCCCCCCCCCAAATTTTGCATCAATTTGCAAAGGAATCTGGCTCCTTATGGACTGTAAAGGTTGTAAAGTAATCTGCAAAATAATGCCAATTTAAACTCTGTCTTGATTTGCTACCTCAGAGCTGAACAAAGGCATAAATAATAATGGCTTTATTGAGTGCTAAATATTTAGCCTGTCACCTCTGCTTCTGACAATGCCAAAACAACACTTAGAAGATATGAAATTTTATATGGAAGTACTTGCACAGTCATCTTAACTCTGCAATTCTTTTCTCTATATTCAGTTTCAGAAGCAGAAAAACTTTTAGTAAGTATGGTATACTTGTTAGTTTGTATACGGTAGTATAATGTGTCAAAAATTGATACTAATAAATCACTAGATCAAACTGTGAATTGTATCTTCCTAATGAACAGAATGACATTTTTTGACAAATGGAACAGAAGCCTGTTCTTTGTCAGATATGTTTTACAGAAAAACTGAGAAGTTTTTTACATTCATTTTATGCACATGTAATTTACATTACATGACATCAACTTCCTTAATAAAGCCAATATTATGATTTGAGACAACATGGAAAAGATCATCTTCACTGTTAACACAAAGTTTGGCACTGAAAGCTGAACCTGATGGTTTCTAGGTCCTTGAAGTGCTTGTGCTGTGCTTTAAGGGTTGCTTCAAGTTCTAGTTTGGCTTGTGCGAGTTCATTCTTCAGCTCAGCACCCATCATTCTCTCCGAATTCAGCTGTTCCTGAAGCTCAGCTGCTCTGTCCTTCATACTCCGGAGCTCCACTTGCATCTCCAGTATTTGTGACTGCTTCTGCTGCATATTATACTCCAGCATTTCTAATGAGAGCACCATTAATATGGAAATTACTTAGCAAGCAAACAACACTCTTTGGGTAGTTTTCCCTAGCACAGAGAATGACCACAAGGCTATCACTAAGAGTGGTATTTTTAAACAGTATATTCTTTCAATAATAATGGACTGAAAGGAAAACCACTTTATAACTTTTGTATTTTCCGAGAAGTTACTTCAATTCTTACACTTTTTTAAAAGACTATGTGCACAACCATACCGATATGTATCAGTTGGATTACGATAGATTAATAGCTGAAGTTAGGTATGTATGTATACTTGTGACCAAATTTTTTGTGACAAAACACTAACTGAGCATTTACTTGACTGGAAGTATACCTGTTCTCTGAACTTTTTGTTTTTTTTTGTTCTAATTGCTTCTCCGTTTACTCATTATGACTGACCATCCAACTTGGAGAATTTCAAAGCTGTTGAACCTAAACACTGAAGCACATACATGGAAATTAACCTTAAAATACAAGCTCAATTTTTACAGCAACTGAAATAACTTTGTATCACTTTCAATCTGATACAAGTAGTAAGAACACAGACTATTTTTGTAAAATCAGTCCAATAAGAATTAAAGATTAAAAGTATGCATACTCAGAAAGAGCATCAGAGAGCAAAGAAAGTAGTAAGTTTTCACCTACTGTGTTATGAGCACTGCCATGAAAGCATTTGGAAACAGACATTATTACCACAGAAGTCACCTTGGCTTTTTGAATCCATTTCTTGTTCTCTCTTTGGATTATTTTTCTTACTGTTCATCTGAGCATGTAAGACTTGAATCTCCATCAGCAAGCTTCTTCTGTCTGCACTCTGAAGAGAGTCCATTGCTGCTGTCTGGTTTGTAGCCTATTAGCATCAGAAATGTTTGAAAGTAAAGCTCCAGATTTTATTAGGGTATCTATGGTGTAGATATTACATTTACTTACATATTCATACTGCATATATATTCAAAACATTTTCAATTAAGTCACTATTAAGCCAATATTATAATATTGGGAAGAAATAGTTATTTTTTTATTTTAGTAATCCTACAGCAGCTTCATCATTTCCTCTCCTTACAACTTTCTCTGTATATACAAGCTACCTTTTCATTTAGACAATGCAACATAATTTTAATTAACTTAATGAAATCAAGCTCAGGACAAGTGTGTTTAATTAAAACTGATCTCTCAAGGCTGTATTTTTTTTTTAGCTTGTGCATCCAAAATTGGTTTTTTCCCCATACCCCATCAGTGTTTCTTTTTAAAGGCACCTCTTCTTCCTACAAGTCTTTGTTTTCACCCTTATACTGTCCAAACTACTAGTAATACAGATATTTTAAAGTGGATTTGTACATTCGAAATTAAAATCTAATTTAGACAAACACACTTTGACTGAAGTATGGTTTATATTACCTGCTCCTGCAGTCTGTGCTCTAACTGATTCATCAATATCACTGCATCTCTTGTGCCCAGCTCTGCAAGTTCAGTTTGAAACGCAGCAAGAAGAACATTTTGTTCTCTCACAAAAAGCTGCTGAATAGCATGCAGAAGTTCTCCTCGCCAGTCTGAGACACCTTCAGGAGATTCAGCACTTGCATAAATCTATAGTGGTATAAAAACAATTTAAACAGCAGAATTCAAAGTTTCCATCAAGAATGGTCATTATCATTTTATGTGCAGTGTGTGTTTTCAGTGGAATACTGAGCCTTCCTTACTCAGTAGCTGAATAACATTCATTCATACAAACGGATGTATTTTCTGTACACATTATCGTTTCTTCTGCATACACAAATGCTAATCTTTCATCTGTGTTTTAGATGGAAGCAATTTAGCTTTTTGTAACTGAAAGCTTAGCCCCACGTAGTTAATATTTATGTTACTGTATGACACTATCCTTTTAATTTTTATGATGTTATCAGTATGCTGCTAGGCTCCCACAGAGCTACTTGGCAGTGTGCAGATACTGTGTATGAAGAAGATTTAATTCTGAACTGATATAAAGTTAATCTTGTTAATAGCATCCAAGTTTTACTATACCAATATGCAACAACATTAAAAAATACACTTTAATGGCCATTGAAAACATGCTTTCAAAATAGAACTATTTAAAAAAGGTGGATTATACTCAAAGGCTACAAAACACAAATGCAAGCTACAATTTAAGATACATTTTATCACCAGAAAATATGGTAAGCTGTTTTACCATGTATTTTTAAAATCTTCGGCCTTACAGCAGTATATTTAGACCATTTAAGCCTGAACTGTAAATGTGCCTTACAAGGTAATCATCAATTATTTTTTATTTAGATAGAATCTTATGATATTATTTATACCTCAGCTTCTCTATGAAGTTGCATTTTTGCAATTAGGTCTTTCAAAGATGAAATGGTGCTTAGAAAAGCTTTCCTTTCTTCAAGCCAAGATTCTGGCTCTTGCTTAAGAGATGGCATCTCCCTTTCACCATACGGAAATTCAGTGAGAGACAGCACCTGGATGCCTTCATGATGGACTGCTCGCAGCAAACCCTACAGTGAATGCATGAAGAAATCAGTAATGCCAGTCCTCAGGATAGTAATAATAATCTTATTTGTTTACTTTTGTAATATAGATAATAACTCAACACCTGTTAATAACAATCTGTAAAATTGTGTAGTACATGCTCATGACATTAACACAGAGTAACTACAATAAATAGTAATTATTTCTCAAAATAATAACTGAAAACAAGTTAAACCCCCTCATATTTAACCTAACTTAACATGAAAGTTAAATCAGAAGTTTTTTTAAAATGTATTAAAATAGCCGACACTTCAAAACTTATCTAAAGGCCTCTCTTTTTTACTACTCAAGCAGCAGCTTATCTAAGCTTTTGGCAGTATCACTCTTGCTCCACAATAAAAATGATCATTTCTATTTTACCTTAATTTTTTTTGGAAGTAAATCTGTTGAAGTTTCACCTTCATCTATTCCTTCAGATATCGTGTCAGATCCCTGGGTCTGAGCAAGATACATTCCCTGACTCCAGTCTGAACTGGAGTCTAAAATAAAAGAAAAGAAAGATGAAAGCTGGATTACTGTGAAACTTTGAAGAAAAGGCATCAAACAATTATTTTTGTCTGTTGTTGTAACAGGTGGTTGCATGTCACCAGAGCTGGTTTTAAGCCTGGAGACTGCCTGTTTTGTACTGTTTCTTTTTCAGGTTCAAAGCAGTTACAGCAAAGCCAAACTAAACCAAACCAAACCAAAAAAAAACCAACCAAACAAACAAAAGAAACCCCAAACCTAAAAATCCTAGTTTATTTGTAAAAGAGAAACAACTTCTTGCACAAACACTTCTGTCAAATGAATTCCTCCTAATATGCTTAGGCTCTGCCTATGAAAGGAACCATGTAAGTTATTTTTATTGCTCTTGGAGAAGTCAGTGCTTATTATCTCCCACTGCTAGGGAGCTGTAGCTTTTAAATTCTATCAAGAGATGATGAAGCTATGCTGAAGAGGTAATGTAACATGTGAGAAGAATGTAGGAACTTCAGTGCGAATAAAAAAGTTAGCATCTGGTGCCTTGATGCAACCCATCTCCACTCTAGTAATCTTCCTTCCATAGCAAATTAAGAGACATGGCATGCTCTGCATCTTTTGCTAGCTCAGCAGGCTTCTGCTTCAATATGGGGAGTAGCTGTTTTTATTTCTTAGAACACAAACTCTCTAATGATAAACTTAGTATTAAAAAAGCATATTTAATTAATAATGCTGTTTGAAAGAATGTAACTTTTCTTACCACTGGAACCTCCATCTCTACCTTGATATGGTAGAGAACGTGTTAATCCAGAAACTGGGATCCCCTATATGTAGAAAACAGAATAATCAAATCTTTTATCACTGCACATGCACTCACAAGAAGGGAGCTGATTTTAAGGAGCAGGAAACAACATAAGCCTCTTTGTCTAGTTTCCACTGCAACCAAAGTAATCAAAATGGAGATGAGAAAGGTGGTATTCAATAGGGTGACCTACACTTGTCCACACTTCACAGAGCGGGACAGGTCCAAGGTAGTAGCATATGGAAGCAACTTAAATTGCTGAAGAAGGGGTTCATAATCTCTCCCTAGACTACAGAAACATTAGAATACTTAGAAGCTTTATAATGAACATGTGATGGTTCACACTTAATGGACTTTAAATGGGGATTTCTGTAGCAAGAGTGAAAGCACGAACCAAAGCAGTTCAATGAATATAAAATTGGATACATACCTCTTTAGCTTGTAGACTTTCTATTACTTCCTTTAAAGTATTACATTCTTCAGTCAGTACTTGCACTGCAACAAACTTCTCTCTTTTTAATGCTTCAGATTCAGAGATATGTCTTGTCTCCATGTCCATGATTTCAGCAGCATGGAGTTCTTGCATTTGATCAATTTTATCAGTAAATTCTCTTATGATCTCTGCAATCTCTTCTGAAGAACATCCACTCTGCAGATCATTTTGGATTTCTGCATTTTTAACAAGAACTGGTAAAGTTTGGATACAGCTGTTTATTTCCATAGCCTTGTCTGTCTGTGATGATGAGCTTTTTCTAACTGGAGTAGGCTCACTGTCTAACAAATCACATGCTATTTCTGCATCCTTTTTGTTTTCAGGTTTTGCCGTTTCCTTGTCTTTTCTCACATAACTTGCAAGTCTCTCTTCTGCTTGAACTAGATTCTCTTTGACTTTGCACAGGTCTTCCTGAAGGTGTATCAGACTTGCTTCTTTCACCTGTAAATATGGAGAATCTGAATTGCAGTCCTTCCAAATACTTAAAGTAAGTATCTAAAACCCAAACAGCCCTCTATACCATTAGACCTCAGTTTAGTCCTATTTTAAAGCAGCTATGACACATGGTAGCAAATACCAGCTCTCAAGAAATACAGCTCCAGATCCACTGGTGCACTGTAGTGGCCTGTAAAACTACTATGCACTTTGGCTACAAGTGAAGGTTTAGTCTACAGCACCAGTTCTGTTCCACCGACAGTAGGTACTGAGTGACTGTTTTTCTTAGTGGCATTATCAGTACAAGATCAAAAAAACTTATAGCATGCATATTTGCACAGGAAGTCCTGCATAACCATTTACTTTAAACACAATATGGAACAATCCAGTTCTTACTGCTAGCTCTTGCTGAAGTTTTTCTGCCTTTTCTCTGTAACTGTTCAGTTCTTCCTTAGCAGCAGCTGCCTCTTCTTTAAGTTGCTCTAGTTCAAGTTCATTAATAAGCACATTTTCTTTTTGACTTCCCAGGAGTTGTGCCCCTACCTACATGGCAACACAAGACATGGAAAATGGTACACAAGACATAGAAAATGGTAAAGAATCTTACAAATAATCAACTATTAACAGCATGGATCGCTTTCACGCCAACCTACAAAAGCCACGAATGAGAAAACCATAGGGGAAAACAAGTGTATGTTACTTGGATTAACATAGCCTCAAAAAAATTAAGACTTAAAGACTATTTTCCTAGATTAACTCCCACAAACTGGACAAGTATGGGAGGAAAGACTGTCTTCTTACAGGTTACTGAACTGCAAGGAGAAATTGGCTACACCACGTAGAAAGAACATGGAGGAAGGGGAACAGAGAGTATGAAATGAAATCTGATAATACTTTTAAGCCTATAAGACATTTATGACATTCACTCAATCTATACTTGGATGAAGGTCTTGGAACCTTTTCCAGTCCAGCACTGGGTTCCATGATGTCTCTGAACTCAAGAGTTTCAGCAATTAAGCCCATGTTTGGGCTATCAAGTCCAGAAAACTTTGACTGAAGCTTTTAAATTCAAAGGCAACACAACCAGTGGTGGATGGAAAACAGGACAAATGTATACTGGTAAAAACCACTGATGGGAAGTATCTTTGGAATCAAGACAGGAAAGCAAGAAAACGTAAACTAAAATCAAAACATACATAAACAAACATTGTCCCTTCTGTCCCCACAAAAAAAAAAAACAACAACAATCCGTACAGGCACAAAGTACTATCACTCACCATTCTGAACCCTCTCACATATAATCATTATCATTTTGTTTTTTATTGATCTACCATGTCGTGTAAAAGTGTAGTTCACTCCATTCTATGTCAATTCAAAGACAGAGTAACAAAGTATATGACCAAAATTTAAAATCACGCTATATTTGTGAAGGGCAAACTGCTTTTGATGCAAAATGGAAACTGATACTGGGGTTCACCTAAAAATAACATCCTTCTCTTCTCTGTAACACCAGAAGTAACACAGAAATAAAAGTCTACTCAACACAGCAGAATATTCCTATTACTAGTCTCATTAAGAAGTTTTTCAGTCAGTATAGTTCACATGAAATAACTGATTTCAGTGAAAACAAGCCAAAAGAAAATGGCATCTACCTGACATGTCTGCATTTCTTCTTGCTTAATGTATTTCTGAATCTCTCGTTTGTGCTTTTCTTGAACCTCTTCTAGTAACTGTTGAAGTTCTAAGAGTCTTTCTTCTTTCACTTTAGCTTCCTTTTGTGCAACTTCTACATTTTCTTTTTCTAGCTCCAAGGTCTGATTTACAGTTGCCAGTTGATCCTCCATCTCACTAAGCCTCTGTTTTAAGACTAAGAATTTTGATCCCATCTCATTTTCAGTTCTATCACTCAACCCTTCTGTTTGGGCATTCTTGCTTGCTTTCTCTACGTATTTTGAAGATTCCTGCATTTCCTGCATGTATTTCCTTTGCTCTTGAACTGCATTCAGCTGAACCTGACTCACAAAAGCAGCAGCAACATTTTCCACTAGTATCTTTTCTAGTTCTAATATTCTCTTTTTAAGTGTTTCTCTTTCACCTTTTCCTTGCTCTTTCAGGGCTTTTATTTCATTGTAGGACTGACACAGTTCTGAATCTTTTTCCTTAATGCATGCCTGAAGTTGCTGCAGCTGTACCTCCATCTTGCTAATAGCGACTCCTGTGTTCTCATCTGAAGACGCAAGCTGGGACTGATCTAGCAACCCTACCTTCTCACGTAAGCCTTCTTCCACCTTTTCAGTGCTCCCATCTTCTGGTTTTTCCCTATCACCTTTCATCAGTGCACACTTATATTTCTCTGTTATTCTTTCATGCTCTTTTTTTAACATACTTATTTCTTGCTTTAGCTGGTTCATTTTTAACTTGGTTTCCTCAAGCTCATTCTTTGCTCGAGACACCTCTACATTTGCGCTTTCTACTTGCTTCTCCAAAGCTTCCTTTTCTGCCAGAACTGTTTCAAGGGTGCGTTTTAGACTGTCAGCATCTTCCTGTAAAGCAGCAATGTCTGCAGGTACTGTTGGCTCAATATTTGCCAGTTCCTGCTGAAGCTTGTCGATAACATCATTCAGCTGCTCTACTTCCTCGTAATTTTTCTTCTTCACACACTCTTGATCACTTTTCAGACATTCTACCTGGGCTTCAAGCTCCCGAATATGTTCATTCTGCTCTTCAACAACCTGGGAAAAAAAAAGAAAACAAAGAAAAGAAAAGAATTTCATAATGGGCAGCTACTAAAACCTCAGATAATTTTTCTCCTGGACTTCAGCAACAGTTTAATAAACTATTGTAACATCTTGTAAAAGAAAGTGTGCTGTCTGTGAATTTCTTGATGAGATGTCTCTTGTAAAGCTTTATGAGCACCAGGACATCTTCACTAAGACCCACAAAGTAGCCAGCGATCATAATGAACTACAAACTAGGTATGAAAGCATCAAATGACGTGAAAGCATTTGTAATATTCACAGACATCTGAAACACTGAAGAAACAAAGTGGATATATTTTCTTAAGGGAATACCTGGATATCTGAAATGAACAGTGCTTCTACACTGAAAAAGGCAGAAGTAAATCTGTCAAAAATATTTAGGAAGAGATGTGATGAAATACAATGTTAAGGTACCTACAGGAGGTAGGAACTCTAAAATGGCCTTTCAGAAATACAAAGAATAAAAAAAGAAGAGGAATAGAAGAAAGATGACTAAATTAATTACTAAAATAGCCATGCTTTTTCCTTCATTTCTCAATACTTTGTTAGGTTTAGTTAGCTAAATAGAATAAGACAACTGTGTAATAAGTATATGTATGAAAAAAATTTACAAATGTGACCATATAAATTATAGAATTTGTAACCTAGAATGTATCTTTAAAAATCCACAGAAACTAGAGGAAGCTCAAAACTACTTGATAAAATGTGAAGTCATTAATTTTCAGAAGAACAGAACAGTGATCCTGGTGATTGCTATCAACAGCATAACAGTTGCTCTTCTTCATAACATTATGGAATAAAGGACCACTGAAGGCAAATACAGTAATTAAAAGAAAAGCACTTAGTGGGATGAAGATGTCCAAGGGACTAGGAAAGGGATTAACCTAAGAACAATCAATTAATATTTAATACTGATCTCATAATTAAGCAGAGTATTTAATGTCCTGGAAAATATAACTGAGTAAGAAGATGAAATTAAGAAATGAAATTTTATATAGCAGGAAAAGAAGCAGTCATTAAAATGAATCATATGTGAATCCTGTGTATTTTTCTCAAGAGAAGGAAATATAACTGTATTACCGTGGTTATTGTATAATGCAGAACAGGTCTGGATTCTTAAAGTATGATTTTTCCTAAATCCAATTTCCTAAACCCAATTCGAAGTTTATTCATTATTCACCGAGGTTCATTTTGCACAGATCTTAGTGAAATTATCCAGCTTGGACGCAGCCCTATTTTAGTGGGCTCAACAGTAGAATGTTACCCTATATTGAAGGTTAACAGAACTACTGTTCTCACCTTACTGAGTAATACTTGCTTCAGGGTAAAAGCTTATGACTAATGCATGTTTACATTTAAAATGGCCAGAATGAAAATTCCATCCACTGAAAAAATTCCATTTTCTTTCTATGAAAAAATGAAAAGTGAGAGCCTGTTTCTGGTCTCGCATCAATGCACAGTAAGTAGACTTTCTGTTGAAATCAAATTCTGTTGAACAGCATTACAGCTGTATAAAATGGAATTAATCCAGAAGCAGCAGCTTATTATCATAAATACACATAATTGAATGGTGAATATATGAACGGAAATCTACAGGTGTTAAATCTCAGTAAATAAAAGAAAGGTGAATCTGATTATGTCCTTCTTGCTCTCCATTTCTAACAAAACACAGCTTTTTTTTTTTCTTTTTGCACATCCACCATGCTCCAAACTGGATTAAAGATGTTGGCAGCTTTGGTATGTATGAGAGTAAAGGATTTAGACAGCTCATGGAGCACAAAAGTTTAACTGCTAAAAAACTCCATAAAATCAAATGTGACCCAACACTGAAATGTAACACTGAAAGTAAGTCTTTGTAGGGCAGACAGTAGAATGAATGTTGAGAAGAATACAGAATGAACAAGAATTTAAAGCAAAAACTCAAGCAGAAACTAGGCAGAATAATAAAAAGAAAAGTAAGCAAATAGTACCCTTCAAAACAGGAAAAATAGATTAGGGTTAAAGTGTTGCTTGAAACTGGAGCATCTGCGTGTTTAAATTAAAGCAGCAATGGAAGATAATTTACATGGTGGGGGGAAATTAGGGTTTTTTTTCTTTAAACATCTAGCAACACAAAGTAGGACTCCAAAAAAGATTTCAAAAGTATGTACTTTGTTATCAGTTGTGGCTTCAAGTTGCTGTTGCAGTTTTGCTATTTGTTCATGAAGATGATCTATTTCCTGCTCCTTTTCTCGCATGATGTGAGCGAGCCTCCCAGCCACTAAGTGATGGTCCTTTATGGTGCATTTTTCAGATTTCTGGATAGCTAGTCCCAGGATTTCCATTTCATCCTACCAAAAAAGCCCCCACAAACCCATGTTACAGTAGTACATAACATTTTCTGCATATTCTTGTATGAGTATTTAAGGCATAGCAATTAATATCAACAAACTGCATGGAATAAGAATTACAAGAGTTTATTAATATTTTACAAGTTGAACTGTGAAATGCTTGAGAGAGAATTTTATATCTTGGCTTTTTTCTAATAATGCATTTCTAGAACAAAGCTCTGGGCTTCTCTGTAACACACCTTATATAATTTGTTCTCCTGTTCAAGTTCTTGCAAGCGTGTAGTGGCCTCCTTTCGCTGAATTTCTAGTTGCATGTGCAATTGCTGCACTTCTTCATTTTTATTTTCTAGCTCCTCTCTGAACTGTTCCAGTTGTTCTTCAAGGTTTGTCACCTATGTTTCCAAAACAAAGGGTAGCAAAGGAGTATACAGTCATATCAAAAATTAAATGTCCTAATTTTCAAGTGCAATGTCTACAGTAAACTGGTTTGGTATGCAGAAACAGAAGTGTGCTTTTAAACTGAATGGAATTTTAAAACTTACTAAAAATCAGCTGAAAGCTCTCTGTTTTTCATTAACTGGACTCAATTTTGGTTCTAGAAATGCTCTTGTAAGTCATTAGCATTAACATAGACAATAATAACAGTTATCTTAGCTCACAAGGGAATTTCAAAGGCATTTGGACTGCTATCTCTCCAATCTGTTAAAAAATTTCACCTTTATACCTCACTAAACTCAACTGGAAAGCAAAAGCTAATAAATCAAAATGTCAGCAGAAACATGGAATATTTCACAGGTTTTACCTCCTTTTCCTTTCTGTCCACAGCTTCTCGTTCAGCTTGCAGTTGCACTTCAAGAGGTAATTCTCCCTTTACTATGATGGTGCCAAACTGTTTCCTTTCCTCCACCTTTAAATATAAATAATAGTAATAATGAACAGATAAGAAAAAGATATACTGTTTTGTTCTCAAGAATATAAGAAAGTAGCAACTAAATGGTAGTTTTAGACCAAACAATACCTTTTGCAAGTTGTCTGCACTGATGATTAAGGCTTGTTCCAGTTCTCTTATTCTGCATTCTAGTTTCTCAATTTCTTCATTTTGTTCTTGTATATCTCTCTGAAGTTGCTCCTTAGAGAGCAAAAGCTCACTGCATTTGTCTGTTTTTTCTTTTAGATGATTTGTTAACTGTTCAACCTGGTGATAATATAGCAAGAAGATGAATATGTTGTACCAGATTGGAAGGGTTTGCTAGCAATAGCAACAGCACTAATTTCTGACAGGGAAAAAATACCTCTTTTGTTTTTTTCCTCAGAACAAAACTCCTATTCTTTAGGTGAAACAGAATATGAAGTTAGGATACTGTAGTGCTACATCCAACAAATTCAAACAGCATTTTTTAAGAAGCGATATGTTCTGTGCTGTATCACCTACTCTCTACAACTGACCTTGTCTTCTGAAGCCTTCAGATTCTCTAGTCAGTTAAAAGCAAGTAGTATGGCATCCCTATGGAGCCCACTAAAAAGACCTTTAACATCAACAAATGGAATGTCTTGACCCTAAGGTCAAGATGCTATTTGCACCTTTGAGGAATATCATAGTAATAAAAATCTGTGACAAAATTATTCAAAATAAGGAGTTGATTAGTGACACAAAGACCCACTGAGCTTTAGGATATGCTTTTAACATTGAAAAGAATTGTCTTGCGAATCAGGAAGTTTTGGTTTCTTGATGTGTTAGATACATGGGACCAAACAGGTGTGATGGATGATATAACTTCACCTTCTGTAGGAGCATATTAAAAGAATAACTGAAGTAGTTAGGAGATAGAGATAGGAATGATCCCAGTTCCAGCAGTATTTCAGAAACAATTAATCAAAATTAGAGATGATTAAGATCTGTAGCAAATCCATGGTACTAGGCCCAATGCAGAGTCAATACCCGAGTTAAACTAAGCAACTGAGCACAAGACATGGAAAGTAATGTTTGTCCCACTCAAAAAACTGATTTCAGTATTTACAATTAGGACATTACAATGTAGCCAAAAGGTAGAAGGCTCAAAGCATTTCAATAGATAGGAGAGAAGAGGCCCAGAACATAAAGCTGACAGGATGGCATTATTGATGTTATCCATCCATGAGTAACATTAAAGTCTGAAGTGACCACAGAAAAGTCCTGAGAGAGAAATGGTAAAAGAAAAATCAAGTCTAGAGCAAACCCTTTATGACAACCCTCCCTGGAATAAGTTGACAGAGTATAGCTGAAACAACAGTAAAAAAAAGAAATGGTTATCAACAGTAAATGCTCACAGCATTCAAGCAAAGCAGAAGAGCATTTCAGAAACCTTACAACTGTGAAAAAATAAAGCTGCTACCTCAGAAAAGTATGAGAAATAATGACAAAATGTATTATTTATTATCCAAGTAACTTCATGACATCAAAATATACTATATAGTAAGACTATGTGCCTCACTTGATAAAAATTAAATGTAAATATAATACACCATTGAAAATTCTCACTATAACTTGTAATATATCTCTAAATTAGTTGATACACAATGTTGCAGCTGTTTGCAGACATTATCTTATTGTTTATCTATCTAATCTAATTCAGAAGCACCTAATATAAATCTCAGATTTTTAACCACAGTTATAGCTACCTTTCATTTTAAAGCATGCTTTAAATTTTCATTGTAGCATATCTGCCAATTTAAGATACATACATATATGTAGTATGTGTGTGATAGATCAGGAGGATTTTTACATACAGATTCTGTACAAAAAAAAAGGGGGGGGGCAATTTTTAGTATGCTGTCAAATTACGAATCCACATGCTACCCATGCCCCAAATTTTAACCAGACAGGTAACAAAATGAACTCAAAATGAACAACTTGGATTCAGGAAAACTACACATGCTAAAAAGTCTCTGCCATCTGTAGAACGTGTCAACAGAAGAGGAGTGTGCACACAAACTGCAATAGAAGGAAACAGGGAATTGCTCCCTATGTGTTAAGCACTCAACTAATTCCAGAAGATGCATTGTTACAGACTGCTGACAACCATATCACATAGTGCTGACTGAATACTTTGACTGAGATTTCTTACAAACTTTTTGTACTGAAATGTATAAACCCTCCCCTATGAATTACACTTCTAAATCTGAGACTTGCAAGTAATTAACTATTTCTACAACTTACATCTCACACACTTCCAACTTCTGTTCTATTACTGCCTATGATCCCGAACTATATAATACAGAATACTAAATATTGATAATATTTAAGAATTGAATTACAAAAACTGAACTACCGCAGGAAGAACTTTAATTTGCAAATCTCAGTGCAACCTAATAAGAGAAATTTTAATATTGAAAATCAGCCAAGAAAATAATGCAAATGTATCTGCCCTGCTCAAAAAGCAGGACAAAAGAAAAACTACAAAAACTAAAATGCAATTGAATTGACTAACAGGCCATCAAATAAAACATGCAAGAGCTTCATAATGTATAGCATTTGCACTGCTTCAACTTTTCTTGATTTTGCTGGATCTAAGAGTTTTCTGAGACTCCCCTGAGCTGCTGTTCTATAGTCACTAAATATGTTTCAGTGGAGACAGGCCTCCACCAGGGAGCTTCAAGTGTACATAGACAGCGCTACTACATCTCAGGTGCTAAACCTTGGTAACTCAATTACTTCAGTTTTGTACCTGTGCTATAAACAGGATGTCACAAAACAGCATAAAAACATATAAAATTGCTAAAGTAGTCCTGAATGTTTCCACAGGCTTCTGAAAAAAAAAGTGGATTTTCTAAATTAAGTCATATGAAAGAGCATTTTTCAAAGTTATGAAGTCACTGTATGTCTACTAAAAACAACCAACCAACCAATAAACCCTGAAAACAGAGGTTCACTACTTTCCCCCAGTACCTTACCCGTCATTCTAAGGGGATTTACCTTCCTGGTTTGTAAATAGATGCAGATCAGGTACACCATAAAGTAGCTTCATTACGGTCTCTTAACAGCTGTCAACTTGTCATTTATATTCATTGAGTACAAATAATAAAATGTGTTACCTCTCTGGTTTGATGTTCATTGACAGGCAGACTCCTTTGCGGAATCTTAAGCTGTTGTTCCAGCTTCTGGATCTCTTGTTGGAATACGTCTCTTTCGTGCTCTCGGTCAACTGCTTGCTCCTGAAAGTTAAGAAATGATGTGGATACACCATTTGATTTCAATCTAAATTAAGTATATTACTACTGTGTATTTCTGTTAATGTGAGGCTGGTAACAGTATGTCAGTATTTTTAAGGCAGCAGATCCTCTTTTGCAACTACCGTTAACAAAAACTCCTTTCAGCATTTGGGCCAACCAATTTCACTTTTCATTAAAAAACTAGGACAGCATAGATACATCTAGTATTATTTCACAAAAATAAGTTTTGTTTCTTCTGTTCCAGGTATACTACACAAATAGAAACAAGCCAGGATTTTATAATTTTTTTTAAATGTTTGTCTTTGATATATGTAGCATTAGAAATTAACTCTGTGTTAATATCCATGAGAAGCCAACAGTAAAAACCCCTGAAATAATATAAATGGTTTGAATTTTGTATTTCAGTTTTAACTTTTGAACCGTTTCAACTGTTATATCCAGTGAAACATCACCTTTAAATGACACTTTGTAAAACAGACAAACCTTATCAGATGCATGAAAATAAACTAGCTGAAGTACCCGATACAAAGAGGAATGCTTCTGTCTAGCAACAAAATACTTTGCAAAAATTCAGGAAACCAGAATAAAACCTTAACCTTTACAATCTGAAGATTTTAAAAACTCAGCTGCTGTTTTGAGGAAACAGCAAATTCTAATGCTGTTATTACAAACAGCTGCTCACCTCAGTAGTCAGTAACTCTCCTGTTCATGCTACTGATAATCCCAAACCATAATGCATTTGTAACTGACACTTGTAACAGGAATTTTTACTTCTGAACCTTGTCCTATTATGACACACTAGTTTCAGTAAGAAAAATAATCTTCTAATTGTAGAAAATCAAATATAGCAAATCCATTCATGGTAACGAGTATCTGGAAAAATCTCTCCTTTAGTACTTCTTAGATTATGCAGCGAAGGTGCCACAGGGCGTTCTATTTATTATGTAAAAATATCATTCCACCCTACTGCTTCCAGCTAGAGAGTTAATAGAGAAAGCACAGATATAACAGTTTTCTCTCAACAGCAGCACAGGGTGCTTAATAGGAATAAAATGGGAAAAGAAGGAGGTGAGGAAGATGGTGTTTGCTGAAAATGGGTTAGAGTCTAAAAGAAAATTGCAGAGGCAGCCTCAGAAAGGAAGAAGCTGGGTACAACAGATGCAACTGCCACTGTAAATGGGGACAAATACATATAATATAACTGTCTGGAAGGTTCAGCTTAGGATCTGGGAGGTAAGATTCTTAGCTACTACAAAGGAAGACTGTAAAAGAAACTATGGATCAGCTCCAACAGGCCCACAACCTCTTGTGTTTGGGGCCGCACAGCTGAAAACAGTGCTCCAGGTGAGGTCTCTCAAGAGCAGAGGGGGAGAATCACCTCCCTCGACCTCCTGAACATGCTTTTTTCTATGCAGCCCAGGATACAAAATTGGCCTTCTGGGCTGTGAATCCAGCTCATGCCCAGCTTTTTTATTCCCAGTTAAAAAGTACCCCAAATACGTCTCTGCTGGGCTGCTCTCAATCCTGTCCATCCCTCAGCCTATACAGCTGCCTCAACTGCCACTACACCTCAGCTGCCACAACTCAGGTGCAGGACTTTGCACAGACTTTAGACTAATTCTAAGAGACTTAACTGAAAAACATGGAAATTCTACCAACTGTTAAAAATGATCACAAAAAAATACGTTTCTTTATTAATTTTAGAAGTTTCCCATTATTTTAAACATTCAAGAAGTCTACTGAGTTATACTAAGAAATACAGAGCAGTCCTAAATAAGTGTCTTGAATGAATTTTTGACTTTTAAAACACTAATCATAGAATCACAGAATCGTAGAATAGTTAGGGTTGGAAAGGACCCTAAGATCATCTAGTTCCAAACCCCCTGCCATGGGCAGGGATACCTCACACTAAACCATCTCACCCAAGGCTTTGTCCAACCTGGTCTTGAACACTGCCAGGGATGGAGCATTCACAACCTCCCTGGGCAACCCATTCCAGTGCCTCACCACCCTAACAGGAAAGAACTTCCTCCTTATATCCAATCTAAACTTCCCCTGTTTAAGTTTTAACTCACTACCCCTTGTCCTGTCACTACAGTCCCTAACAAAGAGTCCCTCCCCAACATCCCTACAGCCCCCCTTCACATACTGGAAGGCTGCTATGAGGTCTCCACACATCCTTCTCTGCTCCAGGCTGAACAGCCCCAACTTTCTCAGGCTGTGTTCATACGGGAGGTGCTCCAGTCCCCTGATCATCCTCGTGGCCCTTCTCTGGACTTGTTCCAACAGTTCCATGTCCTTTTTATGTTGAGGACACCAGAACTGCACACAATACTCCAGGTGAGGTCTCACGAGAGCAGAGTAGAGGGGCAGGATCACCTCCTTCGACCTGCTGGTCACTCTCCTTTTGATGCAGCCCAGGATACGGTTGGCTTTCTGGGCTGCGAGTGCACACTGAAGCCGGCCCATGTTCATTTTCTCATCAACCAACACCCCCAAGTCCTTCTCCACAGGGCTGCTCTGAATCTCTTCCTTGCCCAACCTGTAGCTGTGCCTGGGATTGCTCTGACGCAGGTGCAGGACCTTGCACTTGGCATGGTTAAACTTCATGAGGTTGGCATCAGCCCACCTCACAAGTGTGTTGAGAAATTCTTGGGCTATAACACTGTGAATATTGTGTGCTTTTTTATGTTTGCTCAGAACTCAGGAAAAGTAGCATTTCCTGCTGAAAGAAACCTCAGTACAGGCACCCACCCACCCTCATGGAACTAGCCTTTTACCATACTTACATCTAGAAATTTTCTTGTTTTCTCAAGCTGCTTCTCCAAAGCCTGGTTTTGCTGCCTTAAGTCCATTAGTTCTGCATTTTTTTCTTGTTCTAGCTCTATGAAACGATTGACCTGTTCTTCCAAGTCTATTTCCAAGACTTTCACTTGCTTCTGAAGGTCACCATACTCTTTTTCAGCTTGACGCTGTACTTCAATTTTTTCTTTCATCAGCTTTTCTGTTTCCTCCAATAATTCTGTTTATAGTAAAAGCATCACACACTACTTTTAGATATGAATAGTTAATAATGTTATGAAGCAGAACCACTCCCCAAGGTATCCATGCTGTACTCTGCAGAAGGATGCGAACTGGTTTGGGTTTTTACTTTTTTTCTTTTTTAGAAAATGTATTTTCTTCTGAAAAATTATCAAGATAACCACTAAATCAAATCCATATGAAAACCACTATCCTTCAATTAGTCTTCAGAGAACCATTAGTGAAGTTGTTTGGATCACTTGCCTGTTTAAGTTTCATACAAATTAAAAGGTTTTTGTATAATTGAAAAGAAAATAAAATGCATGGGTTCAAGCTACAGCTAGAGTAAGCTAACAATGAAGTACAGAAAACCCAACCGTCTTCTCATCCCCAGCATCAGTAAAATCAATTCACTCCCAGTCTTCATCACTTAATGTGATACATGTAAGTAATTTGAAGGAAACAGGGAAAAGACTTAGCGAGGTTGCCAGGCAGACAGAGAGGGAAATTATCAACCTGTTACTGGAGCTTTGTAAAATCAATGATTGCATGGATGCCCAAAATTGAGTCCTCATGAAAAGGCAAGCATACACAGTAAAGCCCCAAACCACCCTATTAAGCCTCTGAAGCCACAGCCCATTGAAGTACATATTAACTAACCATATGAATCCTTGGAGGTAAAATCCAAACTGTAAAGTGCAATTACATTTGGATAATCTTCAAAACATGATTGATATTTAGACAGAAACAATACAATTTACTTTCACTATAGAAGAAATATCCTTTAAGTACCATCATCTTACATTATATTTAACCAATTCTCATTTCTAGGAAACTGTTATATATCAATGTAATACAGTATTTAGTTATTATAACAAATGACTCAATTGTATTTGGAAATAATAATAAAGAAAAAAAGCTACAAAATCTCCCTCCAATACTATCTAAGTATCTGTAATTCATAGGTGAATAAGATGATAGTTATTCATGAATTTGCTTATCATGTTTAGAAATTATAAGAAATGTTGTTAATGAAATGTAAAACTGAGTATGAAATACAACATTAAAGCTGCAGGCCAGTAAGAATTACAAGTAATGTCAGTAAGCCAAAAGCCCAATAATCCTGATTAACAATGTCAGTACGTGTAAGTCTTCCACCCAGTTACAGATTGGCCATGCAACATACAAACACACCTGCTTGGGAAGCTGCATCGACTGCAGCATCTACTAGGCCTAGGAGAATAGAGAAAGAGAGAAAACAAAAAAAAAGAAGCAAAGTAATTCACATGCCAGCTATAGTTTTCTTGTGGAGCAACAATGTAAGAGAAAATGAAGCCAAAGATAGAAGTGGCATTTAATGATAACGTTGTTGAGATAACTTAGGGAATGTGGTTAAGTTATTCCAGTATGTATGATGTAAGTACCTACACTTATATATATATATATAATTATCCTTACAGTTGTTATACATGAAAATCACTTTAAAATACTTAGAAACCTAAACCAAATAACTAAACTGGAGTCCTTGAAGGATCAGTAATTCTTAAAACACTGCTATGGTAAATTTCTTCCCCTATCATACACAGAAGTTACTAGTTTAAGGAAGAATTAAAAGACACAGGGTAAATGCTTTTTTTTTTTTTTTTGAGTAAGCAGTTAGTTAGATTACATTGACATGGTATTTATCTGTATTTTTCACTACAGTGCTGAAAGTTTTCATTACAGGTAGGTAACAGGCTTTCCTTACCATGCAACTTCTGTGCCATTCTTCCCCAAAAGAGGAATTTGTTAGAAAAGTGTATCTTCTGTGTCTAAAGTAACTATGGCAATCACGTTCTGGTAGGTATGCTTGCTAATCCCTTTAAAATACCGTGTGGAAAGTATTAGTATTTAGACCAGTATTTTTACCCATAACTTCAAGATACTCCACCTCCAGTGATAATAAAAGTAATAGCAGATTTTCAGAGGTATCAAGCTTTTTCTGGCTTGAAGAATAATTGTGAGTGCTCAACACTTCTGAAACCTCAACGATATTTTTTGTTTACATACGTAGAAAAGTTATTGTGCTAACATTAGGCATCAAGTATGAAATACCCCATTTTGCCTTATCACATTTTTATTAATGATTACAAACAAGGGGAGGAACCACTAAAATTTCTTGCAATTTTATTTGCAAGTATAAGAAAACCTCATGGAAAGACTGTGAAGAATACATACGCTGTTCGACTGGTCCTGCATCTGCTCTCATGGCATCCTTCTGTCTGGAAAGCAATTCCTTTTCTTCCTGGATCTGCTGCTGTTCAGCCTCTAACTCCTGTAATTTGTTACCTGTACACAGTAGTTCTTGCTCAAGATGGTCAATTACATCTATTTTTTCCTGGAGTTGTTTTTCCAGAAATGCTTTTTCATCTGCATAACCATCAATGAGGCCTGTAGAACAGAAATTTTGGGGCTGATTTTAATAGAAATACAGAACAATTTGAGTTTTTTGCATGGTAAAATTACTACAGTATTCCCACATGCTTGAGAATGTACAAAAAACTGAAGATGTTTCCATTTTCAATCCAAAGTAAAACCCCTGTGAGCACTGAGTTCCCTAAAAGAGAAAATTAAGTAATAGTCATCTTTGCATACACAGCCTGAGAAATCCAGGTCTGGTTCTCATGCATATCAGCCAAGTACCGCTGACTGTTCTTTTTTCCCAGACTTGGATTCACAGAGAACACAGCTGCACAGAGGGACTGGCTGTTGAAATAAAAAATACTGATCTAGAAACACCATTAACAGCAATTCAAAAATTTGAGACAACACAAATGCTAGTAATTATTCCCATCATACCAGATGCTGTTCAGAATGAGTGCTTAACAGACTGGAAGTTGAGAAGGCATTCCCAGGTTAAATAGGGTGCACACCCTCACAAAAAAGATACAAGGTGGTAGTCTGCTAAGATCACATGTTGTGGTATATACTCCTGCTTTTTTTTTTGTTTTTCTTTAAGAGATGTAATGAAGGTTGTCAGAGTTCAGTGAACAAATAGGCATTAGCATTTCTATCACTTTAGGTAACTCACATCTGACACCACTAAAACACTAGAGGTTTGAAAATGTCTCAGCCACAGCAGTTTTTGTGATGAGAAAGAAATGATCAAAAATGACACATTTTCTCTCAAGAGAAGACAGAGCACCATCAGATGTATAATGAATTAAGACATTGTTCTGCATACCTATCAAAGGAATTTGATGAGAGAATGTAGTTTGGTTTTGTCAGAGTATGCTCACAACTCAGTTCAATGAGCAGAAGAAATTAAATAAAGAGAGTTCTATGGCATTTTCGTTTCATTATATCAAAACCAAAAAAAAAGGTGCCTGTCTTTTAGAAGTGCATTAATTTCAGAAGTTCACAGAAAAAAAGGATGAAAAAATATTTAATTAATTCAGGAGTTGTAAAGCATTCAAGCAATGAGGGACAAATTAGCTGAATTCCTGCAAAAGACTGAACTGAATTTGCTCAACTGTGCAATGTATCTAACAAGGGCTAAAACTAGCATCAGATTCTGTCTTACACTCTAGAACTGTTCATTTACATGTGGGCAATCCCATTATCTACAAACTGGCATTTAGTAAGAGTCTGCAGGTTCTCTGCTGCTATTAGCAAATTTCATGACAGAATTGCATTGGTCCAGGGGAAAAAAACTACTTATTTTAGATTATTTGCTTGTCTGGTAGTAATAGGATAAAAATAAAAATGTGAAAATAAAAAATAGATAATAAGCAGGTCTCACTCTGTGGGATGTCATCTTCAAATATAATTATGCATGCATCCTCTGCAATAAAGAAGAGGCAAGATCGTAGTTCTTGGTGGACAACTTGACTAATGTAAAAAATACAGACCCAAAAGGCAAAGTAACAGAGATAAGTCACTAATAAGCACTTTTAAAAAATAAAATTACTCTCCAGCATTTTTTTTAGTTACTCCTTGTAGGAATAAACCAATGCAGAGGGCTCTGACATTACGGCAGATTCCTACCTTTAAACAAAAATGAACTGTAACCTTTCTCATTTGTCCTAACGTGTTAGTCTGTATTACCTTATTATAGAAGATACGTGAATAAAAAAAATAAAATCTAATAAGACAAAAATATTATCCTTGAAGAAAAGCAGCAATAAACATAAAAGCTGCCAATGTTCTGAAATTCACCAATACTAAACAGTTCTGTAACTACATCTGTGCAAAAACATAAATTCTTGGGTCAACATTTTGGTGGAAGATTTAATCTTTTTTTTGTATGTTTAGATAGGTTCTACATGAGGGTTTTTTCACTCTTAATTTTTTAAAAAAAAGTAATAATGCCACTTTCAGATTTGAATCTATTCCCTCTGAAATCAGTTTTCCTCCTTTCCAGTTTTACTAAAGCTATTGAAATGCTGCAGCCAGTACTGGTGCAGATGACACACAACATTTACACTGCGTGAACTGACAAGCTACCAACTGTTCCTCACACCACATTTTAGACACTTGGCCTAGAAACCTGCATTTCCTTGTCTGGTTATGTGTCCCACCTATTAATAGCATGTGAACTCATGTTGGATTATCTGTAAAAACAAGATGAAGTCTGGCAGGGTAGCATTCTCAAGGAATAACATTTGGCTATGAAACTTTATGCTGCCACTTGAAAACAGACTTCAGAGAAGTCTGCTGACCTTTAGAACTAACTAAAGTATCTTTCTGCTTACTACTACGGACAACTGACCTACAGGGTTGGCGTTTTGGTCATCTTTTCTAGCTGCTAATTACAAAGAGATAATGGTAGAAATGCGGGGTGGAAATAAAAATATTAGGCTATAAAGACAACAAAGCTATTTCTAAAGAACAAATTAAGTGTCTGTCAGATTTGAACATACTTTCCTGATGTCAGAAAAGATTATTAGACTTCCCCTGTTGCAATACCCTGCAATTTTTAACCGCTTCCTTAATGCAGCTGCAAATGCACTTACAAAATGGCTTCAAACAAAGTGCTAACTGAAGCATATCACCACCACAGCATTAAAGTCAGAGTGAAGGTTCTGAGTTTTTATCCATGTTTGTGAGAAACTAAGTGAACGTCAAAAGGCAGCAGGCACAAACTGAAATATGGGAAACTGCATTTCAACACACAAAAAAGGTGGTTTTTTTACCTTTTTTGCCTTTTTGGCTGTGGTCAAAATCTAGAACAGGCTGCCCAGACACACTGTGGACAAACATGGACAATGTCGATTCAAAACTTGAGAGGACACAGTCCTGGGCAACTTGTTCTTACCTGATCCTGCCTTGTGCATGGGGTTGGAATAGAGATGACCTCCGAAGCTGCCTTCCTGCTTCAACTGTTTATCATTTTATGATACTAAGTTGTTAATATTTAAGCTTGTCTGCAAAAACACATATCCAAGCTATTAATTTTAGTAAGTCAGACAATACTGAAACAAAACTGGGAAAAAGAATCACAGAGTGGTTGATGGTTGTAGGACCTCCAAAGGTCATCTTATCCATAACTATCTAGAGGGCTGATAACATTCTAAAAATCTCCAAAGAAACTGATCTAATTAATCTTATAATAAATAGTGAATGTAAAGTTCAACAACTCATTAAAAAGCTACTCACCTTCAGCTTTACTAAGCTCCAAAGCCAACTGCTCTCTGGCTTTGGTTTCTTCATTAAGATGTTCTTGTAGTTCTTCCTGATATTTGATAAACTCTGTGGCCTCTTGTTGCTTTTTGAAGGACTCTCGCATGAGTTCTGTCTGAGTAATTTTAGCATGTTCAAGCTATAACAGGTAAAAATGACGTAAGTTAAATAAGCCAAAGGTTTTTAGACAACTCTATCATTCCTATTTCTTTACAATGTCTCACATAACTGCACTGGACACTGGATAAGAACTTTACTGGACAAACATTTGAAGACTACAATAGGAAGATTGACTCAGTACAAAAGTCTAAGCAAATAGGTTTTGTCAGTATAATGAACTCAATGAACCGCCTGGCTAAATCCTTGTCTTTGTTCCGGTAATTCCTGGTTTAGGAGTTTACACTAGATTCACCTTTGTTTGAGCAGGAGTTTTACACTACACGAGTAAGCTACCGCCCACCATATACTTAGAATGACTAAAAAACATTGCATAAAGCTGGCAGAGGTTTCAATATAAACTGACACAAGTGGTGCTTCATCTCGTTTTCTCCTTAAGATGAAGATAAATGAGACCACCAGGAAAATGGGAACTTTGAATATACCACACAGGCAGTAAAGCAATGTTTCTTCCAGCTGTCCACCTAACAGATTTATTCAGGATTTTTTTTTTTTTTAATATCCTTCTCTGCTTGTCTGATGGGTTAATACTTAACATGTACTGCACAGACGTAGCACAATCTTACTATGACACTCTACTTAACTACTACAAAACCAGGACTGAAAAGCATGGCTTTTTCAGAGTAAGACAACATATTCCAATGTCAGAACATGAAATAACACTTATTTCCTGATCCTCTCACCCCTTTCTTTTTACTTTTCTCTTTTAATGTTATGGATATTGGTAGACATTTATAAGATAGTAACATCTGTGGCTTTGTTTTATAGAAACATGCTTTCTCTCAATTTCTTGGGGAAAAAAACAAAAAACAAACCAAAAAAGCTTTCTCACCATCTCCAGAGAAGTTAATGAGTATGATTAGCTTGCTTTAAAAACTCTTAGAACACTGCACACAAAACTACCCATTTATAAATAAAATTATACTTTGAAAAGAATTTCTGAATAATCAATAAATTCTCATTTATAATTCACTGAATTACAATACTTCTTTTCTCCAGCATTATTTTTTAGATGGACATCATTAATGTGTATTTATTATGACAGAAGTTAAAGAAAGGTACAAATACTGCAGTTGAATATCTGCAGTGGTTTGAGATACTTTAAAAATCACTTTTATTCTTACATTTTGAAGTGTTTAATGAAAGACCCATCTCAGGTAGAAGGGAAATGTATAATAGGATTACTTTACATGGACAATAATAAAAATGGGTTACTTAAACATAATCAAATATTCCTACTAAAACTCAGTATAAAAATTATTCTCTATCTCTTTTCAATAACAACTCAAGTCATTATTAAAAATAACATGGCAAAACAAAAAAAAGATACACAAACATGAACATGATTTTCCAAGAACAAAAAATTCCTCCATGGGATCACTGGAAGTCATTAACAAGCTTGTGCTAGTTAATATTACTAGTTAGTGCATAAAAACTATAAAAGTAAATTATTGACAGTTAGAAAAATGTAAGGTAACATCAAAGTGCTTTAAAGAGCTCTCAAATCTCTATAATTCAATATATTTCTGTGTCTGCCCATTTTCTCTTGTTAGAAATTCAAAGAAAGAATTAAAGCTTTTTTAGTACCCACTAAAAACTCACTAGGAAAAAATCCTGTCAGCAGTACATAATAACTTTAACAACAAATACAAGTTTATATCATTTTTCACTGTATTCTCTTCTATATAAGCTGATTTAAAATATATTTTCTTTTAAAAACTTTTATACTTACTGAATAGGGAGGTGTAGGCAAGGAGATTTTAGAGACAACTTTTACAATGTGCCCATTTTTTTTGTGGCTGAAGTGAAAAATTGAAGTATTTACAACTACAGAATTATTCTCATCCAAGTGTTCAGTAAAAGGAAAAGGATATGGTAAAGGCACACGAGACTGAACCTCGTATGTATCTTCTTCTTGTCCTTCAGTCCACAAACCACTAAACAGATTAGACGCCCAGTAGGTGTGGTAAGAATCCATTCCAAAAAATATCGTTGTTGCTGTCTTCTCAATTGTCACATGGGTATTTCGCACCAAATAGGCTCGTTTTAGAAAATTCCAACAGGTATTTGTAAACAGAGCATGTCTACTTAGCAGTCCGAAGACACGTATCAGTACTATCGGTTACAAACCTACTCACAATCAGCAGGAAGCCTCAAATCACATTCTCAAGCAGAGTTATTCGGTTGTTGATTAATCCAGAATAGACAGAGGTGCAAGAAAACTTTGTGTAGTCAGTCCTAAAAATCCTTCTTAGAGAAGTTTCACATGAAAAAGCAACAGAAATCTTCCAGCAGCAGCTGACAGGTAATTTCCAAGGCAAGGAAGCGTAATTTTACCTGCACAGATACGCTGCAGCAGACATGCAAGCTAGCAGAACAGAAACTAAAAATGATTTTCGATCTCCACTATGGCAAATGAAAGAGAAATACAGATATGTCACTGAGTTTCTTCATTCTTGATCTTTGAGTTGATTCAAAAGGAAGAACTTTCTCAAGCTGTGCTAGTCTAAAGGCTTCCTGTTAGTATCTCCCAACCAAAAGAGTTCAGGGGAGTGGCCTGATTTATTTACCTATACATAACACCAGCAGGTGGAATTTGAATTAATACACCCACTATATGCCTTGCCTGAAAACTTTCAAACTGCACTTCAGGTCTGAAAGTGTGTGTTCAGACAGGTCTCAAAGTTACTTTGAAGATTTTGCCAGGTTTCTCTCACTCTTTTAAGTTTATGTGAAGAGATGGGTACACGTATGTATGCACAACACAACTGAGTAAGAGAAAAGGTTAGAACAGTTTCTAGCTGTAATTAGTTTTAATTATAAAATATTTCAGAGTAGAAAAAATAAAGGGTTCAATTTCTGAATATTTAAGAATAATTGTCAAGTCACCTACAAACCCTTCGTATGTACAGAAATGTGTATAATCCAGTAAGTACACAACAGACATTGAAAAGCAGACAAGCCTGAACGCTTGCAAAGTACCTCTACAGAAAAGATGTCAATATTTATATTTAATACTGTGGGATAATGTGTAAACAGATTAAGATTTTGTTAATTTAAAAAACCCCAAACAGGTTATGATCACTGGGGATAAATCCATATTTGTACAATCTATACCAATGAAACAAATGTGTGTATGTGTTTGAGCCAAAACATAACTCTGCTGCTGGCAAGGTCTCAGCTACAAAGCTATGAAGGGAAAATAAACTTTCTTGATCAACTGACAATAAATAAAAATAAGCTACGTAGAATACACCGATTAATTTCATCAGTACTTTGAGAAGTAAATACTTACTGAAAAAACATCAGTCACAAAAGTAAAACAATTTGGGGCTATGTATAAAATTAATGCATTTAAATAGAAGCAACAAAATACTCAGAAAAAAAATAATGTATTGACAATGCTTTTATAATTGCTGCATGAATTCTTAACTACTGTAAAACTTTGAAGTTAGTTTTCTCTGTCTGTATCATCTGCTCCTTAAATGGGAGACTTCCTACAAATGCCTAACCATACTTTTTTCAGAACTCCATATATTGGAGTATCTGTGTATACTTTTTTGTTATTATGTAATGCTGCCTTAAGCTGAAAAAAGACCTCAAAAAGCCAAATATCTCTTTTAAATTGAACTCATGCTCAAACAGAAGAGACCTGTTGCAGAACGAGTTTGAAAAGAAATGAAATGGAGAAACTGGCTTAAAAGAACCACCAGAGTACTTGCTTTACTAAGTCAGAGGACGTTCTCTGAATTTGTATTTAAATTACTTTAAATTTTAGTAAGTCACAGATTAGTCTTTTTTTTTAAGAAAACAGGAGTATCAATTTCATGTTTGAAGTATTTTTCAAAACCAATAATACTTAGATGCTTAAAACTTCTAAAGTACTAGACTTAATACAAACTTTCAAATTACTTTCATTATCACAATTTTTTTTTCTCCTTAATTTCCAGTAGTTAGGATTGATGTGATTTACACCTAGAGACAAGGATGCAATGACTTTTTAAGTCATATTATTACTTACTTAACAAATACATGGGTCTGTAGTATAGAACACACTGTATCCTTTGAACTCTAGTCTCAAATAGATTAAAAAGCTGACTCTAAAGACAAAGTTCCTCAAGAGAGCTTAAGAAGTACAGTGAGTATTTACTCTGATACTTTCAAACTGAGATGTACATAATGTAAAGCACATAATATAAGCAGTGTGATTTGCACGGAGCTAGGCATACAGCTCCCATCTCAATTAACAGAGAAGAACCCTGAACCCAGACAGCAACTAATATCTTGCCATGCAAAGTACCCTGACAGCAAACAGAAAGGAGTAAGCCATACAATGCCTCTTTTTTGAAGAGTATTTATGAATCACATACCTCATATAAATACTAGAAAGCTGGAAGTACAAACTTCTTTTCTGACAGAAAGGTAGATATGTGCCTAACACACAAATATTGTGCCTTTTTTTGGCCAGTCAACTGACATGTTAAAATGGTTGTCAAGAGAACTGGGAGGTTGCCCTTTAAGCCTCCCTTTTCAAAATGGCCAGTTCAATGTGCCTTGACACCTCTTGTCTCATCTTTGGATTGCAGTAGAACGCAGATGACACACCCATATGAGCAATGAAACGTGCCCAAGATTGACAAACATGCCCAAATTTAGACTTCCTCTGTGGTCCAAAGCAGATAGCTAACACGAATCTAAATTCATCACTGGATGATGCTGGAGTAGACATCTTTAGCATTGTTTCAGCTTTCAGAATGAGCCTCATACGAGGTTTTAGGCTTACAGAAACCACATTCATGAGAAAAATAAAGAAGGAAAAAAAAAAAAAAGACAAAAATTTCAAGATGCATCCCTATCAGACCACCCTACCTGATTCGAAGTTTCATTGATAGCTTCCAGAAGCTTTTCAACAGCTGCTTGTAGACGAGAACTAATATTCAGAATGAGTTCTTCATTTTCAGGATCTATTTCCACTCCACTTTCTGCAAGATGTTGGCTCAGCAGTCCTTCATCCATTGCTCCTGACCACATGTTAATATCATCATCTCCCATACTACTACCATGGTATGAGGAACAGGACTCTGGAAAAACAATGATTGCCTTTTCACACAGACTCTCAGCACTTCAAAACATGAAAAATTGCACATCCAAATTATGATTAGAAAGGCAAGTCATAAAATGATTAAAATATTTGTATTCATCACAAAGACAGGGAAATATTGCATACTAAAGTTTACACAAACAATATACACAAAGTGTTAACTAAAAACAAGCAGAAGGGAAAGAGAAAAGGAGATACTAACAGAAAATAGCTTAGCTGCCCTTTCAGTACACTTTTCATCTTTGAGGCTCATCTTCAACCCTTTGTTACTATCAGTAACCCTTAATACTTTAAATAACTTGCAATAGTAACTTGCAAATTGTATTTGAAATACAACCAGGTAAAAAAACCCAAAACAAAGCAGACAAGTCGGTCCCTGCTTCACCAATGCCCAGCTATGTTAGTGTGCATTAACACTAACTATTCAAGTAGTGATTCAAAAGCACAGCCTCAAGTGAGTAAAGGGAAAGACACGCACATAATTCAGACAACTTCTCAGGGCAGACTAGAATACATAACATCAAAAATTCAGCACTATTATTAATAAACTGAAAATTGATTAAAATGAGTAGCCGAACAAAACCAGGACAATGCAGAGGACTGTAACTGTCCCTACTGGTAGGCCACCTGGCACCTGCCTGCTGCTCAGCCTTCCTGAGGTCTGATACAGTTTAAGGGCATTTACCATTCTGTCTGAAAAGCAGGAAACACAAAATTTGCCTATGGTATTAAACTGATAGAAATTAATCTAGAAAACAGTAATTTTGCCATATTTAGAATTCAGGGCTGTTATTTAAGCATGACAAGTGCAAGCAAACTCCTGAAGTGTTTAAAAATCATGCTTTCAGCATGAAATAGCAATACAGTAGCAACATTACAACAGTGGATAACTATTGTTGGTATTGTGCTTCAAAAATGAAGAAGTGTTATGCCATTAGGCTGTCTGACTTGAAACGTCAAAATAAATGCTACTGTGGAAAGTTTTTAAAATGACAGTTTATTTTAATGAAGTACATTTCTGAAATAGATTTAAAATCAATGCAATGTTTTTGTGCTTTGTTTTTGTGTTGGGTTTTTTTCAACAATTAGATCTTGGTTTTGGTTTTCAAAAAAAAAAAATCCACCTTATTTTTGGGAAACAGCAGTATGACTAAATGAGTTAAGACTGGTCAATACCTGTTTAGCAGTAAAGTTGCAATACTCCGTAATCTCTGAATTTAAGTTCCTGGTTTCTCTATGAATTGTGACTGCTGAACCGGAACAGTTTGTTTAGTTACAGAGATTGTAATGAAATTATAATTGGTCAATTTTACAAAATTGTCTTTAAAAACTGTAGTCAGTACACGTTAGACACAATTTCCTTATACTTGCTCTTGCCTCTTAACCAGGCATACAAATAACACTGGAAATCTTGTTGTTGATGTTGTTTGAACCTAGCAAGGAAGTCAGATTCTAGTTTTCAGGTTTGTTTTTATTTTTTTTAACAACTTGCAACATGATTAACCACCTGGCTTGCTTAATATACCTGCAAACATTCTGATAATAATATCTACACACTTATTTCACTATAGATGCAGCTTGTATATATATGACCCATATACAACGAAGTAATCTAGAGGGATTTTAATTTAGAAAGGTTTCATTTTGTTTACTTTTATTTTACAATTGCTAAGATTTTTAAAATGCAGATGTACTTGGTAATTTTTTTCTTCTAGTTACATCATTACTGTTTCATATCTCCTTTTAGGTATGTGGGATATAACGTTACAAACTATTTTCACACTCCAAAGGGAAAAAACAGAGGCACACTATATGCATGAATGGAATGAATTACCGGATGAATAGAATACACATTCACATGGCACCTTTCATCTACACAGGATTTCAAAGCACTTTTAATACTGCACTTTGGAACAAACTGCTACAGTGGAGTCACCCTAGCAGTAGCTGGCAGTTATTCTCTGCCAGCACACTAAAGATTCCCAATGGAATTGTACAGCACAAAAGCTTCCCCATAACATCCTAATATTTCACCCCCCCTGCAGTGTAAGGAAGGCTGCAAAATTAACAATTGCACATTTTTTATTCAATAGCATTCTGATCTCTCAACACCCAAATTTGGGTTGGTTCTGGGTGTCTCAAAATACCAATAGTGATACAAAAGCTTTAATATCCTCAGAGTAGAAAGGACCTTCATTTAAGATGGACATCCAGCAGCATACGTATTTCCAAATGCTGTGCCAAGGTAGTTAAAGGCTGAGTTGAAGGAAAACATATTCCCTACTGAGCCACCGACACACTTACTGCAGCACCTGATGCTCTTTGGAGGCCACCCATCTTAAGTACTGACCAGGTAAGACCCTGCTTAGCTTCAGAGATCTCACCAAATAAAAGCCCACAGTACAGTAGCACAGCTATAAACAAGATAAAACAATCAACATATTAGTTATTGCACAAGCTAATTCTTTCCTGATGGAGTACAAATTATCTATGTAATGTCCCTGTCTTCCTTCTCAGGCTTAACTCATAATTCATGTCCCATAACCTTTACATTTTAGCAAATCATTTGCTCAAGTAGTACAGTTGAATTGTGCAATGATGAGTGCATATCAAATGGAAAAATAAACTTTATACAGAATAACTGCAGAACTGTGTAGTGTGTTACAAAACCATCTAAACTTCTGGCTGTCTGGAAACTTAAAACATAATAGGCTTAAAACACTGATGCCTGCTCAGAACGTAATTATTTCAAAAGCCAGGTCCAGAATATGTCTCTTACATTACTAGTATTACAAATATTATTACTACTTCTTGCCAATGACAAGAACAGTACAGTTTGGCCTCCAAGAAGGCATGACAAGACTTTAAACTCCTGTTTTGCTATGTCAGTTCTTTTGTAATTTGCTTCCATTTCTTCCGGATAAATGCAAAATAAATCAATGTAACAATATAATTTTATTACATGAAAAATCTCATAATATCATAATTTACCTGAAATGTAACTATAAACAAATGAGGGAAAGAAAAAGAGTTGTCATCTAAAGTATAATTTGGAACATTTAAACTTTACTCTCAAAGATAAACAAGGAAAACCATAAAGTACCAAATTCACCCTGTAATAATTCTGTTTATACTGTAAGGTTGGCAAGTCAAATAGAAAAATCAATGGCAAATCATAAATGTACATGCCTATAACTTATATAAAACAGCATGTAAGAACAGGAGTTCATGTTAAATGTCTTCCTAACTGCAAAGTGAAAATCTCTCTATCTTTTTCCCCTGAAAATGGCCCTAGTACACAGTATCTTGCTGGAAGATTTTCAGTGGTAGAAGCAAGAAATAGAAAAGTTGTCAAGCTTATTAACCACCCCTGGCAGTTGTATTCCTAACCCTGATTTTACTAATCCTTAGAACGCTTTTCATTCTTCCATCCCAGTAGAATTAAAACCAAATTTTCTGTTTCCCAATTTTCTTTTTCAGTCCACTCAAAATAATAAACAGAATGTAACTGGCTCAAGTAAAAATGTCTTTTCCTTGTGTAGTAACAAAAAAGAAACCCCAAACCAACAAAAGCTCATATTGTTTCCTTTGCCAGGAATTGCAATTCATCACGTCAGATACCATGGTCCACTAAATCTTAAGAAAAGTGCTTAATTATATAGTGTTTACAAGTTTCAGATACGTAAGTTGTTTGTGAACTGTCAACTGACACTTCTGAAGCAAAACATACTTTGCATCATGCAGAACTAGTATCTAAGTTTACCCCTGGGATTCCACTAAAAAATTAAGGTTAGGGGTTACAAGCTGAAAACAAAACAAAACAATTTTTATGGTGGGTCAGTATATAAAGCCATTTACTACCTTGTTCCTGATATACTGTTCAGAAACAAGGAGCTCAGAAAGCAGGTAAAGTGTTTTACAACAAATGCCATAACCACACAGGCTTCTCCAGAGCAATCTGCAGTGCTACAATTCCCCCTAAGGTACAACATCTGAGGGAAGAGTAGAGCAACGCCTCCTGGCTCTGTCATCCTGATTCCTGACCCAAATCTCCAGGCAGAATTAACTCACCAGCTTACTTTACACAAATGCTGCTCATTTCCAATGATATGCTTTATGACTGAAATTTGAACTTTACTCACTCTGCTAGAAATAAAATCCTGTGATAGCCAATGACTTAGACAAGGTCTCAGATAAACCTCTATACACTCTATAAATCAAGGTTGTGGTTGTTAAGTATGTGACCTTAACGATTCAGCTTTTTAAAATGCTGAAACCTGGCAAAAACAGTAAGCTGAGTTTTGTTTGTCAATAAATACAGATTATGTTGAGAAGGTCAGTGAGAATTCAACTTCATTAATAAACACTTTATTTTTTATTTTCTATTTTATTATTACATTTGCATTGGTACAAATTTATTCCTATAAATTTTGTAAATAATTAAAAAGGAAGCAGTCTAGTGGAAGATGTCCTGCACATGGCAGGGGGGTTGGAACTATATGATTTTTAAGGTCCCTTCCGACTGAAAGCATTCTATGATGCTATGAACATCTGTTTGGCTAGGTGTTAGATACAGCAACATGCACAGGTTAAAATACAAAAGTAGTGTCTACCTATTTCTCACTTCCAGAAAACAACGGCAAAAAACTTTTAAAAGCTCATGTTCTCTCAGGCCATTCAGTAGAAGTATAGGAAATTAACAGCAACAGTCCTGTTGCTGAAAACATTAGCAGAATTTGTCATCTAATTCCTCTTGAAGAAGGACCAAATACTTCTACTGATGGAACCACATGACTCTTACTAAGGTTATCCTCACCCCAGTGTCAGAGCAATGTACACAGCAAGGCTGCTACTGGATCATTTCGAAAGGGACAGCTTGAATGCCACTCAAATACCAAAGAAGGGCATTCCAATAGCAGACATTTCTTTGCTACAGAATAGTAAAACCTTACATGCCTCTTCAAAATACACTAACAGCAAGCAGAAGAGTTAGAACAGGCAACCTTCATCACTAGCAGAATGGAATAAAGAGAGGTCTTGTTTATTTACAAGAGTACGCTGTCATCAGAAGATTTCACACGAAATCAACAATACATTCCAATTACAGGGCCTGTTGTGCATTTAGACAGTTGTGTTATGAAAGCCAAGCATAAGTCTGTATTGTACACACCCAAAATACCAAATAATGGCACTTTAAAAACTGTGCATATATGTAATGCAAATAATGCGTATTATGAATAGTTCTTTACAATAATTAGTGACACATACAAGTACACACACTGTACTTGTGTACAGGAACAAGCAAAAAGAAAATGAATGTATTGTGTATTGTACATGCACATGCAGAGCAAGCACATATGAGAGTACTGAAGGGCAATGTTAATGTATTAGCCCTTTGTACGTGCAGTTCTGTATATATTACTATTATTATTAAACTAGATGTGTTGGGAGAGGGGGGCATCATTCCATCCCAACACACCCAGTCAGTTGCCAGCACCTATAATAAATGCTCAGAGCAAAGCAGGTATTCCAGCCGCTCCAGCCAATAAGCCAGCTTCATATGGAGCTCGGCTCAGATGCCTCTATACAAAGGCCTGTAGCATGGGGAACAAACAAGAGGAATTAGAGATGTGTGTACGTCTGCAGGGGTATGATGTAATAGGCATCACAGAAACGTGGTGGGCTCAAGTACAAATGTCTTTTCCATGTGTAAACTGGACAGACACTATCCTAGTACAATCACAAAAGATTAAACCTGAGACAGTTCTTGGACACTGATAAGCAACTAAGTACATTAAAATGCTCCTTTTAGGCTTGTCCTAACTAGCACTCCTCCAAACAGCTGATTGGCAAATCCTGACAGAAAGTTCCTGGAACTGTTTCTCAAAGGCTATTTGCATGCAATCACCCTCTTTAGAAGGCTAAGGAAGGCCTCAAGCATATATATATATATATATATATATATATATATATATATATACAGGCTGCCCCATGCCAGCTGGCCTCAGTGAGCAGCAACATCCCTATGTACACTTAGTGCACTAGTAGGGATACAGCCTTTGACACTAGCTCCCACTCCCCATACACACAGAGGAAGGTGTAAAGTTGGTGGAAAATACCACGGAGCTATGTTTAATTCTCTTTCTCTTTGCATCCTTCCATGGGAACATACTTTTTTGGTTTTCTCAATCACTTTTCCATTCCATTGCAGGCTTTGAAACAGGACCCTAGATAATGTGTTGTAACTGTCTTGTGGCATGACGCAGACAACTCCATAAATAGTCTCTTAAGTAGAGATGTCATATGCATTCAAATAAAAAAAATAGTTAAGACTCTATTTTTGATTAAAAATTTCAAAACTAAAGGTTATTTAAATCTATAATGAAAGTATGCAAAACCATACAGCCATTACCTTTTTCATACCCCACACTGATACAGGGTTTTACTGATTCCTCTATCTCTGTTCCCCATCCAGCTGGTTTGGAAGGCTGGCCTTTCCCAGACTGATCCAGTAACCCAAGCACATGGCGACCAATTGTCTCCTCCATTGCCACAGTTGTCTTCACAACTTCTAAAAGTATCTTCATGAGTTTTTCATTAGCCTTCTGAAAAACATGCCTGCAGGACAAAGACTAATCAGTCCTTTGATTTTCCTCTGCTTTCAAAGTGTTTTTTAATCCCTTATACACCCTTGCAACAAGGAAAGATTTGCAGTTTAAATGATTTCTTTAAGACTAAAACCACATCATATACATAAATATTAAAGCACATTTGTGTTAGAATTCAATTCTTTTTACAAAATACGTAAAAAGTCAAACTGTTTATCAATAGTTCTACTTTACCTTGCTTTTTTAACTAGTTATTCTTTTAAAACAGAGGTCTGTTTGCCTGGGATTCATTATAAATTTACTGTTTTCTCGAAGTGACAGTTAAAAAGATTGTTCCACTACACAGATCAAAATGTTACAGAACAGTCAAAAAGTATTATCAAATACAACAATCATATTCATATAAGCTTATTTACAACGATCATAGTCATATAAGCTTATTTCATGTATGTACATACAACGTGTATGCACATACATATGTATAAATTATATAAATGATTGTACACAAGTGTAATATGAAAGACACAGTAAAACAGACTAACATTTGTCTCATCTTCTATGCCATTACATTGTTGGGCTTTATAAAAAGCCCAACATTGCTTAATCTAAAGTATGTAAGCTTAGAAATATGGTTATTTAGAATGAAAAATTACATCAGCAGTCAGGATAAAGCTTATAAATATTATCAATTTAACAAGAAGAACATGATTATCAAAATAAAAAAAAAAAAATAAATGTTTTCTTAACAGTTCTAAGCACCTTTCTTTAGAAAGAAGAGCTGAAGATGTTTCATCAGGCTTTCTTCCTCCATCTTCATGCTCAAAGATCTGCTCTCTCACGTCGTTTGGGTTTTCATTTTCATTCTGAGTAAGTTTTTGCAGAGGGAGAGAAGACAAAAAGAACAGAAATCCTGTCATGCCAAAGTCAACATATTCTTCTTGTATGCAGTAGAATACAAAACTGAAAACCTAAATTAGTTGTGTTTTGTGAATAAAACTTCTGCACCAAATTGCAGATCAAGAAATACTCTCCCAGTGTGGAAAAATTAACTAAACCAAATAAAAACAAAACAGGAAATCAAAGGCAGGGCCTATTAGAACTTTGTTATGCTGAATAAACAGTCCTTGGATTTTCTGTTGGTGTTGCTATAGCAATATGAAAATGTGACTTTACCTAGGCAAACAGCTTCAGTAACAAACCCCACCTTCAAGCTGTTAAACTACTTTCTGCTTACCTGAAGTGAAAAAAATAGAAAATATGCCTATCAGTACCACCTTTTGATTCTTAAAACTGTTCTGTTTAAGCAATACCCAACATCTTTTAGGAAAATATGTTACACAAAAAGATTAACAGCAAAAAGAAACCCTACCGGTTTGACATGCCACAGCTGCCAAGAAAGTCAAAGTCCATATTTACCTCTGTTTGTGTGCTGTTGTTTTGAAGCTCACAAGCCAGCTTCTCTCTTCCGGAAGCAGAATGTTGTTTTAATGATTCCAGTTCTTCTAAAAGCATTCTCTCTCTCTCTGCAACCAGGCTGTCATTCTCCATTGAGACATGCTACAAAAGAAGTGTTAGAGAGGCACACACGATATTTTAAGCTTCTGAGTATTAGTGAGTGCTGTCACTTCTAATTTTTTACATATTTTGCACAATGCAACACACCTCTTTATACGGTTACAAAGACATTGAAAGCTTTATATAATGAAATAAAGCTAATAAATACTCTTGGCATCTTACATCTTCAAGATTTTAACAGCGTTTTTATGTGCTTTATAAAACACAGAGGTCACAACAAAAACTGGAAGGAATTTCTGGTTATTAGATGTTTTGCACAAGAAAAATCAGATGAAAATTATTTTTATAATAACCCTAGACACACTCTCTTTTACAAGACCTAGAAGTGTTCATGGCTTAAACACAGCATACACATTCCCCTGCAGTTTTTATGGATAAACATCCTTGGCATTAAAAACTGGAATAAAGCCAGCAGCATAAGTTCTACTTAATGCTTTTAACTAGTTTCAGGAATTTGCAACCCCTGATGAAAGATGAAATTGCAAATTGACAAAGAGATAAAATGAGAAAGGTTGCATATACTGAAAGATTTATCAGGTAGACACCTACTGAGCATTTAGGAGAATCATACACCTGACACTGCTGGAAAAGACACTGAGGATACAAGTAACTAGCTCTCTAGATTACCCATCTCACTGAGCCGAAACAAACAGAACAGGACCAGGTTTGGATAAGGTCTGAAGGAACATAAAGGTCTGTTTTAGAATTCACTGATTACTGTTTTTACATGCACTTCTGTAATGTTACATTGCTGAATGTAAATCAGAGCAAGACACATTCTTCATTCATGTTTACTTTGCTTCTTGACGGAAGAAATCCTTGAAGGCAAGGCTATAAAGAACATTTTTGAAGACTTAATAATTAAGGTAAATTATTGAGTTTCATTACAATACCTGCCATAGGCTTTGAACTGGTGCAGAGTGACCGCAAGTTAAGTTTAAAGGCAAAGAAACAGCGGTGTTTCCCACCAAATCTCAGATCTTTTTTTATTCCAACAGTCTAACAACTTCATCTCCCATGCAAAAAAAAAAAAAAAACCACCAGAAAAATGGGGTAAGCCACCAATACTGTTCAAGTTCAGACTTAAAGTGGGGATGAGGAAAAAATGAAGAATTATACACTATTTATAGTATCTCTAGCCATGGCTGGTGGCTTCATTTATGTAAACAGATGTTAGCCTGTATCCTGTGCAAGGCCATGTATCTGTGCAAGGTGGCATGGTTTACAATGCAGCACCTACACTCGCTCCCTCGCTCTTCTGGCTGCTATGCAACACTGCAGGTTTTCTCCAGGTTTACAGAATTCAAAACTGATCCATCACTGACTGAACTTTGAAAATGAGAAATATGCCCTTTACATATATGCATATGTGTTTGCATATATACACACACAAATAGATAATGTGTGTGCACACACATGGGTATGTATACACGCATACAGCAAATACGCGTGTGCCTCTATTTCAAGGGATACAAGTATAAATAAATATAAATCTGCCTGCTGTCCCTTTGTTACTCAATGAGTTAACATGAGTTAAACTCCATATTACCTCAGCTAATTGCACTTTAAGACTCTCAAGCTCTGCTAAGAGTTGCTCTTGATTTTCTTTTTGACGTTCCATTTGCTGCATGTGTCCTTGCCTCAGTAATTCCGTTGCCTGTTGATGTTCCTGATATTGCCGTACCAGTTCTTGTCTCATGTCTTCCAAACGTTCCTCATATAACAACAGCTGACTTGATGTTTCTGTGTCTGATGCTGTCATCTCACCATAGCGCTGAAATATTGGAATTATTTTAGCATTTTATGTCCAATAACAGTCTCTAGTAAGTATTTAAATAAATTTTAGAAAATAACTTTCAGAAATTGAAGTAGCCATCATGAAAGCATTATCTTGGTGCCTGCTTCCTGGAAGGTCCAAGCTTAGAATTATTCTCAATTTAAAAGACAAGTTTTCAGAAGTAACTGTGAACAGTGTTACTTTAACTCATGCTTTTTAGTTGGTGGGAATCTCATCAGAAAATAGAGTGGCAGACACATATGTGTGTGAGTATGTGTATAATAACAGAAGTTTGAGACAGCAGTATAATTCAAAACAGGAATATTACATTTTGTCACTGTCAAGATAATACAAAATCAGAATGTTTAACTGCTATACAATTTGAAAGTGTAATTTTTGCTTCAAAAAAGCTGAGGATGAAAACATGGAGTCAAAATTTATGACTGCTTTTTACCGTATTTATTCAACCTTACCCCCACCCCACGTTTGTGAAATGTTATCTGTATATTTTAGATAATACTTTTATAATTTCTGTGTTCATCTGATATCCTTTATCACAAGGGACTCAAACTCTTTAAGCACTATTTGTAATATGTTCCTTGTATAAACACTAGAATATAGCCTAGCTTATGAAAAGCCTTAATACAATTTATGGCTTGCAATACAGTTGTATCCATGAAATGGAATAATCTATTTTCATGTAGCCAGTGTCATATTCCTTTCCTCACAGCATAACATAATATTATGGTAGTCAGGCAGAACACAAGGAAAGAACGGTAGATAATTCAGGTTTAAAGCTGCCACCCCTTTGAAAGGAAAATACTTAAATGAAATTTTCATCTTCATTTCTTTCTCTGCCATATTCGTTTTTCCCATTGAAATGAAGCGTAAATGCATTGGAAAGATTATTCAGATACGGTGTTACACACTGCCAATTATTTTCTTAAGAACACTTACTGGTGTTACTTCTGCTGTAAGACCTTTGACATGAGACAGAAGTTCTTCAGAAATCACTGATTCATGTGTGGTCTGTCCTAGTACACAACTAGGCTTGCTATTAGGATGAAGCTGTTCTCCAAGCGAGCTGATCTCACCAGACTCTTCACTGAGTTCCTTGCAAAGTGACTTCAATTCTTCATTCTTATTCTCTTTTCCTATTGCTTTTCTGAAAGGGCTGTCAACCTCTTCTTCACTATATTGCTTTTTGATTTCAAAATGCATTCCCTGTTGATATACAGTTTGTGTTTCTGCTTCTTCCTTCTGCCTAGCAACTCCTGACAATTCAGTTTGTTTGGCAAGTTCTACACTCATTGACACAATTACCTGAATAAATAAGAAAAGACTGTATTAGTTTATGCTTCACAGAAACTCATTACTATCAATAACATAAGTACTAGAAGTTCTGGACTATGATTTACTTTTCTCCCAGAAAAAAACAAAGGTAAAAGAACAGAGACACATTGCCAATCTCATCAACAGTCACATCTCAAAATATAGAAATGCTGCATTTATATTAGTTTAATAAACTATGATGCCATTTTCAGTTAAAATACATTATTCAGCACAGAATTATATAGTTCTTTTTGAAAAAAAGATTCTATCAGGTGGCTTGTAAAAGTCCTGGCATACTGACGTAAGTGCAGCTGTGCTAAGTCTTCTCTATCTAACCAAACATCCTTTGTAAACGTTTCACTGACTTAAAATTTTGGGCTGTATCAAGACAGCAGAACCATATGCTTGACACTCAGAACAGGAATTTTCCTTGACCAGAAAGGCATTAAATAGATTCAATTGTAGTCACAACAGGCTGGTTGTGACTGATAAGTGTCTCCTTCTAATACAAATAAAGCCCTTTTCCAATCATGTGAGCCATTCTTTTCTAGATTTAGAATACAGCCATTTATAGCGTAAGTTACAAAAAGTGTAAAAAATTAGAATAATAAATATAGAAGTGTTACACTTGAAAATAGGTAATCCTTCCTTTCAAGAAAATGTGAGTTTGTCTTTTGAACTTAAATGGCTCTTAGGAAAACAACAGCCAATCACGTACTTCGTTTCCCATAAAGAAGGGTTTTCTTGGCAGCGGATGAGAGAAATGGAACTTTCAATTCAGAAATGTGGATTACTTAAATTAATGTGATTACCCAGTGCTGGCTATAACTTTCTTAACTCTGACTGCAAACTTTTTTAAGAAGCACTCCTTAATTTTTTTCCAATGTTTAATTTATGTTAATTTGATTTTTATTTATGCCATGAAATAATGAAAGCAGCGAAATTTTTTCACTCTGCAAAGAATTTAAAACTATTTTGGAAGTAAAAAAAGTAAGTAAATCCACAAACATTTTAATATATTCTACCTATAAAAATCTTAATTTTACTTCATGTTTTAGAGAAAGTCATCCGAGCCAAATAAAAACTATGCATTATCATAGACTGGTTGTTAGCATATGGTATTGCAATTGTCTGAATTGTCAGAAATAGCAAATAAAAATTATTGTATCTTACAAATGTAAAGTACCAAAATAAAAATAGTACCTTTGCTATTTCCTCTTCTAATCTTTCTTGGTACTGTTTTTCTAGCAACTGAACAGCATCCAGATCATTCTGCATTTCAATTTCACTAGGAATCTGTAAAAAAAAAAACAAACAAAACAACAAAACAAACAACAAAAATGTAATTTTTGTAACAAAAAAGAACTGGGTAAAAGTCTTATTTCTGCTTTAAACTGAACTTCAAATTTTGAGTCTGTAGCAACTCTTCTTACAGCACTATTTTTACTGTCAAATGCAGAGAAAACAGGTGAGAAAGCACAGGGTCACATTATAAAACAGCATCGCTATTTTTCAAAACGCAGAATTTTTGAGCCAGTTTTCAAGCAGTACTAGGGGAGGAATGTATTTGGTCTCTTCCATTTACATTTGGGTTTCAAGATCTTTGGGATTACTTTTTCAATATTTCTCCTGAACCGTGCAGTCTACACTTCAAAAGTACTAAGGTTTCACTTAAATCGCTCTTCTTTCTTAATTAGTGTTTAAAGGAAAGTCATGATCTTTTAAAGACTCCTGAAGAAATCCCAGAAATTGAACACTAATTTTCTTCCACTTCTGTAAGAAGCAGCCCAAACCAAATGTCTTTTTTTAATCTTACAAATAAGATTAAAAAAAAAAAGGAAAACCCAGGACCAATAAGTTTTATTGCACATAATTCCCAGAAATATTTCTCAGCAAAGATTTTAATCTTTATCCTCTAACATGGACTAACAGTAGTCTAAGGAGCACTAAGATGATAATTATATGATACCTCCAGTGCTTCATCTGTTCTTTGCTGCTGAAGATTTTCAGTGCACTTCACTTTCCTGAAGACTTCTTTTAGTTTTATTTCTGGATTTGTGAATACACTAAAAATGCAGGAGAAACAAACAACTTAATTCAAAGCTACCTGAGAATATTTTGTGTTCAATAACTACACATCGTAAAATGAAGACAAAAGCACCTCTTTGAGTCATAAGGATACGTGAGAAACCAGAATGGATATGTGTATGAAGCCATAAAAACATCTAGAAAGTGGTTATATTTATTTTGGTTCTTTTAGATTGATGTTTATCAACAGATTCACTGCTTTCTTTCATTCCTGTGTTATATAGTGCGGCATACATATGAAAACAGAAAGAAATCTGACTCATTTTATATTTAGATAACAAAATGCTGAAATATATTCAGAGACTCTTCTCCAGCAAACTGCTCTATATATTCAGAATGTTATAAATCAGTAAAAACCAAAATAATACCACACATCACCAAAATACACTGCCAAAAGCATAAGAAGCAGTATCAAACTACCTAAAAAAATATAACTCCTCTAGAATTTGTGATCTGCTACTACAAAGAAACAAATACCTTGCTAGAAGACAGGGTACAAATGGGATTAAGTTAGAAGATAAGCTTATTGTTTGTGAGACAACCTAACTACACTAGGGGTTTTACAGAGAGCATGAAGCTTTTGTTTTGCTCAAATCTGGGAGCTGGTTTTAGATAATTCTGAAATGGAGTCCAGAGCAGTAATTTTATAACACTTGAAATGTTTTAAACTGTGAAAAGCAGCCAATTATTTTTAGCATTCATGTTTAATTTGATGAATGTAGAGCAGTAACTGTTCACGGAGCCTTCTCTTCTCCAGGCTGAGAGCGGCCTCACAGTCACAGGCCGTGGTCGTCGTGGGGGATTTTAACTTCCCTGATGTTTGCTGGAAGGACCACTCAGCAACCCAGCCACAGTCCAGGAGGTTCCTCCAGTGTATGGATGATAACTTCCTCCTGCAAATGGTGGATGAGCCGACCAGGAGAGGAGCGCTGCTGGATCTCATCCTCACTAACAAGGAGGATCTGGTCGAAGCAGTAAGGGTTGAGGGCTGCCTTGGTTGCAGCGACCACGAGATGGTGGAGTTCAGGATCTTGTGTGGCAGGACTAGTAGAATACCAAGTAGAATTGCAACCCTGGACTTTAGCAGGGCAAACTTTGGCCTTTTCAAGCAATTGCTAGGGGAAATCCCATGGGCAAGGCTGCTTGAAGGTAAAGGGGCCCAAGATAGTTGGTTGACATTCAAGGACTGCTTTTTCCGTGCTCAAGATCGGAGCATCCCGACACGTAGGAAGTCAAGGAAGAGGGCCAAGAGACCTGCGTGGCTAAACAGGGAATTGCTGGGTATGCTCAAGTGGAAGAGGAGAGTTTACAGGTCATGGAAGGAGGGGCTGGCCACTTGGGAGGAATATAAGGCTGCTGCTAGAGGATGTAGGAAGGCAGCTAGGAGGACTAAGGCATCCTTAGAATTAAACCTGGCAAGAAGGGTCAAGGACAGCAAAAAGAGCTTTTTTAAATACATGGCAGACAAAACTAACACCAGAGGCAATGTAGGCCCACTGATGAACAGGATGGGTGCCCTGGTGACAGAAGATAAAGAGATGGCAGAGTTACTGAATGCCTTCTTTGTCTCTGTCTACTCTGCTGCGGGCAGTCCTGAAGAGCCCTGTACCCCTGAGACCTTAGATGAAGTCAGGTCGACGGAGCGGTTTGCCTTAGTCGATGAGGAATGGGTTAGAGACCAGTTGAGCAATCTGGACATCCATAAATCCATGGGTCCAGATGGGATGCACCCGCGGGTGCTGAGGGAACTGGCGGAAGTCATTGCTAGACCACTCTCCATCATCTTTACCAAGTCTTGGGAAACGGGAGAGGTGCCTGAGGACTGGAGGAAAGCAAATGTCACTCCAGTCTTCAAAAAGGGCAAGAAGGAGGACCCGGGTAACTACAGACCGGTCAGCCTCACCTCCATCCCTGGGAAAGTGATGGAACACCTTATCCTTGGTACCATCTTAAGGCATATCAAGGATAAGAAGGTTATGAGGGGCAGTCAACATGGCTTCACCAGGGGGAAATCATGTTTGACCAATCTCTTAGCCTTTTATGAGGAAATAACACGGTGGATGGATGATGGCAGAGCGGTGGATGTGGTCTACCTTGACCTCAGCAAAGCATTTGACACAGTCTCCCACAGCATCCTCGCGGCTAAAATGAGGAAGTGTGGACTGGATGATCAGGTAGTGAGGTGGACTGCGAACTGGCTGAAGGAGAGAAGCCAGAGAGTTGTAGTCTATGGGGCTGAGTCTAGTTGGAGGCCTGTAACTAGTGGAGTGCCTCAAGGGTCAGTACTGGGACCAGTATTATTTAATATATTCATCAATGATTTAGATGAGGGAATTGAGTGTACTATCAGCAAGTTTGCTGATGACACTAAGCTGGGAGGAGTGGCTGATACGCCAGAAGGCTGTGCTGCCATCCAGCGAGACCTGGATAGGCTGGAGAGTTGGGCAGGGAGTAACTTGATGAAATATAACAAGGGAAAGTGTAGAGTCCTGCATCTGGGCAGGAACAACCCCAGGTTCCAGTATAGGTTGGGGAATGACCTGTTAGAGAGCAGTGTAGGGGAGAGGGACCTGGGGGTACTAGTGGACAACAGGATGACCATGAGCCAACACTGTGCCCTTGTGGCTAAGAAGGCCAATGGCATCCTGGGGTGTATTAGAAGGGCGGTGGTTAGTAGGTCGAGAGAGGTCCTCCTTCCCCTCTACTCTGCCCTGGTGAGACCCCATCTGGAGTATTGTGTCCAGTTCTGGGCCCCTCAGTTCAAGAAGGACAGGGAGCTGCTGGAGAGAGTCCAGCGCAGGGCAACAAAGATGATTAAGGGAGTGGAACATCTCCCTTATGAGGAAAGACTGAGGGAGCTGGGTCTCTATAGTTTGGAGAAGAGGAGACTGAGGGGTGACCTTATCAGTGTCTATAAATATATAAAGGGGGAGTGTCACGAGGATGGAGCCAGGCTCTACTCAGTGGCAAACAATGATAGGACAAGGGGTAATGGGTACAAACTGGAACACAAGAGGTTCCACTTAAACTTGAGAAGAAACTTCTTCTCAGTGAGGGTGACGGAACACTGGAACAGGCTGCCCAGGGAGGTTGTGGAGTCTCCTTCCCTGGAGACATTCAAAACCCGCCTGGACGCATTCCTGTGTAACATTATCTAGGTGTTCCTGCTCCGGCAGGGGGATTGGACTAGATGATCTTTCGAGGTCCCTTCCAATCTCTAACATACTGTGATACTGTGATACTGTGATACTGTGAAGACCTCATAGCAGCCTTCCAGAGTCTGAAGGGAGCCTATAGGGATGCTGGAGAGGGACTCTTTGTTAGGGATTGTAGTGATAGGATAAGGGATAACAGGTTAAAATTTAAACAGGGGAAGTTTAGATTGGATATAAGGAGGAAGTTCTTTCCTGTGAGGGTGGTGAGGCACTGGAAAGGGTTGCCCAAGAAAGTTGTGAATGCTTCATCCCTGGCGGTGTTCAAGTTCAGGGTGGAAAGAGCCTTGGGTAACATGGTTTAGTGTGAGGCATCCCTGCCCATGGCAGGGGGGTTGGCACTAGATGATCTTAGGGTCTTTTCCAACCCTAACTCTTCTATGATTCTAAAACATCCCAAAAAAAATCCCCAGGCTTGGCCTGAAGCTATACTCCTACTTAAGATTAAAAGATGCAGCAACAAATGAGGCATGGAGAAGCAGTATGTATGATCATTCAGCAGGTTACTCACTACACCATTAAAAGACACTCCTCTTCAAGCTTATGAGACAGGTGTCCATACTACACTATTAGAAACCAAGGTATGTACTGGTCTAGGAACATTCCTGTAAAACTCCAGTTTAATTTTAATGTTTAAAACCTGAACTTAAGAGAATGCAACTCTTCGTGGGAATTTTCTTCTAAGTACCAATAATTGCTATAAATGCTTATTAAACATACGGAAAATGAATTTTGAGTATTTTATGTGAACAACTACCATGGATTAAATCAGTACACTAACAACCCATTTTAAAGTAATTTAGAAATCATATATGAGTATTTACAACTTGTCCTGGCCAACACACATACAGAAGCACAGTTTCACAAAATGCATTTTGAAAATGTTAATAGTTTGGGGTTTTTTTAAAGAATTAAGAAATAATGAGGGATCAGAAGGAGGCTCCACAGTTGTCAGGACCCTCCAAGACACTCAGACTTCTTTCAGGTTTGAACTGCCACCATAGTCAGGGCCAGGAGAAGGCTGATGAGTGCGTGAAAGCCAGAAAGTTTAAAGAGGGCCTCAACTCTGCCTCAGACTTTATCGCTACGTATCATTCCAGAAAATAATTGATTTCATGCAACTATGTCTACACAAGGTATCTCTAGATGTAAAGCACATTGCCTGGAGTTTTGAAGGTTAAAAGTGCCCTGTTAAGTTGGAAGTTTTGAAACTACGGCTAAAAAGCTCATGTATATGAAATGATGTTTATACATTCTTCTGATTACCAAATCTTGCTCTATTAACTATAAAAATGTAGTAAATTCTAAATGCTACACTACTGCATTGTTTATGTCATTTCTTCATAACACTTAACTCTTGGAGGATCAAAACAATGTAGCGACTAATACCTCGTATGGTCAGAGGATACCCCAGCACTATGAAGCTTATCTTGCAGAGGGACAATCTCTGTAGTGTATCTCTCTTCACTTTCTTTCAGCTGCTGTTGGAAATAGGACTGGAGGTGTTCCAGTTCTTGAGTATGCTGTTCTTCAAGTTGTGTTTTATGGTTTCCTATCTCCCTAAAACAGTATTCTTGAATTGTAGGATCTGTATGAAGGTAATTTGAAGGGGGGAAATAAATGAGATTAACTTTCTCCAAAGTTAACAGCAGTGATAGACTGAATTATTATTGTGGTTAATATTTCCTTCTATTATCATATCAATTACTTTTCCACAAGAAAAATTATAACTTAATCTTCCATTTTTCATGGGTAACAGAAATTTAACTGTGGAAAACCTAAAAAGACTAAACCAAAACCATTTCACAGATTTAATCCTGAAATATTTTAGAGATTTAAGAAAATCATGTATTTCAAGCTGTAGTAAGCTATAGATTGGTTAAAATTTAAAGTAATTGTCTCTCTGAATATACATAGATTAAAACAAGCATATGCATCTTTTTACCCGTTAGATCCTGCCAAGTGGTCTGCAGACATTCCTTTCCTGTTTCCCGATGACTAGGTTTCTCTTCTTTCCTCCTTTCTGGAGGAGACAGCCATGGTTCTTTGACCTAAAAAATAACAAAGCAAATATAAATGACAACATTTTGTCTAGCAATGATGCAAAAATATTGACTGCAATTATAAATGTATAAGAATTGGTGGCCAATGCATAAGAGATTGTAAGCAGTGTAACTATGTGTTTCATTTTACAGCCTGAATGACCAAGTATACTTTTACAGGCAGTTGATCAGCCTGTATAGAACATGCACTGTAAATCTCAAACTCCTCTCTCTGGATATAAATGCTAAGTCACAATTCCTCTGACCCTAAAAGCACTAGTCTTCCTCTCCTCCTTGCAGTGGAAGTAACCAATACCCTCTTAAGGCCCAAAATGCAGCTTTCACATACTCTTTTTTTTTTCCCCTGTACATGTATATCCATCAATACACATGACCTGCAAGCATCTCTAGCTAGAATTGGTCAGTGTACTCTATTTAACACATGGAAGTACCTAACCTCAAATTTACTAATAAAATTTGTCTTTAGGAATCCCAAAGCCCCAAGATCAGTGTAGAATCTCAAAGCAAGCAAGACAACCATGGTGGAGGAGGATAAGGTTAGGGAACAAACTGGACATGAACTATGTGGTGGTTGCTGATGGGATACAGCAAGGAGTGACGAAGGAGCTAGTCTATGTTCCTGCGAGGCCATTCTCAATTATCCTTGAAGAGTCAAGGTGACTGAGGGATTTCTGAGGACTAGATAAAAGCAGTCCTACCTTCAAGAAGAGAAAGAAGGAAGATTTGAGGAACTACAGGCAAGTCAACCTCATTTTGATCTCTGGGAAGGTGATGGATCAAATAATCCTGGAAATCATTTCCCAGAATACAAAGCTGAGAAGTTTCTCCATTTGGGAGCAGTGAGTATGGATTTATGACAGAAAAAATCATACCTGACCAACCTTTTGACACCAGCTCCCACTACATGTTCATAGCAAACTGATGGGGATGGTGACTGAAAACTAGCTGAATGGCTCAGCTCAAATGGTTGTCATCAGTGGCACAGGGTCCAGCTTTAAGCCAATAACTAGTGGTGTACCTAATGGGTCAATAGCAAAGCCAATACTGTTTAACCTTTTCATTAATGTCCTGGACAATGAGACAACAGTGCACCCTCAGAAGATTTGCAGACTATACAAAACTGGGATAACACCAGATGGTTGTGCTGCTGTTTCAAGAGACCTTAAGAGGCCACAGAAACGGGCTGAGAGGAGCCTTATGACGTTCAACAAAGGCAAATGACAGCTCCTGCAACCTAGAGAGGAATAGCCCTGTGCATCAGTACATGCAGAGAATGGACTGGCTGAAAGGAAAAGGACCCTGAGGGCCTTGGTGAGCGCCAAGTTGAACAGGAACCATCAATGTGCTATTAGGACAAAAGTCCAATAACTTCCTGGGCTGCATTAGGAAGACCATTTCCCATGAGGCTGACGGAGGTGATCCTTCCTCTCTACTGGTGAGACACATGTGGAGTGCTGGGTCAAGTGCAGTACTCCCAGTAGAAGAGAGAAACAAATATACTGGCATGAGTCCAGTCGAGGGTCACAAAGAAGATGGGAGGCTTGGAGCACGCGTCTTAGAGCGATAGGCTAAGAGAGCTGGGAATGTGTAACCTGAGGAAGACAAGGCTGCCCACTGGGTCTGTGGAGTCCTCATCCTTGGAGACACTAAAAATTCGGCTGGACATAGTCCTGGGCAATCTCCTCTAGCTGCTTTGTGCCAGTGGCTGGATTACATGAACTCCAGAGGTGCCTTCTAAGCTCAGCCATTGTCACAATTCTGTGACCTGGGCAGCTTTCTCCATTTTACCAAACCATTGCCTGATTTTGCCACTCAACCAGGATACATAAAGGCTATTTCAAACACATTCTTATGTTCATCCAGAGGGAATTCGTGCAACAGAAACCTCAAAAAAGTATAAAAAGTTTACCTGTTTACAGCCCTTCATCAGCTTTGTTTGAAGTGCTTTCAGCCTACTGTATTCTTCCGTTATCTTGTGTAGAAGTTCATCCATACGTTCTTGTACCACTAAATTACACAGATAACCAGGGACTTAAAAAAAAAGGGAAAAAGAAAAATCAGTCATTTTGCCATAGATTTTTTTACAGTGAATTGTTCATAAGTTCTCCACTAAAGAATTATTTCATAAACATTACATATTACTGTAAAAAGTGAGGCTCCTTCCAAATTTTGGATGCATTTGTATATTGTGCTGATATGTATGATTTTTTGGGTAGGGCTGCTAGCTTCTTCTACAAACAATGGGGGGGGGGGGGGGGGGGGGAACTACAGACCTACCAATTTTTTTCACTAATTTCCACTGTAATAAAAACAGTACAAGCAAATACTCATAAGAAATAAAAGTGGTTCAGAATATTGATACTGAGGAAGTCTCTAAAGCAGGAATTTAGGCTCGCTAGTTAGCACCTGAACAACTAATGGCAGAACTGCTAGACTGAATTACTTTAAATAGGTATTTTTAACCAGCATGATAGTACAATACCACTACCTTCGGCTTGACCTCTGTGTACTGGTAATTCTACACTTGGTTGTTCTTTCACAGTAGGAGGTCTATGGAAAATATCCTGCTCCCTCCTGCCAACTTCTATAGCAGCTGAAGAATGTTCATTCTGATTGTCACACAAAACCTATACAACAAATGAAACAAAGAAACACAGTGAAGAATTTTTAATTAATTTATCAATCACAATTCAAAAAGAAAACAGGAGAAATTGTGGGAAGAAAGTAGTTTTTGTGAATATTATTTTCTGTGGAAATAATGGCATAGATGTTCTGTTGAGTTATAAGAACCTAGACAATGTGTAAAACTCCTGATAAAAGAAACAAGTATGGAAAGACTTTTCAGCAAAAACATATACACATATTTTGGAATTGTTATTTAATTTGGAACTGCCAAGTATTAAAATCTGTCAGTGAAAGGCCTCCTTGATTAATGCTGAAGGCAAATTTACATTGTAAATGTCTCATCCTCATACAGTGCAATTTTATTTAGAAGGATTTCCTATAGCAGAAATTCGTATCTTTGTAGAGACTACAAATCTTCTTGCTCTTAAGTATTGAACAAGTAGGATAAAAGGGGATGGCAAAAGAAAACTCAAGTATGTCATAAACAGACTACCTCATTTTGTTGGTGCTATGGGCCAGCAGAATAGCTGCCATACTTACAATGAGTAGACAAACAGAAGATTTATCTGTATGATTTCTGAAGATAAATGATACTTCAAAAGAAACATCCTACTTAGAGCACACAGTGGGATTCTTTATGTAAACATTTGGGTCTCAATAGACAGCAAATTCAACTTCAGAAGTAAAATCATAATTTCTCCAAAAGCTCAACATGGAATCATGATTGGCAGAGTTTTTAACAGCTGTGAAACAACTAATGCCAAAGACTCTCATTCAGCTGCTTCTTTCTGTGAGCTATCACGGAGTCTTGCATAATCTCTCCAATGCTGGCTCTCAAGTAAAGAAGTCCTGCTACCCAGTTTTCAGAAAGGTGTTGAAAAAGGTCCAGCAAAGCAGGAAAGAACCCCTACACCACCAAAACCAACCATTTTAAGTATTTAAGATTGGAAAAACATGGCTTATAATGAATGATGGAAGCAGATTAATTTATCCAGAAGTAAGTTTAATAAGTAACTTGATTCTTGGTCAAAAAGTACCTGTAAGGGCCATTGATTACTAGTATTCTACAATAGACAGGGAAAACAGTATTACTGCTAGCTGATATTGGAATACAGACTAAAAATAAGCTTCAATTCTTGACAATAACACTGATTTACTGAAAAAATATAGAGAGCAATTTTGTTAGATTCTCAGGCACTTTTAAGTCTGTAAAAGATATTCTGCTGCAAAGAAAAAAAATACTATCTTATTGCAAACATGAGGGTGATGCCCTGTGTATCAATATGTGTGTGACATCAGACTACTGTTAAATCAAAAACATACAGCCGAAGACATATAGAAAGGAAAAAAACCCCAACTTCTGAAGTTGTAAATGTAAGACAAATGTTAGATAGAAGATTAAGTATAAAACAGCAGAATTGTCTGGACAAGGACATAAAACAGTTTAGGAAAAAAATAACAAAAGCCTTGCAATGTTATTTTGGAAGATCAGGTTTATCAGTGTCTACTTTGAGGCCAATGCAAAGAGAAAAGCTGCAATGAAAACCTGTTAAAAAAAATGTAGGAAAATAGGATGACTCACTGTACACACAATTTTTCGTTTTCAAAATTTCCATGCTAAAAAAGGCTTTTTGTTAAGTCTTACCTGAGCAAGCCTAGAACATTCCTCAGTCACAGCTTCATTTAGCTTTTCTATAAGTCTTTGTGTAGATTTGACTTCATCATCTATGAATACAAATTAGTCATATTATTTTTAAACACTAGATGAACAACAACTTTTCAAAGGCCTTATTTCCTGCCTCGGTGAGGTTGCTTCTTCAGCTCTTAGAAAGGCATAGTGTTTTGTTCCCATTCTTTCTGTTCCATCACATCTATTAAATTATTATGGTAGAACTGCATGTTCAAGAGAAGTAAGCGAAAAGAAGTGGCTTTGTGCATTCGTGACTTCTACAAAGGTTGAACTTTATCGAAACATACTAGCAGACAAAAAACTTATGACAAAAAAAAAAAAAAAATCACACAAGGGCAAATCATGAGATCACAGAAAAAGTAGGGATAGAAAGCCATCACGACAACATAAAAGCTCACAGATGCAAAACAGTTTCAAGAGGTAGTAGAATCTTACTTAATGTAGGATAGAAGTCAATGCAGGAATTCAAAGAATAGAGAACTGAGAGAACAGAGCCCCAAAACATTTTGCTGATGCATTTGCTTATTATTTCAGTAAGGAATACAACCTTAAAGGTGAATCTATTATATAGTTCTTTATGATTAATTCGCCTAATACAAAATGGCAAAACATGAGTAGTAATGCTTCCTATTTCCGGATATAGGAAATACTCCCTGAGTAACACACTACTTATAATGGGTAAACAATTTGGTACAAAACCACTTTAGCATAAAAACAATTTACTGGACAGCTACATGCACATGTGCCTCTTTAAAGACACTGTTTTCCATATCAAAGGCCCCATTCCCATAATTTTGGTCAAGTCACCTGCTTGTTGAATTTTCAAGGTTTGGAGCTCCAGCTGATGCATTTTTTTCAGATCATTCATCTCTTGTAGATGACTCTGTACAAGCTCCTCTTTAAGACTGCAAAGTGCAGTCTCTTTTTCTGCTTTCAAGTGCTCACGAACCTGGTCCACATGAGCTGAATAAACCAGAGACAGGCAAATGCGCTGTGCTTCCATCTGCAGCTGTAAATCAGTCTTTAAATAAAAAGACATATATGCAGTTTTGAAAAATCAAATTGTAACATAACAGTATGAAACCTCAACTTAAAATAAAAAAGAAACTAAAAATCAAGAAAACTCGATACGCTTCAATTCCTATTTTGCAGCAATAAAAATCCAACAAATTTTACCCAGATGAAGTGAGAGAAGTATCACTACGAACAGCATAGATTAAGAAAGTTCACTCCAAACACAGGAAAAAAAAAAGGACGACTGTTAGCAGACCTTAAAACCATTCATTCCTAACATTCTAGTATGAACTTTGGGGGATGTTATTCCGAAGCTAAGCATGTTTAGGATATGCCAATAATAAGCTATTTAGAGTTCAAGTTTGAAAAGGTTTTTAGACACCTCTGGACCATGATGACTTTTTAGTTCTAAGGCAGGAAATTGCAAGACTGTTATCACAGCCTCATAAAAGAGCAAACAAACAAACAAACCCACCCGACCCCCCACACCCCCCCCCCCCCCCCCTCCAAAATTATACAGCTGTAACTCTTTTCTATAACCTCACAACTTTTTCCAGTGTGGCCTTGCTTACTTTATTTCTTAGGAAATGAATGAACTACAACACAACATAAAATTAGACAGTGGTGGTATCAGTTCACAGTTGGGTGGATTTTTAGAACATGGGGGGAAAAAAAAAAAAAGTAGAAGACAGGTTAACATCTATTTCTACAGAAACCTTAGTTGCATACCTCTTGCACCATGCTATTCAACTTCATCACTGTATATAAATTTAAAGCCAGATTTAGGATTCCAGCACTAATTAAATACTGGTAATGCAATACTTAGCTATTTTTACTGACAAACAACAATTCTTTCAATACTACCTGCAACTCATTTACAATACCAAAACTTACAAGCAAAATTTCTCCAGCAAAACACAGATTGGTTAGAATCACAATATGTGTAACTTTGTACCTTCATACGTTTCTCACATACAGATACATGTCTTAAGAAGTGAAAACTGCACATAGATAAAAGTTTTGAAAATGGGGATGAGTATTTCACAAGATTGATAAAAAATGACTGGTGCAATCAAGAGTTTCTATCTTTATATTATTTGAATGAGTACTTAGAGAACTGAAAACCTAATCACAGATAAAAAAATGTTCTGAGTAAGTCTTCACCTCAAGTAACTTAAATGCTACATCAAAGTCCAAAGTACTCCAGACATCTTCTTACCTGTTATTGTTGTAGCTGATTTAATTTTCAGGGAAGAATATTTCTTTCAGTTAAAAAAAAGCACCCTCACACACACTGACTGTGGTTATCATTCCAGTCATTCATGTAAACCACTGTCAACCATTGGCCACGTTACCATACACATTTGACCATACACCTGTACGTAAAGCATATCTAATAGGAAAAATACGATGCAAATTTCCAAGTGCAAGTACTTACAAATTTTCATGGGTAAACTGTTTTCTATACTGCTTTATGTAACATACCTGTTCTGATTTTAAGGCATCCACCTGCTGCTGAAGATTATTTTCACTCTGGGTAACAGCTATTAACGATGTTTCATCAGACAGCCTGTCTGTCATCCCATGCAAATGTTCTACAAGAGACTGTTGTTCCAGTTTCAACATTTGGTGAACTTCCTTTCTTTTTGTCACTTCACGACTGATATCTTTACCTGAACCTAGATTTCCTCTTACTTTTATTCCTTCATCAACTTTATTCCTTGGACCAGAAGTTTTACTTCTACTTCCAGATGCTGGAGCAGAAGTTTTTGGAGATTTTCCTTGAGAGCATTTTGTCTTAGGAAAATTACTACTACTATTTTCTCTCTGAGCATGGCTAATTATGACTTCTAGTTCTTTACATTTTGCTAGAACTTGTTCTTTCTCATCTTTTAAGGATTTAACTTTTTCATTTAAATGACAAATTTCATTATGTTTTGACTTCAACTGTTCAGAGAGACTGGAAAGTCTCAGGGATAATTCCAGTTTCTCATGCTGGGCAACCTCAAGCTTTTCCATCAGTTCTGTCACATCTTTCTCAACAAATTCTCCAGCCTCAAATGTGTCTACCCTAGACGCCTTGATTTCTTTACTCCCTTCAAAACCAGAAGTTTTAGTTTTAGATAGAACTAATCTATTGCTTTCTAAATAGTGAAGTTTTTCATTCAAATCTTTGAGTTTGAGTTGATATTCAGCTTCCTGCTTTTTCTTATCCTCTTCTAACTCAGTTTTTGCCTTCAGAAGAGTAGCACATTCTTCCTGCAGCTCTTTATAACTAACTTCAAGTTTTTTCTCAGTAAATGCAAAGGCACTCTTCTGCCTTTCACTATCTTCTTGAAGTTGACTGTTTTGGTTTTTAAGTTGCTCATTTTCAGTAATCAGCTTTTCTATTCTTTTTTGTAAGTCCAAAATTTCTGAATTAGAGCTAACACTGTTAAAAATAACATTCTCTTCAGAGCCTATCAACATGCCTTTTAATTTGTCTTCCAGAGTTTTATTTTCCCCCTTAAGAAGGCTATTTTGTGTCTCAAGTTCAGAACATTTTTTTTGAAGGCTATCTTCTCTCTCCCTCATTTGTTCCTGCATCAACTCAGTTTTCAGCTGCAACTCCTGAATTTCTTGTTCAAGGGTACCTTTTTCTTTTTCCTCTTGCCTAAGCACTTCAATCTCATTCTGCATCTCATGGATTTTAAGTGTCATTTCTTCACATTTAGAATTTACAACAGACTGCTGTAGATCCTTAAGGTTTGAGATCTCTAGTATCAACTGATTTTGCTTGGCGAGCAAGTTGTCATTTTCATATTGCACAGCTTTTATCTTTCGACTCATTTCATTTTGGATCTCATCTAACTGCTCCTTATGGTGCATATTCAAGTTATCTTTAAGGCTTTCCATGTTGATCATGTGGTCTTTTTGTAAATCTTCTTTAAGTCTGGAAAGTTCCTCTTCATGACTAAACAGAAGCTTTGTTCTCAGTCTCTCCAATTCTGCTTCTTGAGATTCTGCCATCCTGTCCAAAACTGCATCCTTCTCTCTTTCCAGCATTTCAAGTTTTATTTTGTAATTTGTGACTTCTGCCTCATGTTTTAATTCCAATTCCTTCCTAAATTCAGAGGCAGAAGCCAGCTGAGTTTTCAAATCTTCAATCATAAACTGGTGTTTTTCGGCTTCATTTAATTTACATTCCATATCCACTATATTTTGTTTGGCTCTTTGAACCTGCTCTCTTGAAAAATTCAGTTCTTGGAGAAGATCTTCAATTTTAGTTTGCTGAAGAGACCTCTCTGCTGAAATGACTTCCATCTGTTGCGACAATTCTTGCTTTATTCTTTTCCTTTCATTATCAGCATCTTGCAATTTTACATTCATTTCATTAATTTTAATAGTCATTAAATGCATTTGATCTTTATTAACATTCTCATTCAAACACAGGCTTGAAGTTTTTTCCAATTCTACCTTTTGTTGTGAAAGACGCTGTTCCATTTCCATTGCATGTTGCTTAATTAATTCTTGCTTCATTTGTACAATCTGCTGGCCATGCATTTCATCTAATTCAGCCTGAAGTTGTGCCAGTTTCCTTTGTGTTTCTAATTCCATTCTTTGCACAATGTCAGCTTCAGACTGGCTATCTTTGTAACATCGTTTCTGCAATTCTTCCACAGTTCCCATTAACTGTTTTATTTCATCAGAACATTGTCTTTCTTTCTGTTTGTAGGTAGTAAGTTCAGCTCTCATATTATTTATCTCCTGCATCTTTAGAGAAATCTGTTCTTTTGATTCTTCGAGTAATTTACCGACGTCTGATAATTTTTCCTTGAGCTGAAATGATTTTTTTTCTTCTTCTCCGAGTTTTGCTTCCAGCTCTTCAACTAATGCTTCTTTTTCTTGTAGTTTACTTAAATCTTCTCCCTCATTCTTTCGTTTCTCCTTTAAAAAATGAGCAAACCCATGTTCTTATTTTTAGTTTGATAACTGAACATATATGAACACTTAAGACATTTGAACACAATGACTTTCTTTAGAAGGCTAGTGATAATTTATAAAAAGCAAGTATAAATATTTGTTGATCTCATTTAGAGTTTTTCTGAGTTATTCTCAGAATAGAGTTATTCTTTGGAATAAGGGACAATCCCTGCCCCCCTGCCCTCATCCCTCAAAAAAAAAAAAAGTCAAAAAGAAAATAACCACATCTATTTTTTCCAGCTGTGCTCTGTTACTTAAAACAAAATTTAAAAAGTGCTGCAACCTACTGAAAGTTTTGTCTCTTGTCACTGTTAATGACAATTTTTTTAGTCACTATCCCTCAGTGATATGGTTTAGTCGTGGGTCTTGGCAATCCTGAGGTAATGGTTGGACTTGATGATCTTAAAGGTCTTTGCCAACCAAATTGATTCTATGATTTAAGATATTTTCCATAAAGGATAATTAAAAAAAAAGGAATACGAAGAAAATAATTCATTCTTTCCTTAAGAGAAAAGATTGTTCAAGCAGGTTATTTTGTTAGGGAAAAAAATGAAAATAATGTAGTTTCATGAAGGCATTCTAATACACAGTATAGTTTCATAATTTGTTGTAAATATTTCTGCATTTTTTAAAACACAATAAATACTAGTGATATAAAAAAATCAGTTTTAAATAATATACATATTAAATGCCAGTTGACAGAACCAGTCTTAAAAACTTAGGATCTTTGTATGCATTATATGCTGCACACTCACAATCTCTGCTTTGGCCCTTCCATTTCAATGGAACCACAAAATCCTGAAAAGAAAGACAGACTAGGAAGAGACATCTTTCTAGTAAGGCACATACCACTTCATATGTGGTGATTTTGTCTCGAAGATGCGTAATATGCAGTTCAAATTCTTCATTCTTTTTTTGATAATTCTTCAGCAGATATTCTTGTTCTTCTAGCTGTTGCTGATGTGATATTATCTGTTGCTTGGCTTGCAATAAATCAGCAGCTGTGCAACTATGGCTGGTGTTCCTTAGGGCTTCACTTGCCTGCAACTTAAATGTTAAAAAAACCCAAACATAAAGTATATCAAGTTTTTCAGAAACAGCTTACACTACATATAAACTATCACAACATTTTGTAAGTTCTTTTAGGAGGAACTGAAATATACTTTTTCTTTTCGGATGGCCAACCAATGGAAAACACTTAATATTGAAATGTTTTATGGTGAGCTAGCACAGGACAGCAGTGCCTCAGAAACATTCCTAAGTATGAACTAGTTTTAAGTGCTGCCCTCAAAAATCAGATTTTTAATAGTAAATACTCAGATGTCAGAATACAACCCACTTGCAATTCAAAAAAAGCTATATAAAGTGCTTAATCAGCATAAAATACTATAATATTCAACTACAACACTATAAACTTTAGTCACAGATTAAGTGTCCACAGCATGTCAAACACCAGTGTTTTCTAGAACAAATCCTTCTCTGAAACTTAACTGTGGTATTTAAACTACCTTCTAATAACACTGCAAGAGTGCAGGTTTTACCTAAAATATAGGAAGGACTGGAGTACGAAATGATGGCCCACCAAAGTTGATGGTTGACTGCTTTAATTTCAAAGGGAACAGGGTGGATTTCTGCTCAAAGCTCTGAGAACTAATTACACAAGTGCTCTTCCTTAAGATAACTGCTATCATCCAGCGCTTACCAGAAGCAATTACTACATACAGGACTAATCTTCATTATTTTATAGTGAATTAATACAATAAAGCAGGTATTATAATGACAGCTGTAGGGCCAGTAAAGTAACTGATCTGAACTAAGAGACCCAATTCTTAAAGGAATGCACAGAAATTTCTGTTTCTGCAGGAAGTAGCCATTTATGGACCCTCCCAAGTGACACTGATTTTCAAACCCCCAGAAACTATTTGTAGTCCTGTAACTTACATGCTGAAACTGAATTTGCAGTTTTTGACTTTGTTCAGTAAGCTCCAAGAATTCCCTCATAGTTTCATCCTTTTCTTTCCGTGCCTGCTGTAGGTTAGTAGTGAGCTGAGTGATAATGTCATCTCTTTTTTTGATAGCAGCTTCAAATTCCTGCAGCTACAAAAGACAATATTTAAACTATTAGCACACATCAAAGTCACAAAAACCCCACCCAAACAGAACTAATTTATTCTAGCTAAGTAAGAATATGCCCTAACCTCTCCATTTAAAAGAAGTCGCACAGACGTACTAGAACATATTTCCATTCCCCCTACACTCACAAATTCTATTTATAAATATTTCAAAAACAGACTTTTCCCCTCATTTAACAACATATGACCTCTCCATAAACCATATTTATGAGAGAACAGAATCTGAACCTTTAAGAGGATTAATTAAATATATAAACTAAAAAGTGTGGCCACATAAGCAAACCAACATAAATGAATCCAGAGTATCTATTCATAGTGTTTCAGCAATTTTGTACAACTACTCATGTGCATTCATCTCTCACCAAGAATGCAATAAATGCATTCATCATACTAAATAGATACAAGGCAGTATCCTACATCGTGAACACGGAGAAATTATTCATAACTACATGAGAAAACCAGCTCAAGCTGCAAAACTGATACAGTGAACTTAATAGTTTAAACTTTAGGAATTGATGAAGCAATGATAAAAGTACAGGAAAAATCCTTTGCAAGTGTTTTATTTTTTTGTAGCATTACACTCATGCAGTCGGAAATTCTACAATATTAGTTGGGCCTATTTTCATGTGCAATTATATAGACACATTAATTTAAAGTCACTTTGCCAATCTGAACTCTGTTAAAGCTAGTGGAAACTTCATCTCTATGTATTGCAAATGTCTCAGTCCATCACGCACCTTCTGTAACAGTTTTGTTTACAATGCCCCTAACAAAGAATTTTACCCAGGTTATATCCTGAGTCCTGAAGTTAAAATTATAATGCTTCCAGAAAATGTTTACCGATTGAGAGGACAAGGACAATATTTAATGGGATATACAAAACAGAAGTTGCTAAAACAAGCCAAACTATGCAAAGAATCTGATGATTTTTTTTTAATTTCTTCCCAGAACACTGCAGTGACCTCCTACTTTAAAAGCATGGACTTAGTGGTAATACTAGATGCTTGTTATAACAGAGAAAATTAGGAATGGATCAGACGCTTACGTGTGTCATACCTTCCCTTTTGCATCTGTCCAATGAAACTGACTAATTAAATTTATGTGTTCCAATCCACACATTGTTATACGGTAATTTTCAATTTTTTTAATTCAATCTTTTTACCAAACAGGCAGAAGTAAAGCACACAACACATCTTTTGCACTCTCTATTTAAAATCCTTTTGTGTCTTCTGAAACATAAACCATAAACATTTCTCAACTGAGATATTATGCACTGTACCATCACCATCCAAAAATATGCTGCAAATATTGTAGTGTTATTGTACCACAGCCTGCTTTAATTTATTTTTAATTTATTTTTAAAATAGTAATCAGACATTAAAAAAAATGCAAACATTTTCAATTTTAGCTTTTTCAGGAAAAACATTAGCTACGATTGTGGAATCTGGAATTATGTTTATGTTATTTATTAGGCTGTAATTATGACTATTATGTTTAGTACAACAGATACAAGACACAGAAATCAGAAGTTAAGCTTGACTTAAAATGCAACACCAGAAATTCACCAATTGACAAAGGAACAATAAATCACCTCCTCCAGAGCAACCACTTAAAGATCACTCTAGTATGGTGGAAAACATGTCATCCATTTTCACAGATAAAATACAAATGAAAGCAGAAAAAACTGAAACCATGCAATAACAACAGTGAAAATGACTGAACAGCAGAACAATTTTTGATTTCTATAGTACTTTGCAAAAAAACACAGAAAAACCACAATGACATGACCTGAATCCAAATTGAAAGATAGACATAAGTAAGATATGAAGCATGATAAAGCATTAACTTCAGTGCATTGCAACACTTGCTTAAACTGGAAGAATAGTCTTCACTTTAAAACCCATTTTTAAATTTCAATGGTATTTCTAAAGTAAGAAATACCTTCTTGTAATCTAAAGTTACTGGATGTTTATTAAAAAATTCTGACACAGTTGCCTTGTATTTCAGACTGTGAAGTCTGACATACAAACACCTTTTTGGTTCAAGGTTCAACTCAGTTATGTCATTCTTTGGGAAGTAAAACCTGGGGTTTTTCTGACCTTGGAGGAAGGTATTAAAAAAAATGCAGTGTTTGCACAACTAGTGAAGAATTAGGGCTTTTCTTGAAGAAAAGTCTTTCCATGCCCGATCAGAAGAAAGTCACTGGAAAGAAGACTGGAATTTCAGTCATATAATACAGAGAAAAACACCACACAGTGGAAATGCCATGCAAAGCAACAGAGGGCATGGTATGTGATTGACACAAATTATGTGTAATTCTCTATCACACACTGACTGCATTCTGAACAGCTACCATTAAGTGTGAACTCTTTCAGGTGATGTTTTGCATTTTTACATGTAACCGAGTAGCAAGTAGAAAGCAACATAAGGTAATTATACCTGTTGCAATCCTTCTGTACCATATGCTGCCCTCATTTCTTCTAGCTCTTTGTTTAGCTCTTCAACCTCTTGTTGTTTCCCAGCCAATTCATTCTCCATCACCTCTAGCTGCGTGTGAGAGTGCTGCATTCCATGCTCAGAACAAATCTCTCCAACTCCAAAGTCTTCTTCCTAAATCAATCCAAGTTCCTTAACATGCCATTTTTTATGCTTTATCACAGTAAGTAAACTCAAATATCAAATTCAGTATCAAATGCCACCTTAGAACATTAACATACAATACAGCATCGCAGACCTTATTGCCATGGTAACCTCCTTTGCTAGTATAATTCACACCTTGAAAGCACTGACATAAAGCGTTTCTGCAAGTTGTTTCATAATCTTAGCCTTAACAGAAGTAATAGATTGTTTGGCATTTCAAGTTTAACAATACACGCTATCAATATATAGCAAACTGCAGATGCATAGCACAGCATGGAAAATAAAGTATTAGTCAGCAACACAGTTTTTGCTTAAAACAAACTAAGGTTTTTAGTATTCATCATTAGTATTATGATTCAATTTGCAGTACTGTACCCTGATTAAGTCTGCAGGTATAGCTGTTCTTGTCATAAAACTGCAACCGTTTACCTGTGTAAAGACAATTTCTAAATACATTATTATCTGAAATAAAGCTTGATTTCTATTTTCCATTCATTTGAGTCTTATACGGTGATTTCTGCAGAGTCACTGGAATTTTATGCTACAAAAATTTATTCAATTTGAAATACAGAATAGCTTTATATACTGTGAATTGCATCAAAGTAAGCATAGGTAACAGGTAAAACACTTCAAACTGCAAAAATAAACACTACTATCTAAGAACAAAAAACATATTACCAATTCAAACATCTAGATTAAACAAAGGTATTCAGATTTAAAGGTCAATGCAAAGCTTTATACTTAAAATTATTAAAATGCAATATTATTGCATTTTAAATTGTTTACTATTTCTATATATTACTAAACATATTTATGCTTCTGAAATATATTTATACACCTCAAGATTTGCTCTGAAAGTCACCAATCTCTCAATAGGGGATGAAAGACAGTATCATAGACTCTTACATTCAATGTGAAGGAATTCCTTAAAAATTGAAAAAGAACAGAAATTATATATTCAATATAAGACATTTGAAAAAAATCTTCTTTCACTCACCTAGCATTGCAACCCCGTTCAGTTCCTATAAGAATTTTGGTTCTATAGATTGTACAAACAAAGAGGTATCAATCTCCAAAAGTACAAGCCAAAGTAGCAATTACAGCTTAAAAATCACAAAAATCCAAATCAAATGAAAATAATATGCTGTGTACTTGTGAACAACCACAAGACAGGCAGGCAAGCTTTTAAAACAGCAGACCAATGTTTTAAAATGAAAAAGCAAGAACAGCTGTATTTCCCCTCAGAGCTCTTTATTACATCAGAGCCTGAAAGAAAAATAATGGTACTAGAGATGGAAAGGCATCATAGCATTTCAAACCCAAACACTACATTTGCATCAAAATAAGAAGCTATACTGCTCAGATATCTGCCATAGTCCAGATCAAGGCTCATTTACAAAGGACTAAGATGCCTGACCAAATCAGTAACTACACTGTCATAAATGGGATCAATATAGTCATTGAGTTTGTATTAAGAGACTGCATTAAATGTCTGCATTAGACAAGAATTTGCAGAGCTGACACAATGCCCTTTCAATTCCCGACCTCCTCAGTAAAAAGGAAAACACCACAGACAGACTAATACCTTACTTTAGAAAGAATTGAAAAAAAATTGCAGCAAAAAGCAGGCTGCTTATAGAGGCACTGCACATCACTTGTGTATTGCCAGATGTTCGCCCCACATTCAGGCATACAAGTTTCTACACAGTGCCTGGCATCAATGTCTTTATTCAGATTTTGGTGCATGTCCCAGAATAATAACACAATTAGATTAAAAGAAACTCTAGTATGAAATAGTTCTTTTCCTTTTAACTCCCATTTTATTTAGGCTTAATTGATTAAGATGTAGTGTATAATTCTTGTCATCTACCCCAGTGGACATGCTCCTCTCTTCCTGTGAATGATTTCTGTGTGCAACAATCAGACTCTTAGATGCTCTACAACAAGAGGTACTAGGAAAGACATAAAAGCCTTATCTCATTAGATGTTCCAGACTTCTCAGCAGCTGAAATTTCCACAAAAGACCTTTTATTTATAAAAGGAATTCTACATTCAAGACAACTGTCTGGAACTTCATAAATCCTGCCTTATTCCACAGGAGCTCTTAGACATCACAGAAAGAGAACCACAGTAACATGGTAGTCCACGCTATTTCTCATCTAATACCTTCTACTTTCAAATGCCTTATGCCTTCTGGTACAGTGCAAGTTGAAACATGGTAAGACAACAAACTGCACTCTAATCTATGGAAAAAGCAGTCAGGCCACTGCAGCAAGGCGCTGTGCTGAAGGGAGCCTCACAAGGAGCCTCGCAACTACTGGCATGACAAAAATTCTGCTGTGTCAGAGCAGACAAAGAGTTGGGACTGAGTTATTAGCTCCAAAACATCTTGGTTTAAAATTAATTGTTCACTTGTCTGCAATATTGTGTTACAAGGTAATTAGACAAGGCCCACTGGACATCTGCGTTTTGTCTCATGGTCCCAGAGGTTAACCATACAGAGGTCTTCTGCAAGCCTGTAAGTACTATTGATGCAGATTCTTATAGTTTCTTCTTTTAAAACTTTGCAATTTACCTTTAATGCTGAAATGTCCTTACGCCTTAATGCCTTTTGATGTGCTTAGTTACACTCCCCAGAAAATAATTAAACATTTAAAGAAACAATCAAACTGCAGAGCATTTTAAGGTAATGGAAGCAAAGAATAACATGAGATCTGGATACAATTGTGTAAAGAAACCAAAGAGTAATAAAAAGCTATACTTAACAACAAATTAGATACACATTAGCAACTTCTTTAGTGAATAAAAGACATGAAAGTTATGGAAGTCCTTAAAAGGACATTCTGTCTGACTTTCTTCCTTGCTTGTATTTTCAAAATAATTCACAGAAATATCAATTACCAATATAAAGTAAAAAATAATTTGTGGTCTATTAGCTAAAAATAAAGGTATAATTTATATTGCATCAGTAAATACATATGCTTAAGATAAATGAATCTTCCAGAGAAGCATAATGAAAACCAACTTCCATCACTGAATTAAGGCAGCAATTCACGACAATTGCCACCAGAGGTCAGGATTAAATTTATGAAATCACTGTATTCCTTTTAATGTTCCTTTGACGTTGGAAGACCTGAAATTGTACCTCAGAAATATCAGTACTAATATATAATGTGTAACTACTTATAGCATTAATGCCAATACTACAGAGATTTTCCTTTATAAATAGAAAATTCAAGCTCCCATAAATCTACTGTTCAAACACCGATTTAAAAATTGCTTTGATTTGGTAGTAGAAACATATAGCAGTATCTGGAATGGACTAATAATTTTACCTTCTGTTTTGTCCCATGTCATTGTCGTCCCCCGTCCCCCCTTTTATTCCTTCACAAAAATTAATATTTAGACCACCAACAACACCTGTCAATGTTCTCGGCATCTTCTCAATTTTCTGGTTATGTCACAACAGACTATATAAAACTTAGGTAAAATTAACAATTAGGACAACTTGAGAAAATGAATTTCAGTTCTGTTTGGTGGGTTTTGTTTATTTTGGTTTTGCTGGGGTATGTGGTTTTGTTTTTTTTTTGTGCGTGTGTTCGTTTTTGGTGTTTTTTGGGGGGAAGAGGGAGGAGTACAATCCATAAATTAAAACCACTTTCAGTATGTGATGAAAACAATTACAGTCATGTAACTAAAATTAGTAACTTCTGAAGGATAACAACTGATGTCTTTTTAAAATATCCTGGCTTAGTATTTTTTTCTGTGTATTAATAGCACACAAGAGAAAATTTCTTTACGTAGTGGTTAAGGTTCAGGTATAGAATTTCATTAACATTTAAAAAAATCCCCTTCTTTGTAAACTTCATATTGACTATCTTTTCAGAAGTACATTTTGCAAGCTGGTAAGAGAGTCAATAAGAGAAGAACAAACAAAAGAATCAGGTGGAACAGTTTTCCAGTTGCACTGTAAAATTGAGGCATATGGAATATGGGCAATTCTACCTTACACAGTTATAAAAAAAAACTAAAAATTTTAGCTGTTGGAAAAAGCCCAACTTCACTTAGTTCTGAGTTTAGACCACAACCTTAAATAGCTAGTCATAACTACATTTAAGTCTATGGGGTCTACGTTTCTATGAATATGTTGTTTCTTAGTACTCCAAAAAGGAGGGCATGTATCTGAAAAAAGGTAAGCTCAAGATTTCATACAACTTTGTAACTGTGCTATTACAGAAAAAAAATTAAGTTATTCTCATCTTCTTCAACTAAAAAAGGCTTCAGAACACTTTATTCACAGGATGGTCATTAAGTATAGCTTTTAGTAATAAAAGTAACATTACAGCTACCATGAAACGTATTGAAAATTCAGTTCCTAAAATATATGCATTCCTAAGCATGTGGTTTCCTCACTGCAGATACCAATCAACTGTAATGAACTGGAATGAAGAGCTCATTAAGGACAGCAGCTCTCACCACTTGAATCTGTTCTTCAACAGATCAAGTATCATGCTACTATTCACAAGTTTTGTGTTGCCTACTTATGTCTTAGAAAGTAACTCTCGAGGAGGTAAAAAGTCTTTCTGAAGGAATGAGAATAAACAGCACCTAGAAATGCATCTGTCATTGCATTTTTGAGGAAATCTGCAATTTTTTAAAAAGCACATTCAGAAGGCAATCTGGCTGTAATTCTACTGTTTTTAGTATCTGGAAAATTGATCCCTACCATACTCTGTAGACACCTACAGATATCTTTGAAGAATGAAGCAGGATAAAGTTAAGTGTTTAGATGTGAAAACTGATATCCGACTGATACCAACACCAAAACACTCAAAACCATAACATATCCACAATTCCCATGAAGCACTGTCCATCTTTTCTGTATTGTGTCTCCTTGTGCAAAGTTGAGTTTCTTGAACTTTTGTGATCAATCTCCAACACTGCTTCCTACAACCTCAGAAGTGGTCAAAATTTCTTAGTTATATTTATATATATATATATAAAATACATCTCACTTATAAAAATACATGAACATCAATGACATTGTCAACTGTTTTCAAGGGTTCATTCTTTACATACTGCATATTCCATTTAATAGTAATCACATACCATTGTAATGAATAGTCTGAAAAGGTGCAGTAAGGTCATAACACTTGTTCAAAAGTGTATTTGCTACACTCTCGATGGCAAACTGTGTGCACATACTGCCTTATCATCTTACCATACATTAAGCTAACTCAGATTCTTTTTGTTCTTTGCTACTTCAATTCTTTGGACAAAATAAACCACATTTTACCTATGAAAAATATTAAGTCTTTAAACAACTCCCCCCCTGCCCGGGTAGTTTACTTCAACACCCTGCAACCACCCCTCCATAAAAACCTTTTTTCTTTCTTTCATTTACAGCATTCCCCAGCAGCTGGACTGGAATCTGACTGCAAAAGTGCTGGTCTCAGTTGTTCGTTTTCTTTTCCTTTGGGTTAAATTGCATCACAAAACCACATGCCATAAGATGGACCACAACTGACCAGACCATATGGGTCAGTGGGTCAGTATTCTGTATTTGAAAGCAGCCAGTAATGAATGTGAGGGAATGTTTTGCTGTATTCACAAATGCTTTTTTTTTCCTCAACATACCTGAAGAAAGCGACACCGGTTAAAAACAAGGACAGGGGGAAAAAAATGGGAGAGAAAGAGTCAAACTGGGGAGGAGAGGGGCAGGAAAAAGAATTCAACTAAAAAGGCCGAGACAAAACCTATGGAGGAAACTGTAACTGGGATTTGATACGAGAGGTTGGGAAGAAAAACTAATGCTTTCATCTAGGACAAGTTGAGCTGATCATTAGGAGGATCCCAATATAAGAAGAGAGAATAAAAGAGAAGTTTTCAAGGGAGAGAGAAAACAATATAAAAGAAGAAAGAAGGAAAAACACTTGGATGAAGTTGGAAAGGCTGGTAAAGTCTTCAGAATGACTGAGGAAAAGGAATATTAGAAACAGGCTGAAAAAGCCGGTACGACTGAGCTAAGAAACCAAGCACAGGGAAAAAGGGAATGGGGAAGGGAAGCTGAAAAGACTGACAGGAGCTACTGGAGAGAATGGAAAAATTTACGAAAACCTAGGGGATAGAAAACAGACACAGGGTTGGTCAAGCAAATAGGCTGGAAGAAGGGGCAAGTGGAGACAGAGCATTTAAGTTGGGAAAGAAAAGTTCCAGTTTTCAGGGCATGTCTAGACTGCCCACTGTGATAATGATTTTACTTTTGCACCATGCAGTGCACCGGGTTGGGGACACATTGTCTAGTGTGTATACGCCCTCAGTTTTCACAATAGGCACCTATAATACTAGTATGGAAATGCGTAGTTACCTTCTCTTACAAAAGGCTAAATCAAGACAGGAACAAAGCATTCCACACCAAATTTACTTCAGCAACTGAGACATTTGGTTACTTCATCCCCTCTTGTCAAGTTTAAGATTTTTGGGTGTGTTTTACAGAAGAATTTAGCACAGAGATCTGCAAAACAAACCCAGACTGTCACTACAGAAAGTGATTGGTTTAGGCATAAAAATTATTTTTTTAAACTAGAACAATATTCACTATGTTCAGATATTCCATGGCTATTTCATGTTCTTGACCCACATCTTTGCATGAGATAGTTTGCTGGTTTTTATAATAAACAGTTTTATTTGGCAAGACCAAAGTCCCATATATGCTATGACCTTTTGACATGACAGAGATGAATAGTAGATGCTAATATGAGGTGTGGTGACCCTGTCTGGCAATTCAGCTCCCCACGCTGACCCCCAGTCACTCCCTCACCAGCAGGATGGAGGAGAAACTCAGAAGGGCAAAAGCAAGAAAAGTTCACAGGTCAAGATAAAGAGAGCTTAACAAATGAAAGAAAACAATACAAAACCCCCAAATAACAAGGGATGCAAAGGCAATCCCTCACCACCTTGCACCAGCAGACTGATGCCCAGCCAGTTACAGAGCAGCAGCTGCTTTGGAACTCATCAAAACGTAATCAACTTGTTAAATAGTTTCCCACAGAAAATTAGTAGAAATTATGCACAGCCACAACTCCTATGGCAACACAAAGCATTAATACAACCGTAATGATGACATCGTTACAACAGTTCATTATCTACTGCAATGTTGATTATAGTTGCCATCCCATGATGTAGTTGACATAGTGTTTGCTTTAATGGTACATTAATCAGACCAGTAATGACATGCAACAGCTTTGTCTACAGCACATCTGCTCTTTCTTTCCTTTTTATTTGTAGGAAACAACGCACAGCATTGCAGTAAACATGTAAAAGAAGTTAGGAAAAGCATTACGTCAGTCTTACCTCAGAACTGTAATCTTCTACTGTGGTGGAAATTTCACTTTCTGGCTAAAATAAAATATTAAAATATTTACAATGATGGCACACTAAAAATATTATACAAGACATTTTTCATCTGTTTCTGAGAATTCAGACAATACTTGAAAATATTAAGATACACATGAATTTGATTAGTGCATATGAATGTGTATATATATATATATATATATATATATATATATAAAAGTATCTAGTGAAGGCCACCTTCCCTTACATCCAATGCTTTAAAAAAGAAAAAGTTACTTTGCTGTTCAACTATGATCACAGAAACATTACCTGAGTCTTCTACTGAAAATACAACCTATAGATACAAAACAGTATTTTGGAAATGTAACTTATAATTTATTTGGTTTGGGGTTTTTTTTTTGGTTTTGTTAAGAAATAAGTAGTACCAAGAAAAGGACTTTTTTCTGATAGATCAGTTTTACCTGATGAAGAACTTTGCTGGCTTAAGAACATAATCATATATAGGATGTCATTTTCATACATGCAACACTTCTGATATTGACTAGAATTTTAAAATAAATACTCATACTCTCCTGCAGCTTCCATGGAAAACAAGGAGAGTAAAAGTGATCAGGATGAAAAAGGACAAAGACTCAAATCTTGTGCTCTAAAGAATCAGAGCAATTAAAGATACAAAGCCTTAACAAACTAAGCATAAATATGCCATGGAAGATGCTTGAATTAAATACAGAGTATCCTGATGAACAACATAAAATGTATTGGGTTTGGGAATCAAAATGTTAGGGAAATACGCAAAATATTCAAATTATCTATGTAAGGTGCACTATCAGTGAATAAGTATGCTTTTGAACTCTAAAAGTGTAATTTTGAGTTAAAACTACTTTAACAAAAATGAAGTGTACATAATAGGGCTTCTTCAAAATTCATTTAACACATTAGCCAGCCTTACATTGAATCAGTCTCCATTTTACACTGAATTCTGTCAGGCTTATTTTCAAAGGAACATAGCTGATTTTGCAACAGTAGACATAAGCAGAATTTGGAACTGTCAACTGTGTTTTGTGTTTTGCTTTTTTCAAGAAATCTGCCATTCAGACCTACTGGTGAGATCTGCTTTTTTTATAACCCTGTCACCACTGATTCTACATATTCTGAATCCAATATATAGCTCCACAACGTAATTAACCTTAAAAAAAAAAAAAGCATATTATGGAAAAAGTGCACAAAACTAACTTAGAATATCAGTGTGGAAGCTAAAATTCATACAGTGCATATGACTAAAAATTAAAAGGGTCCACCCTTAAAATAAAGACACAAACCTACAGGCTAATAAAAGTGTTTCTGCTATGGAATGCACAATTAAAAAATATTTACTTTACATAAATATATTTTTATTCAGATTTTGTATACTTGTATGTATATTTGTGTATATATGCATATACACACAAACACACCCAAATTAAACATATTTTTTTGTACTTATATCCTTGATCTAGGACAACGTCCTCTGGAAAGAATAAAATCAGGAAACCCACATTATTATTCTCCTAATACAGACAAAAAGACATATGGCTGTATCATCCTAAATTTTTTCATAGTTTGTTCCAATTCAAAAGACTTCATAAAGAAAGATTAGAAGTATTCCTATAGAAGCTCAGAAGAATTCCTATAAATTTATGTATTTAATTAGATACAATGATTTGAAGTTTTTTATATACTCCATGAAATACAGGCACTTCTCCAACATGCAAAAAAGGGTAAGAAATCTGATGTCTTACACAAATCTTCCTTGTAATGTTTTTGAATCTTACAAGAAACATGATAAATTAATGCTTTCTACAAGCATTAATTCTAATACATTCTAATGTTTTCTACTAGATAAATGAATGTATCTATTATGTATCTAAACCTGCTAGGTTTATCCCAGGATAAACTAAACCTAGTAGATAACAATAGTAAAAGACAAAGAACTTGCAGATTGAAGCTTATGAGAAAATATGAATTCTCTAAGAAAGGTGATAACTGAAAACAATTCTTTTTTTAATGGTAATTTTGCCACATGTAAGATTTTTTTAAAAATTTACTATATTGGTGGTGATTTCTGAATACTAAAGTAAAAAAAAAACCCACTCAAATAATTTTTTAAAAATTACCAAAATCTATAGTGCTCCATCAGTTTAGGTGTGCAATATCTGTTAGCAGCATAAATAATCTTTTTAAAATATCTCCTTCAACCCTGCATCTAGATAGTTTTCTGGCTGTTAAGACCTAGTATTTTAGCCAAGGGATTTATTGAAGGTAAGTAGAGAAAGATGGCCAAATAAACTCAAGTTAAATGGCTCTGTCTTCTGTGCTATGGCATTCATCCATACCCTACTAAAAATCACTTTAAAAGACTTAAATCCTATGAGCTCACACATTAGATTCCAACATTGTCCTGGTTTCAGCTGTAACAGGTTGCTTTTTTTCTCCTCCCTGGTAGACGGTGCAGTGCTGTTTTGGCTTCAGTCTGAGAACAATGCTGATAACACACTGGTGTTTTGGTTGTTTCTAAGTAGTGCTTACTCTGATCAAGGACTTTTCAGTCTCCTGTGCTCTGCCAGTGAAGAGGGGCATGAGAAGCAGGGAGGGAGCAGAGACAGGACACCTGACCCAAACTAGCCAAAGGTATTCCATAAGACAGCAAGTCATGCCCAGTGTATAAACTGGGGGGAGTCATGTAGAAGGGACTGATCCCTGCTCGGGTTGGGCTGGGTATCGTTTGGCAGGTGGTGAACAACTGTATAATGCATCACTTATGTTTACTGTTTTCTTTTCATTTTCCCCTTCTGGTTTTATATTCTCTCCCCTTCTTATTTCCCTATTATTATTATTGGTGGTAGTAGTAGCAGTTTTGCATTGCACCGTAGTTACTGGACTGTTCTTATCTCAACCCATGGCAGTTGCATTCTTTCAATTCTCCTCCCCATCCCTCCAGAAGCAGGGGGGAAAGAAGGGGGAAAGTGAGTGAGCTGCCTGATTCTGAGTTACCAGCTGGGCTTAAACCACAACAGTCCTTTATGGTGCTCAAAGTGGGACACAAAGGGTCGAGATAACAACAGATCTGACCAGAGTGTGTCTAATCATATTTGTGATAAGCATTCATTGTTTTGAATTAATAGTCACTTGTCACAATGCTGATTTGCTATCAGAGTCGTTGCACCTGGTCTCAGAGTTTCCTTATGTCACACCTTACTTGAAGCCAATATTTGCTGGTTTAGTTTATCGGCTTTGGGGCCTGGGCTAAGGTTCTCATTTCGTTGTACTTTATGATAATGGCTTGTGATACAATAGGATTATTGACTATGAAACTGATCCAGTATGTTGCCAGCATGGCCATCACCTCCATACTTCAGGAGGCATGTAACGGGAATTGTTAACACTTAGACCTCTTTTTTTTTCCCCTCTCGGAGTGCCAGCCTATTGAGATGAGCTCTTGCACATTCTGCTCTCCCACCAGGCTATTTACAGTAGTGTGATAATTTAAGAGTACCCTTGAAACCAATCTGGTCCTTTTGCTAGGAAACATCATTTTGTTGAATGTGGCTCAGGTCTTGTTTAAGGTTAGACAATTATCTAAGAATACCACCAAGAGTCATGAGTGGCAGGTGTATGGGATCATATGGGTAAGTACCTAGGCCAGTAGGCCCCCCTCCAGTGCTTTGAAACTTTTAACCCTGAACAAGTGTGAAGTCCTGAAAAACTAGTAAAACATTTGGAAAAAGTATGCTGTCATCCTGGGAATACCAGAAAGGTACAAATAACTGTAACATGCTGGGGCCTAGCCTATGCCTACAAAGCCCCGCTCAACCCTATCCAGTAAGCTCAAGGGGAAAAAGATGTCTCTGGATCTGATGGCAAAGCAATAGATATCGTGGCCAAGTCCATCCCCAACGATGAGCACCACAGCTACGCCAACTCTGACAAAAGATACTGCAGCCACTCCAACCCCAGTGACAGACAGTGCAGCCACTCCAATCCCAGCAATACACACTGCAGCTGAACTTAAGGACCAATCCTTGCTGCTATCAGTTGCCCCTATAAGCAAGAGGAAATGGAAATGAAAAACAACTTGTGCAGTGAAGGAAGATAAAGACTCAACACATGAACTAGAGGAGGTGACATTTGAGGGATTACTTGCTAAGGAAGGGGGAACTGACAAAGTGATTGCAAGAGAAATGAATCCTCAGCCTCTGGAGGTGGCTCTTGTTAAACTGTGAAAGGTATCCCTACAAGGAAGATGTTGTATGTTGCCCAGGCAAGTGGCCCACGATACAGAAAAGCCTCTAGTGCCTGAGTGAATTAGCTGTTTTAGAGATGATCTATTTTAAGTCACATGCCTGGGATACACCCACAGATTCAGATGAAGTAGAATGTACACGATCCATGTGGTGAAAATCTACTTATTTTTTTCAAATCCTCTATCTTACTGTACATCCCAGAATATCTTTTCTCTAGTCAAAGCCTTTGACTGCTCTTTGCTATCATAGGAATGCCTTACCCACATTCACCACCTACATCTTTTCTCACTGAGGCATCCTCTTAGTTTCACTATACTGTTTATGTTTCCATGTTTCTGTCACTTTTCTTCCATAGCTCTTCTCAAGAATCCCACCCAGTGTCTCATTCTTACTCTGCTTCTGTTCCTCGCCTGACAAATCTCAAGCACTAGCAACTGAAGTTAAAGTTTATAGCTTCACGTTCATGTTTGCATTATCTACTCGAGTAAACAGTTCAGCTATTCTAAAACTCTTACCAAACAGCTTTGTCCTGTGAAAAACAGAAGACAAGTTACTAATCCAACCTTAGTCAATTAACAGGTATTCTTCATCACAGAACTCTGAAGTTTTCTTTTCTAAGAAGCTTTGTATAATAGCTTTTAATACCCAGGTGACTCAAGGACAATTTTACCGTGCCATAGGTTAATTTGTTATGCTTTCCTGGTATTGGTATATTCTTGCAAAGCAGTCTGCTCCAATGCATCACTTCAAGACTTTCCAGAGAAGGTGATCTCAGTGATTATTTACCCTTGAAGTATTTTTTTCTTCCATTTTTAATTGCAGGATGTCACAAAAAGAAGCAATCCTGAACCAAAGAGTTTCGCTGATCCAATTAATTTCCTGTGCTATCTCTTCTAGTTTATTTTTACTTCTATGTGGAAAAAGACACTATGGATGTCAAGACCAAAAGACACCAGGGTGCAACAGAACAAAGCCAAAAAACAAAGGCAACTAGAAACTCAACATATTATTATCTTCGTGAGACCAAGATGAAAAGCATTTAACATAAGACTCAGAAACTTTAACCAGGAAATACTGCAGGGAGATAAACTTCTATCCACAAAGCTACCACAAAAGAACCTGGGTCAAGATTTTTAGATACCTAGGCCATATAGTCATATATTCTGAGTCTATTTTGTGGTACAGAAAGAACAATTCAAAACATGAATTCCAGTAAAAGATTAAGTAAAGTGGACATACTAGAAAAAAAAACGCAGGGAGATTAGCTTGTATCCACAAAACTACCACAGAAGAGCCCTGACAGGGTTTTAGGTAGATAGGCAAGAGAGTCCCATGTTCCAAGTCTATTTTGTGGTAAAGAAGGAACAATTCTAAACATGGGTTCCAGTAAAAGACAAAACAAGTAACTGGAATCAAAATTTATCTAGGAAATATTCCTGCATAATGCCTCAGGTAATCTTGCCTTACTCTCCTGACACAGCAGCCTATGAAGATTTAATGCTGGGTGAAAAAGCAAACAGCTCAAAGAGACTGTCTAATTCTCCATTGCAGAGATTAGCCTGAAACTGCCTATTACACTGGCTGCCATTTCAACTAAGCAAGCTAAATCCAATTACTGTAATACAGGCTCTCTCCAAGTCATTGCACTTCTAAGACTAAAACCAGTAAGTTATGAGTTTCACTGAAACTCTCAGAATTTTTCCTCTTCTGTTAATACTGCACACATAGAGATTTCAGCAATCATCTTCCAACTCCAAAATACCCATTACTTGTTTAACACAAAGAAGCAGGCTGCATACAACATGTAACAAAGGAAAATGCTTTCCCAATTGGGAGCAGCTTTTTTTGGTGGAAGCGAGTACAGTTTCAGAAGTCACTAAGACATGAGTAATTCAAGAGAGTCAAATTACAAACACATGCTCATCACCATGCTTATTCTTTCAAAGCCACATTTAAAAAACTAAACAAACAAAATCCCAACAAACCAAAAAACCCCAAATGCACATCTATGTTTATTTACTTAAACATAAGATGATCTCCCTTGAGAATAAGGCAGACCTCAGAAAACTCATACCCAATCTTCAGAATACATCTGTGTGCAATCTTTAGCAATTGCAGTACAGATACTTTTCCCATTTGTAAAATCAGTCTCATACTGTTAGCCCTCAGAGATCAACATAGGCTACTAGGACTAACCTGATTTAATTAGACCTGCTTTGAGCACGGGATTGGACTAGATGACCTTGGAAGTCTCTTCCAACCTAAATTATTCTATGATTTTGTACTTTACCCTCTTTCCCCAGTTGTAGTAGAGGTATTTATCCCGACAAAGAAAATACATCAGCAGAGTTGTCTGTAACATGCAATAATGATGTACTTCAAAATATATTTGGTTAAGAAAGTTTCTTCATATAGTTATATTTATTTAGACTATAATGTTAAAAAAACCTCTTAAGCAATTCCCTCTAAACAGCTCTCTACCCTGGCAGGCCTCTCTCCTTAGCTGCAGATAACCTGCTGCATTTCATGAAGTACATCTTTCTCTTTTCCTAAAAAGCAAAAAAGGACTCATCTCCACCTATGAAAACTGTCATTCTGGTATTAAATACTCATTAAAAAAAATTTACCTCCTTCAGGAAAAGCCGAGTTGAATGACAGTTTTACTGAGTTAAACAAACAGTTTTGAAGCCCTAATATGACTTTTCAAAAGTATGAAAAGCTGCATATTAAAAGGCACGTATCCTTAAAGTTCAGAATACCTAGTGTACTGATATACTGCAGACTTGACACTGTAAAATAAACGGATCAATGACTTTACAAGTTTTTATTCACTTGTATGATTTAGTCTGCTCCTCCACTAGGGTAACCTTTTTTCTTGCATAAATGAGAGAAATTTTTTAAAAGTGTAATTTTTCTATTACTTCTCAGCTACTGGAAATGAGATAATGGAGACAAAATAGTTACAAATTGACTATCTTAGCACAGGACAAAATGCAGAGCATTCTATGTATCTCAGAAAAGACTAAATTCACCTGCACAGAGCTGGGAATCTGCATCAAGCTGTTTTTTTAGAATACCATTCATGTCTTTTTAGAAGCATTGCTTTTGCAAATGGAATAACCTATTCTGTAAATACATTAGCATCTCCGGTCCCTCATACCTGGAACAACATATTACATTACATGAATTCATGTTCACTCAGAACTGAACTGGAATGCCAGAGTATATCACACAGGGCATCTTGAAACCTTCCCAGAGCATGTACTTTCAGCCACTAGTAGTAAGGACTGTATGTCATTAAGTAGTAAAAGTAGAGTATCTGTTTATCAGTTTTTTAAGCCATCCAATTCTAAGTAGTGTTTTCTAAATTTCTCCTTATTAATCAGAAAGGCTCAAATTACATTACAAATACATGAAAGATGCTTAGTTTTGCATTTTGCTATAACCATATCTGCAGTGATCAAAAATCCACTGCAATTTGTAACCTTTTAATAAAACACAATGCATAAAAACAAGCAATAAAATAAAACCATTTTTCACCTATTTAGAAAGTGTACAGTACCAACAAACTTTCCATAATCTACAGTACACTGACTACCACAGAAAACACAAGGAGGCTGGTAAAAAGTGCCTTCTCTAAGGAGAAGGACATACTATGGACAGGCAGAGGAGGCAAGGAAATAAAATAATGTCCAAAATATCCTGTAATTTCTGTATTCCCACTCTCAAAGTGGCTGTTTACAGCCTGAAACTAACTTACCTCAATGGTGTAAGTCTGGCTGTGTTTGGTAACTTCTCCACTATGCAAAGTCCTGATAATAGCAAAGTCAGCAGTGGCACCTGCTCCCCTTCGGCTGCTGCACGTGGATGCTTCACCACCTCGAGATCGCTCAGTATCAATCCCATCTTGTACTGATTCTTCATCTTTGATGTTTGCTGTTTTCTTCTTCTTTTTCTGCTTCTTTGATGCATTCTGACCATCAGTTTGGGCCTTCCGCTGCCTAAATTGGGCAAGCTGCATAAAAGACAAAATCTTGTTAAAGGTGAAAGTTTTCCTGTTTATTACTAATAACATCCTCAGTAAAGGCTTACCAGCTATTCTACATAAGCCTTCAAACCAATCACTACTGAAACAAGTTGGAAGTTAATGCAACATATCTGAGACACGTTCAGGTTTTCTGTTTATATAGTTTGCTTTAAAAGAAAAGTTAAATATAAATTAACACTGTATTAATGAATTCCTTCTCAGTTTCATACTAGCAAGTTACTGTTCCACAAACTGATACCTAGAAATCAAACCATCCAAAGGTAAAGGTACAAATGTCATTATAAAGGGTAAGTGCAATGAAACAACCTCTGAGTTTTAATTTTCATAGTAATAAATACCTCAAAAATCAATTTACAGAAATTACTTTTAAATTTTTTATGCCAGAAACAGATAAAGCAAACCTTTCTTTCAGCAAGTATCACACAAAGCTTTTTTTAAAAGTTTATGTTAGAACTCAAAAAGCAGATCAAGTTCCGGAAAATATCATAAAGAAATAGTGAAATGCATAATGAGGAAAAAGTCTAGAAACAAGCAGTGAGTAAATTACAAGATACACTACCTTGTAGCAAAACATGCTGATGAACAAAAAGTCACAGGTGAGACAGGCACACAGTTGAAAAACCAATTAGTACGTAAGCTATTCAAATACAGTAAGACACTGCCTTTTGAAGAGCTTACCACTTTTAATCACTTTATAGTGGTTTACACAGGAAAATCCACTTAAAACACTTTTTTCTTAATAAGAACAGAATTTCTGTTCAAACAAAAAAAAAACAGGCAGAGCAGGTTTTACCAATTAAATTGAATTAAATTAAAACTGAAAACTAAACAGATGCTACCAGTAACATCTGGTATCAAAAATCATTATTTTCCAATTGAAGAGTCCAAGATTAATTAAGTGCCACAATATGTTTTAGAAACATAGCTCCAAAGTATATATAAAGTGTGCTAATGAAGACCCTAAAGCTTTAAATACTTTTTACATCAACTAATACCAAATATCATGATTTTTTTAATAAATCTGCTGCAATTTTAAGAGAAAGCTATAGAAGAAAGGCAGCATGTTTGCTCAGGATATTCACCAATCGAGAAAGCCAGGCTTCCATCCAACCTCTTCAGCAACACCCAAACCAAGCAGGACACATAGATTCCCTTTCCCAGTCACCGTTCAGCTGCAGTGCAAGCTGTCACTTGAAGTGATCTCTAGCTCTCATCTGGCCCCAAGACAGCTGAGACACCCCTGTCTAAATAAACACATCACTGACGGATCAGTTCTGACTTCTGGCTAGTTTATCCCTTTATCTGTGTTTCTTCTTGGCTTTCTTCAGCCTCCTCTCCATTCTCAAAGACTACTGACAGCTTGGCATATGGCTCCTAGTCTGTTTACAGGAGGAAGACCTGAAGATTTGCTGAGCCAAATAGACCCACCTACATAGTTAATACCTATTTCCTCCCTACTGCAGCTTCACAAATTATTTCTTTTTATTTTTTAAATAAGTAACTTTCATTATTTCACAAAAAAAAAAAATCTATTAAATCCACAAATTCTGAACAGGGCAAGAAAGGACAGTCTCCTCCTGACTTCAAAGTTTAAGGAAAAAAAAAACCACAAACAACAAAACTATAGATTTAGCTTCTCAAAAATGGGAAGGGTGAAGGTCCCAGTTGCCTCCCCATAACATTACAACATTCTCCAAAAACTGTAAATTTACCTCAACAAACTATTTGCAATTTAACCAAAGACAAGCAGAATTTGTCCTAATGCCACAATGACAGGAAGCAGACAACCCGACTTCAAGCGTAACTACAAGAGATTTTGCCTTTTTCTAGTTTTAAATAATGACAGACATGCAGTGCCATTGGTTAAGAACTTCCTTCCCCAACTTGACTGAAACCTTGTGCAATGGAAAGTTAAGTTGGATTTTTCTTCAAGCAGCTTTACAGTGTCGGTTTGCCTACAAAATTAGATGTGTAGCATAAGGATAAGTGAATTACTCCATGTCCCTCCTAAAGAATTTTGCATATTTTAGCTGAAGTATCAGGTTATGCCAGATTTCTCTCCTTTCCAAATTAAGCTGTCGACTTTCACTTCTTCAGAATTAACAGACTATGTTTTACCATGGCAGCTATAAGCAGACTTTATTTTTTCTTTTTTCCTGCTTAAACATTGAAGATGGGCACATATGAAAACTAAGTGCATGTGCAAATTAAACTATTATTTTTTGTGTTACACAAGTCCTCAACTGATTATTTCTGTACCAGCATCTAGTATTTTGGAAATAACTACACTATTAGTGGTAGATGCATGCATAAATCATATCACTTCTCCCACTGAATATTCACATACACACAGAACTGTCCAGCTACTAATGCACTGTAGCTTCAAATTGTAATCAAATTTAAAAACGCAACAACAAGCAAACAATAAAACAGAAGCGAGAGAAGCAGCATAACAAAATGCTACTGCTGACCAGATACACTCTGTGATGCTCACATCAAGACAGGGAAGTCTCAGCATTCTAATTCCTTCAGAAAATGGGACTCAGGAACTAGAGTTGAGGAGGATCTATCTACATTTCAGTAACAAGCAGGAAAAAGTCCATCAGTAGTCATGGAAACTATGGAAAACAAATTTTCTAGAATTAAAACTTAAAGAGAAAAATACTTTCAGATTTTATATTTCAGAAAAATAGGTTTTCCTGTCTGTACAAAATGTGTAACAAATACAAGCTAATATAGCTATACATTCTTTCACCCTGTCTTCCAGGCACACCGGCTTGATAATGCCAAAACTAAGTCTGCGGAGAACTTAACACTGCTTCTGTCAGCTCTGAATCTGCAGTTTTGAAACTATCAATGTCATCTCTCTGTTGAGTTAAAAAAGTTGCAAGCAAGAGCAAAAGATAAACACAAGAGTTACTAATGGAGGAAGAAGGATCCAAAACCAGAAGCTGAAGAGCACTCAGAACAGACTCTCCACACTGATCTGTCTCCAAGAAGCAATAAAGAATGAGCCCCTTAGCCTGGGAAAGCATCAGGAACTTAGCCCACAACGCAACTTTACCATAGACTTAATCACATCTTGAAAACCGATCTAGAGCAAGTTGCTCTAGATATTGCCTCTTATAAACAGGAAAAAACTTACTGAAAGTCACAAGACTACAACAGAGAAGCATGCAGAAAAATAATGGGTATACTTTTCAAAATCATTTCTCACAGTAAAATAACAATTGACTAGAAAGTAGATATTTAGAGTACATTTATTTATGTAGTTGTAATTATAACCTCCTTCTACATATGAATCCCAAACCAACACACTAGCCCCAATCCACATCACAGACTACACCAAAATTAGACACCTGGTACATCATTACTTAGCTTTTAAATGCTGATGCCCTCCAATTGTCAGGAAGTCAGAAAAGCAGAGGAGAATCAACTGCTATTAGGAATTAAGTACTCTTGAGGCAGAAGGGAACTAACTTGCAGAGTGGTGGGGATTACTTGTGTAAACCGTGTCAACTGTGATAAGTTAATGTGCTGCTATAATTGCAACAGCAGCAGTATGTATTCATTCAGCTATCTTCAGCACGTTCTGACCCTTGGCAATTATGCCAGTCATCTAGATGGCTGGGATATGCTGTGCATCGATTAATTTCAAATATGATCGGACTGAACTATTTATAAAGTAGAAATTAAAGTGTGTGTTAAAACAAAATTTCGCTCCAAAACGGATGGGAAGGAGAATCGAAAAGAATGCAACTCCCACGGGCTGAGATAAGAACAGTTTAGTAACTAAGGTATAACACAAATCACTACTGCTACCACCAATAATAATAATGATAAAGGAAATAACAAGGGAAGAGAATACAAGACCTCAGCATCCGTCGACTGATAACTCGCCCCCCCCCAGCCCGACCAAGCACTGACCGATACTTCGTCAACCCCACAGTCCCAGCCCTTCTGGGTAACTCTCAGTTACATCCTGGGCATGCCGTGCTGTGGTATGGAATACCTCTTTGGTCAGTTTGGTTCAGGTGTCCCGTCTCTGCTTCTTCCCGGCTTTCCCTCCTTCTTGGCAGAGCATGAGGCTCAGAAAGTCCTTGGCCAGACCAAACATTTGAGCAGTAACTAAAAACATCGGTTCTGTCAGCACCGTTCCCAGGCTGAAAGTCAGAAACACAGCACTGCACCAGCTACTAAGAAGGAGAAAAACCAACTTCTACTGCTGAACCCAGGACACCTACTCACAGAAGAGATTTTGCTCTTTCTTAAAAGCTCTCAAACACTCTGACAACCAGTGAGAAATGTTCTCTGCTGGACCAGTTCTGTGGTCTTTTTTCAGATCACTGTCGTGATTTAAGCCCAGCCAGCAACCCAGAGCCATGCAGCCGCGCTCACTCCCTCCCCTTCCTCCCCAAGCTCCCGGAGGGATGGGGAGGAGAAACAAAAGAATGTAACTCCCACAAGTTGAGATAAGAACAGTCCAGTAACTAAGGTATAACACAAACCACTGCACCAGCAGTGTGCAACTTCACTCAGTCAGTATCAGAAGACAAGGACTTCTGAATTTTCTTATCTCTAGTTCAGAGCGGTGGTTAATAGCTCAAAATGAAACTGGCAGTCCTATAGTATTCGGTATCTTTATATATAATCTGAATGATGAAACTGAATGCACCTTAACCAAGTTCACAGATAACACTAAACTGGAGGAAAGCCAGATACACTACAAGGAAGAACCACCATACAGAGAAACACCAACATGCTGGAAGACTAAGCCAACAAGAACTGTATAAGATTTAACAAAGATAAACCTCAAGTCCTACATCTGGGATGGAATTATCCCATATAGCAGTAACAGTTGGGGACTGACTGCCCTGGTTTGTAGCTCTGCTGAAGAAGACCTGACAGTCCTGCTGGAGAGCAAACTAACCATGAGTGAGCAGCATGACCTGGCAGCAATGAAGATA